TTTGAGTCTAGGTATTCCAACATTAAGGTATTGTTAAATCTGTGAGTAAAACACAATGGTATCTGCCATATAGTTAATGAATACTTTATGATTTACATAATTACTGGTATTACATGAACATTTGTCTCGAAACAATGCTGTATTTATATCATCTCAACATCTCAATTTGTATGTACATACATACATAGATACAATCATTGTTGTCGTGTTAATAAGCAAATAAAATAATTAGATCTCTACCTCACTGTAAATATGCTTTCACTATTCGTACTCCGCTCGACGGCTGTGGTCTTATTGTCTCATTATAAATATAAAAACCTCAAATAAACTCTTTTGGGGAAAGTATATTAAATGCAAACTTAATTGGGTGCTCTCCGTAACTCGGCAATTACATTATTACAAACTGCATAAACGAGCGTCTGCGGACGCTCGTTTATGCAAATCTTCTCTATTGCCACGTGAAATTGAATTATTTACGAGTTTAAAAGGCACCGTGTACTAGTTGCAAAGTTGCATAATTTGTCTACCAAGATTAATGTCACTTTTTACAGTTGGAAGTAAATCACGAAGCCAACAATCGCACAATGACACAGGTGCCTTTTATGTTCCTAATCACCGGTCGATTGCTGTAATGACCCCTGAACAGTCAACATCAGATCACGCGCCTCGCCACATCATTCGACACATCCGTACAATGGTGGAGCTATTTCACAATGTGACACATTGCGGGGAAAGGACTCCTCTACAATTCTAAATGGTCGCTGTCAATTGACTCCAATAGAAAGGTCACCATAATTGAATTAGTGCTCCCCTAATGTGAAACATTGACCCATGCCTACATAAGTATATTTTCGAAACAACTCAGACATGAAGTTAAGAGAAAGGCGATAATACTGGTTTGCAGTAATTTTATTAAAGAAATAAAATTACTAGTAGACGACAGTCCTAATATAGTTAGGTTGTAATGATTTATGGCACTAAACTAACAGATGTCTGCAGTGGAAACTTCTAATCTGAGATTTCGATGGCAATTACGATCTCCGTGGAAAGTGGTCCGGGCGTATCATTGTGTAGTGGATCGTTTACGTCTGATCTCCAATCCCGGAGCGGTTATAATGTAACTGTATAGCTCGCCAGTTGACGGATAGACGATGTCGTGGAGACGCTAATGTCTCAAACGGGGTCACTAGAACCTGCGAAGTGCACGAAGAGCCAACACTCACCTATTTGATCTTGAACAAATAAAAGTACCTACCAATTGCGCCTAGCATGCTATTAGGGCGCAAATCTATATCTGGGTTAGCGTGATTGAAAACAAAATGATACGCAATACTATTCTATAAAGTTAATAAGTCTCGTTTTAAATGGATATTTAGAGCGCCGTGGGCCTGTCGCAACTATTGTTTAAACAGATGAAGTTTAGAAGTCGAGTAGTGGACTACATTTCGAAAGGTGTCGCGTTTATTACAAATGTATACAACTAGATTTGATATATGTAATTATATTGACTTAGACAGCATAGCGGACACACACTTCCTGGCATGGATACAATGGTCAAATCAGCAATACAATAGAGATTTATGAGACTGCGTTATTTACAAAACAGATGCGGTCAGTACAGCCTTGACGGATGGTTGGATCTGCTTTTATTGTATTTATATACAGAATACGTACTTTAGTATAATTATCAGATTTACCGCCACCTCTCGTGTTTTAATGCCTTTGATACATCTACGAGTTTTCATTTCTGATTCAGATTAATGAGCAGATGTCCAGACCCTTTATGACTAAAGTGTGAAAATATATAAGCTCAAATCCAAATTGAAGTGAGTTAGAAATGGAACATTAATAAAATATGAGTAAATATTCTTGCAGGCCTTAAGAGGAAACGTAATACAGCAGGGGAATATAAAAATAATAGCTATCAATGGTAGGAACAAAAGGTCATAATGTAAAACACAATTTAAAAAACTATGAATAAAATTGCCTTAAGAAACTACAAGAATATTAGTACATATTACAATGTAATTTGAGCTTCTAGTATATGTATGTGTAGTATATGTGTATTTTATTTTACTTATACTTACAACAAAAAGCCGCTATGTTTAGGAGGTCCTCTCTAAAATATATATCCTGAAAACAACAACATAATGCAAGTAAGACTTGTTGTTTAAGTTGTTAATACAATGTTGTAATTACATGATAAAGTCTTTTCAGTTACTTGTAATTAAAAATTAATTAATGTATGTTACAAGCTGTGCAATATAAAATCTCCTTTTAACATTGTCAGTGACCTCGTAATAAATAAATGTTACTAGTGCGTAATCGTTTACTGTTAATTCCTACGTGATAATCTAACCGATTTTAATTTCATACGCCATATTAATGCAGTGTATACCGTTTTATATAAATCTTTTTTAAAACAAACATACGACTAGGTACATTAAACAGAAAAACAGGTTAATTAAAACATAATATACGTGTAAGTGATAGCTTGTTAACAATTTAGCGCTTAGAATACCTACTTTTACTTTTGCAGTATTGAGCTACCTCTAACACCGTCAGTCCGTCAGTCCGTCTAAAATGTAAAGATGTGAAATTAAAAGAAATTATACAATTAATATAAACCTCTAATATTCGTTCTCAATTCGATTTTTTTTGCAACATATTTGTTATAAATAGTCTACAATATATATATGTAATAAATTCAAAAATTCAAAATTCAAAATTCTTTATTTAGATAACACCATTTTACAATTACATTCTACAGTTGTTGAAGACTCCTTTTAAGCATAAAGATGCCTGTGCCAGGAGGCAATAAATAGAACAACACAATATTTTATAAAAGCTATATAAAAATATCTGGAAATAATTTATACATATTCGTTTATTATTTTGATTTGTTTAACTTTTTAAAATATAGTTAGAGATATATTGATATGTACTATAGTTAAAGATAACTAATATTAAAAAACCTCTACGTCGTACTCGTACTACGTCAAACGTCTACTGTGATCATCGCAGTTGAAGTTCTAGTAACTTGGGCTGGCTTCATCTCTCTCATTTGATTCAGAGATATGTACATAAATACTGAATTCTTCATGCTCCATTTGGTATCAGATATTCAACGCGATTGTATAATGAATTAAGATCTTACGGGACAAGTGCTCTGATGTATTCGTATTGCGAAACTTTTAATTTAATATTTGTAATAATTGATAAGATAAATATAAAATAGATAGTTTGCCTTTTTAAAGGACTAAGATGGTATACCCTTTATATTGTAATTTAACTGACTAATCAATTCCTACAACCAAAAATTGCTTACGAAGCGTAAGTTTGGCGGAGGAAATAGGTGATACTGATAAACATTTTTTTATACAGTATAAATAGATGTCCATAGATCGACCAGGTTCTCCTACAATCTTATGAATATTATAAAATGCGAAAGTTTGTACGTAACGAATATATTTTGCGCTGAATATGGTATATTTTGTGCACCGATAAAATGTAAAGTTTCTTTTATTTCTTTCTGTCTTTATTACGTTTATTTCGTCCACTATGGACGTTCTAAATCATTTATTAAAGTATTATTAAAATTTCTACGCCATCATACACTTTCAGTTCGTTGCCTAAATTACTTTCCGGTTTGCCCGAGGCTAGCGTATTCGCGAATAATGTCTCATAATTACATACCTGGTTCAAATGAGTAATAAATTACGCATCGATATCGGAAATGAATCACGTTACGTTGCCGAAGTCGTAATATTTAGCATTTATTTAGCATTTTAGTAACAGTTGAAGCCATGAAATTATTTGAGATAATAAATATCTAATAAATACATACAAAGAATACTTCTCTATAGACAGATAAATTTACATTACGGAACTAATAAACATATATAAAATCTCATTATATTATTAATCTCATAGATTTGGATGCAATATATAGATGCTCCATAGATTTAGATATTTCTTGTTCAGTCTTAAATAAGATCTTATGATTGATCTTATGTAAGATCTTTATGACTTTAAAAGATGAATTCTAAATTCCGAAACGTGTTAAAGTTATTGTTAGGGAGGCTGATGTAACAGCTACCTCATGTTCAATTGTATGCTAATCGACTAGTAAATAGTAGTCATTCTCAGTATGCGATTTAATACTTTTACTTAATCCCAACAAATAGGTAAATCATTGGTTATCAAGTTATTAATTTTGCCGACTCGCACCGTGAATAATTGACAGCTATGGTCTTGTATCACGCATACAAATATTGACCTGTTACTTCGATTAGACCAACGGGATGACGGGTTGTCAACTTCTGTTTTAACCTAAAGTGAGAAATGATCAAAAAAAAACCCGGAATTCTCTTTTTCGAGCGGCACAATTTACTATTTTGTTATATTACGTTTTATTAAAAGTTCAAAAAATATTTATCAGTATAAGTTTCACAACCTACGTCATGTCCGTTTCGTATATGTTTATGTGGGTCATGGATTGTCCCAGCGGGACATCTAAATTTATATAAATATAGTAAGTCCCATAAATACTGGACATTTGGCGGCGTTAGACGAGTAGCAAAAAATATTAGATACGATAAAATTAGAATCATATTATTAATCACGATTTGTAAATATATAACGATAAATATACGTACAAATATCTTGCAGACTACATAGATAATTCTATGTAACCTGCTATATTTGTATATATTATTATTATAAACAAGTCATTTTTTAATTTATTTTTTTAGTTAGCATTGAAAAATTTTTTATTTTCAAAATAGGAATATTTCATAAATTAGTTCGAAAAAGAAATAGAAGACTAGAAATTAATTGCTTTTAGTTATTATTATTAGTTACGAGTTCTATTACTTATTTTTTAAATATCCTTTATGTACAGTCAGCGATCAGTTATATTTTTATTATATGTCGGCATTGTTTATATTGCTCCTATTACAACAAACAAATATGTACAACATGTGCATCTTCCATTCCAGAACGTTAAGCGCCATCGGCAACAAGGAGAGCCGAAGCAGCGGTGATGCTGCATCTCGCCAAGACCCTGAGGGAGACAATGGTGCCAACGACATGAACAGAGAGAACGTGTCCAACAAGATAGCGGCCGGCATGGACCGCTGGCAGAACACGTTAGAGGACATGATTAATCTTAGATCCTCGCATAATCAAGTGTTCAAAGATAATTACTGGGTAAGTAATTGGATGCAGTCCATCTATCAATATTTTCACTCCAATTCGTTGAATTTGCACCGTTTTAAATAGTATTAGGTCAAGTGGATTGAGTAGTCATGCTCACTAAAATGTCAAGACATGTGGCGGAGTGGTGAGCCGGGTCATTGGGCTCTCTAAAATATGGTCCAACGCAGTGATGGCTGGCTTATACGTCATACTCGTGAATGAGTGCTGCTTGAGAGGCACTGGTCTGCTCGATAATCCTAATTAACAGAATGAGGAAGGTTTAGTTGTATAATTCGTTAGGGTTTTGTGTAGATTTGTGAAATTCCCGTGCGAAGCCGGTGCAAATTCAGAGCGTGTCGCCTGTATATAATAAAATATAACTTATGAGTGAAGTGATATATTATAATTATTTTACTGATTGGATCTTGAACACTTTCACGTGTTGTTCAACTTTTTATAGAATTTAGAATTTAGAATTTTTTTATTAACTCGTTTTTACAGTAATAACATAAGAAATACAAAAATAATTTACACATTAAAAAACGGAGTCAATGTGGACCACAACTCAGCATAATGCTGGAAATAGTTTCCAGCGCTGATTTTCAGTTGGGCCCCCAGTACTGACGCGCAAATATTACAATTAAAAAATACGTATACATTAACTTAATAAATCAAATACTATGCAATTAAAATAAAAATAAAAATGTGTTACCATATCAGGGTACGTACTTAGAAAAACATAACCGTTTAATGACCATATATATCATATACTATATGATATATTCAGTATAAGTATAGTGTATTACGGATTCTTCGTAATTGATTTCCTCACTTTGTGATATAACTATATGTAGGTATTACCCCAAAATTATGTTCATCCCTAAATTGAATTATACTAATCTTAGCCTAGTGGTGTCTACTTCGTTAATACATGTATATCATATATTATGGATAATCCATCGACTTAAATAATTTATACATCGCTATCTTTTACATTATTATCAAATCAAGTAACAAGAGTGAATGGCAAATTTAAAATTTATAACAAATCATTATTAGATTACATCAAATCAATCAAATGCACTATAAAATTGTAATAGTTATATAAATATTTGTCTAAGATATATGTAGCTTACGTTTTGACTCATATTAACAACATATTCTTTATCAAATTAATTTCTTTAGCCGTTACGTGAAATCTTAACACGCAAATAAATGAGCAGACACTTTTCGCCTCATCGAGGATATGCTTCATTATTAGCAGTAGTAATGCTCAAATAAACCATAATTTGATTATATGATTTAGATAATCAGATCTTATAATTATTTAATGAAAAATAAAGAATATTAGTACATTTAGCCCGTTGTTTACCACCAGCTACAATCGCCTATAACTTTCATTTATGGCCTTATTATCTCACCAGATCTCATAAAATAGTCAGAATGTTCACAGTCAGCGGTGCTTATAGTTATGACGACCGTTTGACGTAATAAAAACATTTTTATTGTTCTCTGTGTGTGTGACACAACCACAGGTAGCTACCAAGTAGTGAAAGCGAATGGATTTGTAATTGAGATAATTGAAGTTTTTACTTGAACTGTGGAAAATCTAGTGAGGTGGCACTATTTTTCTTTGATTTAATTAGTTTTAGAAGTTTCTTATCTCGACTGTAATTAGTATATGTAATTTTGTATATAATTGAATAGTACAAATGTTAGCTATTGCAACTAGAAGTTAATACAATATTTTTAGTGGAGCAGGTGAAAGAAAGATGATAAAAAAGAATCGAAAACAAAACGACATGGACTTAAGTCTATAGAAAGTAAAAACGTAATATAAGAAAAATAAAAAAGAGCTATTGTGATTAAACGAAATATTTTATATTAAAAATAATTATGTATGACGCAGATGTTTTATCGTATTTATTACGATAAAATTCAATAGTAACACATGGAAATTACTCAGAATGCATCCCTTTTATCTAATTAGGCCGGAGATTTACATAAAAACAATCTTTTTCAGACTGATATGAGTTCAAGATAACTGCTTTATACAAATCAGTATTCATATGATTAGTTCAATAGGTAAAAATATTAGCACAAAAAATTTTTGTTCATAAGTGGTTAAAATGTTGCACATGAATAAATATTTCTTGATTTGATTTGATTGAAGTACCTCCAACAATCCAGCTGATAAATATCTGACTAAAATCAAACGAATCCAATATTAATGAGGTTCAAACAAAAGTAATCCCCATAGACATAGTAAGTACTATATTACTTGTCAATTCTGTTACTAGTATTAGGTACAATACCTAGAAAAAGATTCTCAGTAAATCGCGATTAAAAGTATCTAATATTATGGCGATATAGATTACAATAACTATAAGAACATACAAAGGATGCTCTAAATGATGTTTTGCTATAATATAAAGGTACTAAGATAGAGCATCAAACTTGTTACATCAGCAAAGTAGTTTAGCACGACTAAACTACTTCACTGATGTTCCACCTTGATGATAGTGAGTTTGTCACGTTTATTTATAATATAAATTGACAGACTGACGTTGATTTTATCTCTATCTGTGACTGTGGGTTTTATCGTTTTCTACTAAGTTCTACTTACTTTAATAGTCTGTAAGTAGAATTTATTATCTGGAACTTAGATACATATATATATTATCTATTACAATAAAATCATAGTTAATAAATATATAGGCTTTAGTTGCGTAACTGTACCATCTGAATTCCGTGACAAAATTATTTACAAACTACTCATTTTATAAAATATGTGACGTTGTTAGTATCTTAATTAGGTACATAAAATTTTATTTGTAAATTTCTTATTCTTATGACTTTCAAACATAAGAATCTCCTTCGGACGGAGTGTCCGTCAAATTTTTTACTATTAAATGCTTACAAACTGGACGCTCAAAAGTAGAGTGTCCATGCGGAATTGGAGGCATTTGTTTTATGTATATATTAATATAAGCAACTAGTCGGAATAAGAAATGTATTAGCTGTAGTAAATAGATAAAAGTCTAGGATAATCCCTACCGAGAAAAGTCAAATGACTCCGACAGAGAGATCGAAAAGTGTAAATGAATAAATCATTCATTCATTCAAGTTTTTGTTAGTCGCTTAAGCAGATATCACCTTCCTTGCATATATCAGTTGAGTATGTGAATATAATTACTTTGTATTGTATGTAAATACAGAGCCGTATAAATTTACATAATTCAGACAGTTTTCAACTAAGTTCAAATAGAAGAGTCTGAATATGGCATTATTTATTTGACCAATCCATCCAGGCGACATCTTCTTTAATTATATTGTGAAAAGTTTTTTTTTGTATAGAATTCTATATTACACTCGCTGTATTCATGAAAATTAAAAGCTTACAGCATTGTATTGGTTCTATTTAAATATAGAAGAGAATAGAATTGGAACACAATAGTTAGGACAAAACGGTTCAATAACTATTATATGTATTACGTTTTTATGAAAATGAAGATGTAGGTATAAGTCTCACGCCAAGTTTGCTATAATATATAACCAATACAACTACGTGGACGTTCCACGTAGTTGTATTTGTTAAACGTATATTTGTGTATTTACAGGCAATTATCTATGCACAGGTGTCTTAATATACTGTAGGTGTGCATATCACAAATCATACTGGGTTCCCATTTTTGTGTGGAAGAAATCTTTAAATGTCACTTTTTGAGTAAGGGTATACCTATTACATACTAAATTATTCAAATATATTGAATACCAGTGGGATACATGCGAAATCCTCTTATGTTTACAAGATAAATAAGTCTATATACACATAAGTGTATATAATATGTATATACACGTGTTACAATCTTTGTACATTTCATTAAGATTCGTTCGGCCGTTAAGTCGTGAAAAGTATCAAATAGACAAACAGACACACTTTTAAATTTATAATATTAGTAGGGATACATTCACGACTGTTATCCGAGATGGCAATGTCAGCTGTTGACGTGGTCGTGACTGCGACACTTGACTCTACTCACATTTTCCTGGGTATATTTGACTCTGACATGGCGGGCGGCATCTCCCAAATTATTCTTAGTTTTTTATTAGTGTTTTCTTTATCGGAGAGTCACCCAGATATATATATTTACTCAATTAGATTATATATGGTTAACATTAACATTTTACTCACAGCCATTGACATCTGATTAGGATAATAAACCTCTGGGCCAGTCTCTGGTGTAAAATATTAAGCACTAGCTGACCATGTCTAAAAATGTATGTGTACTTGAATAAAAATTAATTTTCTATGTTTTTTCTATACATTAATAGTTATTCTACTATTCAAGGCAAAATCAAACAATTAAAAAATTATTACAGTGCAAACAGTCATACTTAAGAAATACAAAATGTTTGTACCGTACAGCATTAAAAACCGTACAGTCGTTCGCAAGTTGTAAATGATGTAAGCATCCCGTTGTTTCATATGTAGTTTGACTGGCGTCCTGATGATACAAAGAGAGATCAATGAATGATTTTATGCAGATGTCGAATTTAGTAATATCTATACAAGACTGCTATTATAGAGCAGTCGTGTATAGAAATTAATAAAATACAAAAGGCATATTAAGTTACGTGTTATAATTTTTACATTGAAATTAGTAATCAAAAGCTGACGTTTAATCTATTTATTTTTCATGTATTGTATAATATGGTTGTTGTGTATAAAAAGTATTTGGTAGTTTACACATATACTTTCTTATTTACAGCACATATGTGACGTTTTTTTTCGAACATATGACGTTGTGTGTACGTATTGCACACACTTCCCGAGCGGAAGTGCGTGCGCTCGTCTTTATTCAAAGCGCGTGCGCATACGCTACACTTACAAATCAACACAGTTACCAACCCATTGCAGTCCATTTCAAACTATACCATTACAGACTTTAGATCTCTTATCGATCGCAGTGAAAGTTGTGGTCTGAAGAAAGTTTATTGTGTGTTGTGTATATATATCTATTGGAGGTATAATTTAATCCATTGATGTCATACCGTTACGCGGGCGCGTGACTTGTAGATCAAAATGATTGTCTGTCATTGAGTCTATTGACGACAGCACTTATTTATGTAAAATAGTCATAATCACGACATTTAATATCAACATCGACTGATGTTACGACTAAAGTCGAATAAGATAAATGTATTAACATAAGCTATTATAACAATATATAATTTCTTGAGCATACCTACCTACTCATGGATTTATACCTGTTAATAGTCTACATAAAGTCTTTATACTATACCTCTAACGAGAAATCGAAAACATACTAAGGAAAGTAATGACAATAAATCTCTATGCGACATGTCAGTAAATTAATGAGTAACGTCATAGGTAAGTACCTATGTTACTCAATAATATGGTAACTTATAATGTAGTAGGTACATAATACTCAATAATTACAACACTTGATCAATTTTATAGCCTAATTATCTAGTATAATTTAAGATGAACATAATCACTAGACCCCCAATTGAGTATTGATTTTCATTGACGCGTTATATAAAACTTAAATAGTAAAAAAAATATATTAAATAGGTAGTCATTACACAGTAGAAATTATACGTTATCATATGTATTTACTATCATGCTAGGCATGATATCAATTTAATTCAATTAAACTCTTACTTTCACATTAGGTAATAAAAATATAATTACAAATGTCAAACTACTTTAAGAGAGGTTGCTAATTCAATATTAGATGTTACATGTTACAATCATTTAATTTAGAACACTAAGGATTGGTTCCCGTGTTATCTATGCCATTCTGTATTAACGTGGTCATTAATTATATTAAATGAAAACTTTTTTATGAAAAATAAAGCAGCCCATTAAATATTCACACTTACAAAGTACCGATAAGTTGTTATAGCTGACCAACCAAGCGAGATAAATCAACCACGGGTGGCGACCGCCTTCGAAGATACACATATAGTAGTTAATAAGACGTGAAGTAATTATACTGACGTTATTATCACAACAACTTGTCCCAAAGTTAGTCTTAGTACATTTTAAATACTTATAATTTATTCTTATGGGACATTTTTAAAAATCAAGCATGTATAAATTTAAATATCACGAATACCAACAAGACATCGTAATGTTACTTTTGTGTGTGTGTGTGTTCCTTCTAACATGTTTCCTCTTTGCTTCCTACAGATTGCTTTCCTGCAATCTGTACCTGTCCCTTTACACTAAATAATTCCGAATTAGTGTACAGGGACGAAAGTTTATATATCAGAAAATCAGGTTTCCCACAAATTTAAATGGTCGATTTTACACATTGTATGTAACTGCTGAAAGACTCACTTGTTTTTAACTGATACCTCCATTAGATAAAGCTGTTTCAGACGTTTTATTTTTAAATCTAAATAAACTAAAAAAATCTTATGGAAATATTAAAAAATATCACTAAATTGTAAGTTGTCAGGTTCTTTAAATCATTTTTTTCTACCTGCGCTCTATTCGAAATCTCCTGAAGTTGAAGTTCTGAATTCGTATTTTATGTCCATTGCGTTTGATGTTTTACAAATTTATGTACAAAAGCGTTAAAATTTGACAGTAGGTGTTTATTAATGAATGTCGTCGTTAAACTTCTTCCAATGATAAGATATGTATGATCATATTAGAATTGACGGATTGAATAAATCATGACGAAGGAATGACAAATGATTGGCTATAAGTTAGTCGAGATGAGTACGCATATCTATTATATATATATAAACCTCTATGTTTAAGGTCTTGTAATACTGTATCTTAATTCTTATAATCTGTCTATTTTACTACTCAATTATTCAAAATTCACATCTCTAGCTTCATTTTAGTACAATGAATCTCATGTTTATATGGCTTAATAGCCATAGTTGGATGGGTTGTGAAAAACTATATAAAAGACTAACGGATGATCAAGTGTTTCATTGGAGCAGTCAACCGTGGTAGCAAATTTTGCAATGTAAATGATACGTTATGTTACACCGTTGTCTGCCATTTTGCTGATGGATGTAGGCATATACATTTAATTAGAATAGAATAGAATATATCTTTATTGCGAACTGTGTGGGTACATTAATTTGTAGGTGATATAACAACATATATGATTCAATGTACTCTATATAGGTAGGTCATGCACAATTTACAACTAATATGATTTAAGATTATTATTGTACAATGTAAGTATTATAATTTAATGTTAATTAGGAAATTAAAAAGGACAGCAGTTATAAACATAATTATTGATAAATAAATATTTTATTATTTTCAATAATAACATCGAAATTATTAAAATATCGACTAATATAAAACTGTGTTCCAGCAAAATCTTTATAATATTAGTATTAGCAGTATATCGTCTAAAAAATTTGAAATTAATATAAACTAATTCGAAAAATATTATACCTATGCCCTGAGAAATCAATCATATTGATTTCGAAGAAGCCTGAAATCCTTTCCGTTTTGTCGTGTCCTTCTGGTTAAGTCATACCTTGTACCCACCATGAACTTGGCCATCATTAGCGTGATAAGAGGTTAGTATCTAATCAAATGGTTGATTTCCTATTGCGTGATATAAGTGCTCGAATGATCTCCGTTGTAATATTATCATTATCCAAGTGATTTATAATATTTATTAGTCAATCACATGTAAATTGCTGAAGGGATTTCAATAGGTAGATATGTGCCATTCAAGTAAATCATCATTAGATAAATGTTGAAGACGTACATATAAAGTCTTTACAAGGCAGGATACTTTATAAAACAGTGATATAGATAGTTATTTATTATTCAGTCAATTTATTATTTTATACATTTTGTATGTAACGTAATATATTGATGAACCTAGCTTTGAAGGGCGTTCTTTTATAGCTTAAGTATATTTTTATCTACTTTCATACAACCATTTTTCGACCTGGTTTTTCATTTTTAACACCACCTTATTCCCTTACTTTAACTTTGAGTATGATAGTTTCTATTGGTCTGGATGTTTCCTACGTATATTATGACTGTATTTACAAAAATACACGTGAATAAATCGAACCCGTGACCATCGGATGTAAGGCGCTGTGCTGCTAAAACAACATATTCTTGGTAGACTGTATAAAACTGAAGAGCAATAATGACACTGTGAGGAAGTACTAACACAGTATAATAATCACTCGGTTAATATTACAAATAATTATAAAATGCAATAATAAATTAATATTCTAAACAATTGAATCACTCGAGATACCTACCTATTAAAGTATAACGTCTAAAAACAATAGATTTCACTCGATTGTTTCTAGAAGTATATATATAGGTACATTAATCATATTATAGATACATGTTGTGTAGAATAGCAATGAATTTTATCTTCATCTGAACAAAACCGTTATAACAAACGTATCGAGTTCTCATTCGTGTATAGGACATTGGTAAAACCAAATATAAGGTCATTGAAAGCGAATTTACTGGACAGTTTATATCGCGAAAGTCGCCTTACTTGTTATCACTGTCAGATTGGGTAAATCATTTCAGCCTACACAATATTATATAGACGTTGTAACAATGTTGTAGAACCGTACTTGGAAAGCTTATCAAATAAAGGCGTAAGCAACTGATGCGATGAAAGGTGAAGTAGTTTCATGTATTCATTTAGTTCTTGAATTGTATTGACATATGTGTTATTTTTTGTTTCCTTTTATTTAAGTTTAAAGTTTGAAAATTCAAACATATTCATCACATATATTAAACCAAAATAAAATATAAGTATTATATTTTATTTTGGTTTAATATACGGGACGGTCTATTGGTCGTCGTGGCTGCTAAAATTGTCGTGAATTAAAACGAGAATCGTATCTGAAAATCAAGCATATTTTCTAAGCCCATCCCTATAGTCTGTCGTATTTGTCGTGTCAGTCTATACTCAAATGTTCACTCTGTCGTAGTTATATCTTATAAATGACCAGCAAACATTCCTACCAAGGAGACCACAACAGTAATTTTAATATAGGTATACAATTCGTTTGTACGTTGGTTTGTCGACAAACGAATAAAAAATACGATTTATGTAAAATATAGTATTTGTTCCTGGATATTATATAACATTGTTACTGCTTACTTATTCACAAGCAAAGTTACCCTGATATTATTCCTGAGGACTGAGCTACTCATGTCAATTGTTTAATTTCACTTCTATATCATACTTCAAACTTGTACATAAAAGCTATACAGTATATAAGTAAAATCTAAATTCTGGTGCCATAGATCTCAGAAATATTGAAAGTTTGTGTAATTATATCTCCCAATAAACTTATCTCTGAAATAACATATTAATGATATTACGAAATCGACCACACCGACGCTGTGCTGCATCAGAGTAACAATTAAAAATACTACATCTATAATATAAAAATAGTTTCCCTTAGTCGTGTCGTGTCGCAACCAACAATAGCCCACCCGTGAACACAGTTGATGATATTCATATAATTCCCGGAAAAATCTTGCGTCAAATTTATCTAATTCGATGATTATTGAAAATTTAATTTTTTTAATCTAAAACCGTTAAAAATGTCCTAAACATTTTTAAGACAATTCAAGTATACTTATATTACTATATGTAACGTAACCTATATATATATATATCGCGTTTTTATCCGCGTGCGTATATATATATCTTATTGTGCTAATATGCATCTTTCTTGTTCATATTGTAGCTTTATACAAATACTATTATAAAAAATCATTCGTGTACTTCTTAATTCATCCATGTCACTTAAGAATATAAACAAAAATAAAAACTTGTTATGTTTTATTATATTGGTATAGACAAGTATTTTTTTAACATTGTTGAAATAAAATATTTATTTTTATTTTCAGGCGCAAAATGGCTTTGACGAATTGCGGCGATATGTAAAACAAGGTAGTGACTTCAGTAAAGAATTAGCGGCAATTTTACAAGAAAGGTTTGTATTATATTATACTTGTCTTATACTAGCGTTATACTCCGGAATCGCACGTGTGTAACGCTGACCATACTTGATGATAATGTACATATGTTTTTAATATATACATTTAGTTGTTCAACTTGCTATAAATTATATTTTATGGATCAATGCAGTAGATATGTATTATCCGTTATTATTACCAGAAAAACACTTAACAATTACCTGCATGAAACATGTTGCCTACTAATCCCATGGGAATATCTGTGTGAAATTTTATGCATATTGCTATGTATTTATGAAAATTTCCTGATTACCTAGTTCGTAACTGATAATTTTTTATATATTTTTTTATACGCGTTTTTATATACTTGAATATTACAAAGACTAGAATTAAATCTAACAGCTGAACATGCACCATACATTATCTCGTTCCGTAGAATATTAAATAAAAATGTACATCTCTATATGCAATTTCACGTTTCTGGATAGTCAGTAGGGTGTATATGGAATAGGTAAACTATATATAAGATGATTATGTCAGTCAGACAGTTTGATGGATATATATAGACTTCCCGTCATTTCCTTTTGGAATATCAAAATGCTTATTCGTTTATGACTATTTTTGTTTACCTTGTTTTCATATCGCACGTATCGTGTATCGTATCATAGCACGACGGTAGTCTACATGTGATGTAGGTGGATCCATTCTAATACCTATAGACAGTATTACAAGGTGGTAAGGATTAAATAAAGGAAAATAAATATTATTTATTTTTCGATCAGTGGATAATATAATATAATTATCTTATCTCTCACCAATGGCGGGAAAAAAATAAATAAGGTATTTAACAAAGTTAACAAAATAATTTTAATAATGCAATTCAGTCATTAATTGGTTAAATTGAATTTAGTGTGATAACTACTTATTTTTTTTTTTCTGTCCTAACGTTCTAGTTACATATGTACCTAATAAATCTTAAAAAATGCACGATAAGCGCAAATTTCTACGCACGTACCTATGTGCCTGTTATAATAGGTAATATAGATATATATATATATAAACATTTACAGTATAAATATCGCTACATATTCTATAGATTCGATTATTTCACTAATTTTTGTAATAACAAATGGTTAAATAGTTCCGCTTCACTGCATTTTATGCTCAAATGAGCGGTTATGAGTGATCTTCGGGTCCGGCTCAGTCGTGCGCGTTATAGATAAGCTATCGACATTTCTCCATATTACTTTCTATGTCGGCCGATAAAACAATGAAGTAGGTATTACTCATGAACAAACTGTTTATTCTTCATTTCACGAAAACTAGTAAAGAAAATTTATCATGTGACATGAATTTGTTCTACACACCTGCGCGCCACACTTCGCTCAACCTATATAGATAAACTTCAGAAACAATTCGATAGCAAACTATAAGTTTTTATACGAAAAGTCGTATACAATAGCAGCAATTCCTTTTTGAGCATAACTCAAAATCTAATAATGTAGTATATGACTTGAAAGTACACACAAAAAGATATCGTTGAATTGAGCACATCCGCTTGTCAGCAGTTGGTTGGAAATCATTTCATACTTTCATACAAATATGAAATAATTCAATACTTTTAGGAATTGAAACTGTCTATCTTAACTGATTTGTACCTACATATTTATTATCTTTTATGGTAAGAAGATGAATTGTGAATGTTAATTAATAACAACACATACATATAAAAGCTTTTCTAAAATATATACATTATTTTTAATCAGATATAAAAAATAAAAATTGCACTTAATCTCATATCTATAGGTACGTTTATTTTATACCTATGTTATGCGCCTTCATCACGAAATCAGAGATACAATTATATTTTACAGCTGGTATACACCAACGTTGATCACAATCATTGTTTATGATCGGATGTAATTTCTGTGTATATCAAAACAAGATTACTTTTGAAATGTACCTACTAATCTTCAAAGTAAGGGCAAGGCAATGGCCACATATTCAAAAATAGTATGTCTCGCAGCGCAGCCGTTACCGCCAAGTGGGCCAAGAGACACAAATAAACCGCGCGATATAAATTTATCACCTCCCATTGGCCGAGACAGCATTATATCGGTTTACACAACAACACAGATAATCACGTAGACATAAAAACAAACCATTGCGACACAGCACTTATGTTTCCTTCCGCACGGCGCTTACGAAATTGCATCCACTTAAAATGTTAAACTGTTCAATTTTTTCGCAGGGTTGAAGCAGAAAATTACTATTCGAAATGTTTAGCGAAACTTGGAACAAAACTAAGCAAGGCTTGCAAAGAGAGCGTCGGGTCATGCGCCGAAGCGTGGAAGCATGTCGCTTTGGAAATGGAGAAACAATCGGAAATTCACAGGTAACTATTACCTAATGAACACTCGTTCAGTTATCATTTAGAAAGTTTAATGCTTCCCGAATTCTCATTATATAAATGCGAAGTAACTACAAAATAAACTTGTTTCAGGAATTACTCAAATTCTATGGCAGAAGAACTTGTAAAACCAATGAAATGTATCACCGATAACCAATTAAAACTTAGGAAAAAGGTATGCGTTATAAGCAACTATAAATGTTTTCAAATATGTTTAGAGACTTATCTAGTTACTTATATATAAAAAATATTCACAGATCGAAGGTAATGTGGATAAAACTACGCGAGCCCTTACAGAATGGAGAACAGTAGAAGCCAAATCTAAGAAGCAATCTCACGCTGCGGCAAGGGAAAATGAAAAGTTACAGGATGCTACACTGGATATGAGGTCTGCTAATTTGCGATAAATTTGATGAAATTAATATCCGTACATCTACTTTGACATAAATAATAAACTTACAGGATATTAATTGAGTCAAAATTTACTTGAAGGATCCTTCGTTGCTAAGCGACAATATCTAGCGAATTCTATAGCCAATGCGATTGTTTTATCATATTTAGGGGCTCTGAGTGTTAGTTACCAGCTCCTGTATTTCTTTATTCACAGCAGAATATCACGCAGTTCAAGCGTGGGACACATTCCACATTCCATCCTCAGCGCAGCAAGGGCAGAGCGGCTCACCAACTCAACGAGTGAAAAAGATGCTGCAAAATTACAAGTGAAAAAGAGAAAAACAGAAGACGCTGTTAAAAAGACTGAAGTGGAGTACTATAATGTTTGCGTTCATGCAGAACGCTCCAGGTAATAATCTATATCATATGAATATAACTTTAATCGATGAAGATAATGTTGAACGAATTACAATGATTCTATTTAACACAGGTTAGAATGGGAATCGAGTGTGGTAAAGGGCGCCGGAATGCTAGAATCTCTTGAGGAAGAGAGATTAGCCCAGTTGAAAATATTCGCGGATTGTTATTTAAAATTAACAGCGGCAGTCCCTCCACAATTAGCTGATGTAAGTATTTTGTATACTCATTATTACTACAAAAAAATTTGTGTCACAAATTGTTTTTGTTTTACAAAGATCCAGAAGGCATACCTCATTTATAAAACTGAAGTTCAAATGTAAATCCCAATTTCCTTGCATTATATCTTATTTATAATATTGAGGTAAGAGAGATGTGGAGCTTAAATACTTTACAGTCAACATTAATGATATATTAATGTTGACTGTACCGATGCTTACTTAAAATATTTAATGGAGACATTTAGGTAAATAAGCATATTAAGCAAAATTAAAATGTTTCATCTTTAATTTCGCTTAATATGAAGAACTTGAGGCATTATTTCTTTCTTATCAATATGGTGAACAGTTGATACCATGAAATTGCGCTATATGACTGAGCTATAGGCCGTTTTGTGTCTCTGTAATTTGATCAGCAGTTGTATTAGTTTTTAATTGAAACAAATATCGATGATTATTATTATTATTTATTAGATATTATATGTGTTTGTAGGCAACAAACGCCCTAATTAATCCAATTACAAATGCAAACTCCAACGTGGATATGCGAGTGGTTAGAGGAGTGCGATCCGCTCCTGCGGGCGCGAGTGAACAGCTACTCCCAGACTTCTACTGCGAACATACCACTCTTGCGATGAACAGAGAAAGACGTAAACAGGTACCTACTTATTCTATATACTATGTTTAACTTTGACGACCTCGGTGGTCTAGCGGTCTTGTATCGGTCTGGGTGTTTTCTATGTACGATATGTATGTATTTAATAAAAAAAATATCTATGTACTTGTATCCGTTATCTAGTATCCGTAACACAAGCTTTAGCTAGCTTAACTTAGGACTAGATGGCGCTGTGTGAGTTGTCCTGAGATTATTATTATTATTATTAACTACAAGTACTTTACAGAATTAATATGTATTCGTAATCTTATACTTAAATTCTCTGAAATGGCTAGACCATTTTTCTGAAATTTTATATGCATATTCAGTAGGTCTGAGAATCGGCTACTATCTATTTTTCATACACCTAAGTAATAAGGGTTGTCCACTCCTAACATTTTTTGGACAACATTTTATTTTATTATATATTTTTATAATGTAGCATTAAAAATACATATAATCCTAAATTTTAACCCTTTGATCACCAACCCCTACATTTTAATAGTGATTTTAGTTTATTAAAAGATAGTGGTTAGTTATATCAGTTCACATCCAGTAGAAATAAATTAAAGGTTGGTTTATGAGTAAATAGACACGGATTATATGGTTACGAAGAAAAGTATAATATCATTGTCATATAAACATATCTATTTTCAGGCGTTAATGAAGATACTACAGCTAGTGAAACAGGATATAGACCGCGAAAGAAAATCCAAACAAGGTCTAGAAAAGCTTTCCATGGCTATAAAACAAACGCCTACGTTCGGAAACGATGATTCACAGCAGAATGTCGCTGACAAACTGTACCATGTAAGTTATAATACGTATCATTATACAAATAGTGAATAATTGTATATATAACACATACCTTAAATATGATGATTATGAAATTATATTGTTATGGAAGACCGCATTTTTTAATGTAAATATTTTATAAGCTATACCTATATTGGTGAAGAACATAAATATTTCAGATATCCAAAAATTGCCTCAAACTATTTGTATTTTGAAATCTCGTATCGTAAAAAGAGGCAACTAGAAAACTAACAAATAGAAAAAATGATAAATAATACCTACTTATTAGAATAGAATCTATATGCTAATTATCCAAGATAGGTTTTATAATATAACTCATCTTCTTATGATGCTCTCGTATATTAGCATTCAGTTGATTATTAGACTTTTGCATTTCCTATAATCACGGAAAAAAAGTAAAAAAGTTAACAATAATTAAAAAATATCTCTAATAGAGTTCACACTCATTCCAGGTGAGATCTATGTTAACATATTTGGAAGCAGTAAGGTTCAAAATTTCAACGAGTCTCAGTGAGCTAGACAACAGACCACCCGTGAAACATCCGCTTGCGACTCACATACAGATCGTTAGAGACAAGCAGGGCCTGCAACAGAGTATACTTAAAGTAAGTTTATATACCTTTCTCTCTCTCTTAGCAATGTCGGCTAAAAGACATGAGCACGTTATACTTTTCGTACCGGAAGATTTTGTCACCTGGAAGATAGACGCAGAAACAGACGTAGGATCAGACAGACATAATAATGGTGTATCAAATAGTCTCACTACTACTTGCTCCTATACCTTAACTTTAATTCTTAAACATTCGATGTTTTTAATAGAATATCCGATATTTATGACTTTATTTTATGATTAAATTTTATAATATGTGTATTGGTATCTAATAAACTGATTTCGATGCAGCTACTAAACGTACTAAAATTTTCTAAACATTCTATATATTCAATGCAGCCTATGTATTGATAATGATACAAATATTAGCAATATTGTTGTACTACTGGCTACCCACAATTACTTCAGACCCATTATCTGTCACAAACTATAACTAAAACTTTTCCTAACTTTACAGGTTCCACCGTGGTTACAAGCTGACTACCAAAGTGAAGTTAATAAGAACCTACAGCCAAATTACACGGCATTATCAAAGAGTATAAATGGGAATGGTGAAGAACGAGAGAGGCGTGACTCCATCATGAGTAGAGCCTCGAGCAAACTTCGCATAGAACATTTATCCTTTAGAAGAAATCATGACAACAAGAGCGCTCCAGTGACACCGGTGATTCCGGACCTACCCACCATACCTGCACCGCTGGTAAAATCGCAGTCAATTGAAGCACACGCTCCTCCGGAAAGTCCACTGGATTGGAGTGAAAGAGGCGCTGGTGATGGACTGTCTAATCAGCAAGATAGCGATTTTGGTAATCAATCATTTTAATTTCCCCAATTAGTTCAAGGCACCCTATATTAATTGCTGATAAATAACGTACAAAATAAGTGAAAGTATATAAAAAATCAATTAGATTTTTTTATGTATAATTTACAAAAACAAATAATTACTCTTTAATATTCACGTAAGTCTAAAGATTTTGATATCACCTATAGAATCACACTCTTCTGAAAGACTAAAATGTCATATCTCCATATCCTGTATCACCATAATTTATAAAGCAACTTGCTTAGATGCTTGATGCTTAAATAGGTAAGACTTAGGTGATCACACAGACGACTTAGTAGAAAATTAACATTTGGAAGATTGTATTAATGTTCTATTTCCAGATGAATTCTCATCTCAAAGCGATAGCTCGACAGATCTGACTGACATCATAAAAAATGAAACTAATGGAGCGCCCGAGCCGAACCCGTCTGTAGGAAAATGTCGAGCCCTCTACACGTACGAGGCAAGGTTGAATGACGAGCTCACCTTAACTCCTGGTAAGACTATTTTACAAATTGCAAAATCATTACTATTCTTACTAATATTATAAATGCGAAAGTAGCTCTGTCTAGCTTTCACGCCAAAATTATTGAACGGATTTAAATGAAATTTCGTACACAGATAGTCTAAACCCTGATACTTTTTAATGCAAAAAAGGGATGTGAAGGGTTAAAAAATTGTATGGAAGTATCGTCATTTTTAAAGCTAGAAGTTAGAAACTTATTTGTTAGGCTGTTGATTAAATATGACATACAAAATTTGAAAAACATTTTCCCTTAAGGGGATAAAATAATATAGGGAACGTAACTTAAATAGAACAATAATTTTATTTCTTTGTTATTTTTGGATTAGATTAATAAATATATCATGGTCAAATATCCTCGGACGAAGTCGCGGGCACAGCTAGTAGATATATAAAATATATGACCTTTTGGTTGAAGCATGTGGAAGTACCACTATGCCATGACATTCTCAATTTAAGTCTCGAGTACAAGTTATACTTAATCCTAATAGACATTACAAGGTACCAGTGCGTCCTAATGAATCCATTAGCGCTATCAATCGCAAAATTATAATTCTTAAATTAAATTTCTTAAAGAATAAAATATGTATCTGCGATTGAGTATTTGTATATTTTATTGCTTTATATAAATGTAAAAATTATATAAAAAGTAATGGTATTTAACATAAACCGTATACTAAATTAATAATGTAGTGTATTAATAGTTATGTACAATTATATGTCGACTGTTTGTGCTGTAACTTCTTGCTGAAACTATATATACAATGTAATTATGCATTCTTAAAACAGAACAAAGAACGTAACGCACGTAACGAACGTAACTAGACTACAGTCCAGGAAATAGATATCAAATAAAATGTTCTTTTTTAATTGTTTTATTGTTACCAAATTGTGTTTTTGTGAACGAGTCAGCTGCAATGCGAATTTTTTGTTTTCGTTAAATTTGTGCAACGAATTATATTATTTCAATGTATACTGAAATGATTTTGAAATATATTTTACTATTTGATAGCCCATTTATCAAAGAAGGTGAGATCAGAGATGAGGACAGTTTATGATATGGGGTAAACAGGGTGGAGCAACAGTAATAAATAAATAAAAAAATATGTTTTACAATAACGAGACCAATATTGACATGTCCATTGATTTAGTAACTGTTGTCTAGTTCTTTTCTAAAGTAATGATTCTTTGTTCTGCGAAGAGTCTTGAATGTTTAATCTAATATGTATCTTAAATTTATTATCGTTAATATTCAATACATAGCTATTGCATAGTCATGCCTAAAAAGCTGCACAGATTTTATTACGGTTTTAATTTGTCACACAGGTTATCCATCTGGACTTTTACATTTATTGGAACAATACGGAATAAAATTATTTTAATTTGAAGATCACAGCAAGTATCTTAATAAAAATATTGGATTCCTTTGTTCACAGGAGATATAATAAATATTCACGACAAACAAGAGGATGGCTGGTGGAGTGGAGACCTCAATGGTTCCTACGGAATTTTCCCGTCCTCTTATGTGGAAGAGATCACTACATGCATATGAGTATTAAGTTATATATTTAGATAATACCTATGAATACGTTGAGAAGCAATCAGTCATTTATATTAAGTGTTGTATAGGTACTTAATTGGCATTTTCAACATATGCCAATTTGAATAAAACGAGCAATATAGTTGCTTAATTTGAGTATGGTAATTCTAAAGTGATAAAATTGCTAGGAGCTGTCACCAAGGAGGTTAACAAAGATAATCCACTGATACCATCATGAAAACTACGATAACTCTGCTTAGAGTGCACGACTAAAGAAGAATATAATTCTGAAACCTTCTACTTGCTTTATATGGCAGTACTATCAAATATCGCTGTAGATATTGAAGATACATCGATAATATTTCATATTAAACGTTAAATTTGTCAATTCGTGCTAGGAATGGCTGCTTATTGATGATAAAAGTAGATAGGACAAGTGCCTACATCAAGTTTTTTCTAAGCATTGCAAATGCAACAATTATGATTAACTATTAGGTACATTGAAATATCTACAACAGGATCGGATTACTGTCTTATATGTAACTTTATTCTACATTCTTTCTATTATTATAACTCTTATTGGTTCCGTTGAGTGTAAAATTGGGGTTACCATTCAGGGAAGAGATAGTTATAGATAGAAATAATTTAAATATGATGCTAGAAAATATGGGGCCTAAAATCCAAAGTAAAAACAACCATCCACTGTGATGGAACATAACTTTAGTCACATTTTTATATTTTTGGTGACATTTCTAGAATACATCTCATTTTATGTACATAGGTAGGAGTATTTTATTATAATCTTTTGTGATTTATTATTTATACGGGACAAGATATTATGTATAATAAATAAATATATATACATTAACTTAGAAAGAGCAATATACATCATTTTCTATAACGATGGTAACTTTATAAGATTGTCTACATGGGTTCTTGATTGGGATAGGATTAAATGAAATTAGTCAACGACTAATTATTTTGTAATTTTCTTTGTTTACCATACAATCCTACTGTATTTTTAGTAGGCATAAACATACTTATATTCAAATTCGCATAGAATACCAAATCTAGATAGATAACTAAAGAAGCAGTCTGTATCTTAGTAAGTAAAGAATTATGTATTATATTAATCTTATGAAAACGCACTGAATATTCATATATATTTTTTTGTAGACACAAACCTTATTATTTGTTTTAGTAAAGACAAAATATTTTTTTTAATTCAGTCTTAATATATTTAATAATTACTTATTAGTGTATCGCTCACTTGTTCTTCATAAAAAGTTGTTTATATTCTATAAGAACTCTAGTTATTACTTCTGAAAGAGTAATGATATTTATTCTAAAAATAATTTGGACAGCATAAAAACTCGAATATCAATTTATGCCTAGTGATATTATTTTTCATAATTTCTATCGCTCAAAAACTAGACATACTAGACATATAAATCTCTCTGAACTGGCTGTTTAAAGTTAAAAGTTATATGAAGAATAATAATTAATGAGACCGAGTCTGGTCTGTAAATTATTTTGTAAAATAATGTGCACACATGTTGAAAAGGAAATAAATTAATTTAAGTAACTATATTTATAATTAATTATGTTTTAAAATGTGTTAGTTACTTAATAAGATTTCTGATTGCAAAAGTGTAATTAATAACGTGTAAATTATAAAAACATAACAATAAACCAAAGTGTTGTTTAACAAATAAATGTTTAAGAATTTATCCATGCTGGTATAATTACTTTAGAACCTTTTACAGTGAATGATATCAAATGAAACTACAGACGAGATGACAACAAATTCTTTATTAAAATAACCTTCTTAGATTACGAGTGTTGGCAAGAAAGGACCATGCGTCCAAAGTTCTAATACTAAATCAATATTATAATTATTTTAATTTCATTATTAATCCCAAATTCATGTCAATAGATTAACTGTAAATATCGGCTGAAAATGTTTCTGTTCCCCTAGGTGCGCCGTTCAATGGCATAAAGGACCTACACACAGCACTAATAATAGGTATAATATTGGGACATTGGTGGGGCCCTGGATTACCACGTTGGTTGCAAAATCGATCACTAGTGTGCTCTCCACTCCACCAAACTGCTCCAATATTGTACCTTTTGAATCCGTATATAGGCCTTTTTAAGTAGAATCAAGCTAGGATGCTAGCTGTACGAGTTATGTGCTGAGTCATGCAAATGATATTGAGAACTGCAAATTCTGCTGATTTTGTATTCATTACATCGGATATTTAAAACTGAAATTATTATCCAAAACATGTCTAAACAACAATCACTTGACACACTGAAAAGTATGACTACACCGAATTACAGCTCAATCCCTGTTTAGCAATACTGCAAATACTACAACTTTACGATAAATCTGTATTTCAATGAAACAATCAATTTCAATATAAGTTCTGAACGACATCTTTGAAAAGGCTTATAGTCAAACCTTTCATAAAAACTATTACATAAATTTAATTATTTTGTTATTAAAATTTGCGAATATATTTCGTACTTAACACTAAATTGAATATTTCAACGGTAGACGATAATAAAAGAAATATTACTATTATAATGTCACATGGGTACTTTATATCATAATTTAAAAATATTAAATAGTTTCTAATATCGTTTGAAATTAACAAAAGATGTAGATGATGACAATATCTCGACATATGGTTAAAAAAACAGTAGTTGTTTTAGTATCTATCCACTATCTTAATTTCAGCATATACTTAGATATGCGTTTACAATTGGTATGTTTTTTGTGTAGATATAAAACATATGTATACAGTAACAAACAGTAAATGAGCACTGTTTGGGTGTAGACAGTACTTACTTTAATCTCATAAATATATCAATTGACAGAGTGCTCTCCACTTCTTGATTTTTTATTAGTAGGTATAAACCGAATACGCAGAAGTTCTATATTAATAGATAGGCAATACAATTATACATAATATCGTCATCATCATATGTATATGTAATAATATATGCTAGATATTTAATTGTATTCATTAACTTATCAGTAACCTATTGTATAAAACGTCATGACATGTCAAAATGTATACATATATTCAATATATAAAGCAAATTAAATACACCTAATTCTTATTATAACATACGACTTGAATGTAATAATATATTTGTAATATTTTTAATAATTACAGAAAAAGCATTATAGAGAATAGTAATGTCTTAAAGATATCAACGGTATGGTGTGTTAGAGTGAAGAAATATTATATCGGGTCATTATCTAAATTGAATTTGAAAATAGAATCCAAATAGTGTTTCGCTACTGGCAGTTATTTTTTTACGTTTGACTAATCTCAGCTTATTATCAACTGTTATTAATATACAGCATAACGTATCTGTGGATATATTGTCTAAATACCTACTCTATTTTGTGATTTATAGTGTAAACTAAATTAATAACGAAGAGGACGTAGTGTAATACTGTGAGCAGTCTAATTTAAAATAAATATGCTCAAGGGATCATTTTGCGATATTTTTTTGTATTATAAAAACTATTTTTGTAACACATTTAGATTTAAATTATCAACTCGTTTTCTTAAAATGAATCTAAATTCGGACAATAATGCTTATGATACAGCACCAGTTGTGAATAAAAATTAATACCAGATCTTAAAAGTAATGCCCTTACTTAACGTAGGTACTACGACATCAATTTACGTTAAACATTTTTTAGAATTAGGTTTAGAAATACATGATCACGTGATTGTGCATTGGACCGGACGCTATTCCGTTAATGAATAACTAGCTTAGGCTACACAATAATAACATTTAATCAACCGTCATATCATCATAGTTGAGGTCTTTACGAGTTCCATAACAGGTCCGGTTTGCCGTGTGAATTGCCCAAGTGCTTAAAGTGACGAATCCAATGCTAATCCCCCTTATCGTCCGGCGAAGCTGTAAAGGCCAGATGTGGCCAACAGCATTAGAGTAGTCCGAAAAAAACTGCTACTATTATATATTTCCATATTACTATATTATCTTGATCGCATTTCAAAAGAACCGTATAAAACTAGATTTAATTAAACTTGCTATTCAAATTAAACTCCTCACTTAGAAAATGTAACTTAGACACTTCGCCTTAAGGGCAAACCGAACCTGGGTTAAAATACCCAAACGTATAGTGGGTTTAGTAATTTACTGGAATTGTTCTCATGATTTCTTACAAATAGGGGTATGATTAATTTTGTTCAAAAACGCTTTATTAAAGATACATGAGACAGTTCTCATATTAAAATTAGCTTATTGGTTGAGACGCCCTGAAATTTGTTGCCTCTTTTTCCGAAAATATATTCACTCATCCGTCTAATTCTACATATAAAAATACGCGTTACATATATACCTAATACAAGTTAGATCGATTTAGCAAAAACGTATTTCTATTATTATTATTATGCTGTTACTATTCCAAATTGGAAATATCATGGCTTATTACTAATTCATACTCATGACCAATACTTATATACAAATGTGAATAATACAAAAGTAGATATAATTTTATTATATCCTATCCTCTTATTCATAAAAACGTGAAACGTTAAAACCTATTTTAAATATCAAACTGTTTCATCCTTTTCTTTACTTTGTACTTTTTTATTGTTATTGTTGTTTTTCTATTTGCAAGGCAAAGGTTTCCAGACCATACAGCCTATTCTTCCGTGGTTACTCTTACATCTTCTTACTTTAAATAAAGTGACAAAACACAGTACATAATAGTTAAAATGAGTTAGTAGGAGGTTTTTATCAATAAGGGGTAATATTATTTTTCTGATTGGAGTGGAAACACGAAGACTGATCCATAGTCAGATTAGATATTACTAATAATTTAAATTGCCAATGCATACTCACAGTATATTATAAAATAAGGCAGTACCATAGTATGTCCTTTGGCTAATTGTCATATAAATAAAAAAATAATTTCTGAAGGATGACATGAAAATCCTTTATGAAGGATGCCTTTATACCCGTATCATTCAGGATCGAAAATTAATAAGGAAATAGGTAACAAATGACTAATGTTATAGAGAATATGTGTATATACGAAGATATTATATCATTATTAGAAAGGTTTATTATAATGACACATACAAATAGATTATATACGAAGTATGTACAAAATCTTTAAAAAATCATAGCAATGATTTAAATGTTTAAGCTAAATTAATTCTGTAAAATTGATATGACAATTTAATTTGTCTATGGATCTGTCTCGTTTATATTAATACTCTACGTTACTTAACAAGATCTTAATACTATGTCATATAATGTAAGAAAAAAGAAACGTACAAAAACAAACTTTACGTCGTTTTTTTTTTATTCCATTCAGCGTAAGAGCAAGCTGTATAGATATTAAAATATAATGTACTAACTTAAAAAGGCAGTACGAAAAAAAAATCGTAACTATGTACTGTATGTATTTTAATTACTTAATGTACTTATAATCCGACTCAAGTAAATAAAAGTAAGAATGTAGTTATGAACCAGAATATTCTAAAATTAGGAGGCAGTGTAATATCGTGTGGTATTTCAGTTTATTATTTTTTAGCGTTATGGCTTTATATCTTGTAGCATCCATAGACCAATCAGTCATTGCATAATTGATATCCATAATGAAATGAGTTCTAGAACGTCCTTTTTATGTAGTATTTTTAGTCTACTATAGGACAATTCACACAGCGTGATTTGCGTAATACATTTTATTTTTTTCATAGTATGTATTATTTTCTCCCGATTTATTTGCATTATAGTTTAGTTACTGCTTATTGACATTGAAACATCAATATATTTATTTCATAACTACATTCTTACTTATACCTACCTAGTATCAACAACATTATTTTAATTACAGTTATAGTTTTACGAGTCATAAATTATAGATATAAAAGTTCTTAGTTCCAATCGTTACCACTTCGGTGGCTGTACAAATGTATAAAATCGAATCAAGTGTCAATTTTAACATGGTCGCTAGCGAGTAAACCCGAGGTAGAAGCGTAGAGGTAAATTGTACAAAATTTAAGTGCACCTCGTGTTATGGTACATACATTGATTAATAATATTTAGTATAAAACGCGCTGCATAACTTAATAGGGCATGCGCAGACGTCGTAGGTACAACCATCAGGGTACAACAGTCCCGGATCTGAGGGAAGAGGGCCAACACGGGACCCATGCCCCGGTCGGTAAATTTAAAACTTGGCAGAAGAATACAGAACTCATCATTAACGCATCATTGACAACTTGACCACTGAGATGTTGATGTAAATTGTTGTATGGTCAATGTATTTGAAAATGCCACAATAATTAACAGCAATATTAATTGAACAAATTGTATGTTAATATGTATATTGTGAAAATGATGGCCGGAGAGCATCCTAGGGGGTGGAGGGAGGGGGGGGCATTTTTTATTACATACATTTTATGTAGGTACCTACTATACAGTGGATACGTAATACTTTAAATTGAATTCAAGAGTAAAGAATAGGACTGGCTAATACCAGTGACCAGACTACACTAAAATTAAAAGTAAAAAAATGCTAAAAAATTTCTATATTTTAAATTAATTACAAAATACCGATTTCGGAAATATTCGGAAACCTGATTAGAACCGGAAGTCTGATTAAAACTGAAATCTTCAATATTACGGAATCCAGTTATGGCATTTTTTATTTCGTGATTACCACTTAATAATCCCGATAAAGTGTTGCCATACTTTTCATCACAAAATCCCCACTAATAAATTGTTTCTTTTAAAGACTTAAGACGGTCTGACATCTGCGCAAGCCTCTAGTGCTATAACGGTTAATTCTGACCCGTTCTATTTAAAGTACTATAGTATACTTATCATAGTATGTACCGTCATTGTCATATACTCTGATCTTTTCTTTTTTTTATGCGATATGCTACTGTAGCGACGTATCAAACGTGTACACTATCTATATACGTAGCAGAATATTCTTTCTGGAGCTTCTATACAAAAATAGATTCATTTCTATGTTACCAAATTTCAGTGTAATTTAACGACAACAGACAAGCTACAACTTTAATGCTAATTCTATTACTGCACCAATCACAAGTATATGAAAATCCAATAGTTATCAGTATAAATAGCGGACTAGCGTACTGTATCAGCAAAAAAAGTTAAATATATCATTATTATTATTTAGACCAATACTGTTTTATAAAATATTCAATACTTCATTTAAAGGAAAATAAGAAGATACTGTATATCGATTATATTAATTGCCTAATTTCATTTTATAAATCAATATTTATTATTATTGTAAGAAAAATACGATACAAAATAGCAAACAATAAAACATGCAGTTGAACGATCCGTTGCAGTAACTGCACAAGACAAAATAATGTGGAATGTAGACATTTATTTATTAATTTGTTTTTAGAATATATTTTATTGTGATAGTCATGACATAAAGTGTTTTATTTATCTGCACAATTAACAAAGTTGCTTTAATTTATACACGAACTTCTGTTATATAATATATATAATATTCATATCAAAGCAAGTTGACAAAATATAATGTGTTTATTGTCCACCTTTATCATTTGTACTGACCAGACAGATAATTGCATTCAATTTAAAAAAATGTTTAATTATATGTTATAGAATAAACGACAGCTAAAACATCAGCGATATAACTGTAAAATTAACTAAATATCTTTAAAACGCAACATAATATTTGCCAATGAAAATACTGCATTACCAACTTAACTGACAAATGCACTCCCTAAAAACTTTACTAATCATTATTGCAAGTATAACTTGAACTAGGTGCATAAAAAAGCCTCAATATGGCTGCACTTTGTACTACTGTTTCTTTATATTTAATTATTATTTTATAATGCAGTCGTCTATTAAAAACACATATAGACGCAACTTGCAATTAAGAACACAAATAAATTGTATAAAATACATAAATTGATATGTAAACCATACTAACCAAAGCGATATAAGGAACACCAATTATACTCGACAAATATCATCGTTATTTATTGCTTTATCCGACTTACCCGTAGTCTACAATCGAATATGACGCTTTTTAGAGGGTATATCGAGAAACTTCTAGAGATTTCTGGAAAGTTTGTTAATTAAGTATTATTACTGATTGTAAATAACGCTGTAACAATTTTATAATACGATGGTATTCACAGTTAAAAAGCTTTGAAATATCCCGAACAGCGATAGAGAGCAATTATCTATGCTCTATATACTCTCGTCTATAGTTTTAAGCTATACTGCCTCAATTCATTTATATCCTGATTATTAAAATAAAATAAGCTTATATTTTTTACTATTAATACAAAAATAAAAGTAATCAAGGTAAAGAACGGGGTATAAATAAAACAAAATTATAAAGGGATACATGTCGATTACAAAATTAAAATTATATTAAATAATATAACAATAAACTGATTATATGGGTAATTAATTAACATAATCGAATGCTGTTTTATAAAAACAGATATATAATAAATGCCTACAATGACACTTCATTTATACGTAGACCTCTACAATAAAACTTTTGACCACCCGCCGCAGTAATAAACATAACATTTTTTATAACGTAAAATAATTAACAAAGTATTTAATAAAATTTAAATAAAGACATGGCTAATATTTTAGTTTGTAATAAACATAATAAAAAGTTAAAAAAAGATAGAATAGAAAATATACGTACATAATAACTTCAAAAATATGTGAATAGAGCTAATGTAAACACTAGCATATCTAATTCCGTATTACGCAGTCTCTAATATTTTGACTGAAGAACTTGTATCCACGGTCATAAATAAATTAAAAACAATAGTCAATAATGGAACTACTTTTTTTGTTTGTACGGAAACATTAAACTCTTTGTACGCGAATGTGATGTATAAAGTATCACTATTGTGGGAGATGTTATATTAAATAAGACTAGAAATTGAGCGATTGAGTGGACAATGCTTATAGATAGAGAGAAATATAGTAAAAGTCTAAGATACGCCATCTTTTTCCTATGCTCTATCTCTACCTTACAATTACGATATATACATATTATGTCTCCCATTACCATTCAACTGTTCACAAGAACTGACGTCACTAAATCAAAATTATTATCTCTCACTTACTGAAAATACCTTTACATGTTGTTTAAAAACAAACCGTCAGTTCACTGAACAAATTATTCACTTAATGTATCACGATTTATAAAATATATTATAATTTTATATTACTATTAACAATTTAAAAAATAGTGCTTGTCAAAATGAGATATCTAAATTAAACAATAAAACATGTATTATGCTTATAGCGCTGCTAGAACTAAAATAAACTTTGGCCAAATAACAAACTTATCACATGCTGAATAGAAATTAATATTTACTGTGCACTAGAGCACGGCGTTTACCACAATTTATAAATGGACCACAATAGAACTGTATTTCATACAAGATTTCTTTCCCTAATTTGTTGAGACACACCAAATAACTGCGCTCGAGTGCACAACTCTATATCGAGTCATAAACAATACAGCTTTTACAAGCGTTCATGCTTTGCATTTTCATAATTTATTACAAAAATTAAGTCATTCATACGGACTTGTGAATAAATAAAAATATAACCGAACAATCTTTTACATAAAGCTGTCACAATAACTTTCTCTTAATTCTAACTACATACTCTTCATAAGAGTTCCCCGTTCGTCTAAACCAAATCTCATAGTGCCGCCTCAAACACTTCCTCATAAACTAAAGCATATAGAAATGAGACGAAAGTGGACAGAAGAAATGTTTCATATAGTACATGTCTGGCAAGAAAACAGTAATCCTATATTAATAATAATAAAAATATTAAACGTAGGCTACGCGCATAAATAATATGTAAAATACATTATAGGTAGGTGTATGCGTCCAATTAGTGATCTTAAGGCTAAACTGTACTTGTATAATTTTGTACCAATAATCCTTCTCTATCGGTAGAAGCAACTAGCATTCAATATCGCACATCTATTTATTGACAACTATTAAAAAATGTCGAAATAATAGACATATTACCTACATAGATCAGCAATGCAAACTGTAAAACAAATAACAGTCTGCAGGTTAGAGCAAGACAAACAGACAATACCAAATGCATATGTTTCCAAGCATATGTATATTGAGCCGGCGCGGCGTCAGTATTCAATGAAAGAGATTTCTTGCTGAATTTCATAATAAATACATTTAGGTGTCACAAAAGCAAAATTTCAATATATATTTAAATGAGCGATACCTAGATGGTATTCAACTAAGAAATATTATCTACATTACACATGCACTCCTGTAATTTGCCTTGTGGTCTCGCTCTAATCATTACTTTACCAATCTATAACGTTAACAGATAATACATCTATTATCGAAACGATCTAATACAAATCTTAATATATTCGAATTTGACGCGTATTAAAATACCATATTATACTTTGTTCAGCGATAAATTGTACTAGCCACTGTCTAATATTTATATTGTCAAAACATCGAAACTTAAGACCGACCATCGGTACAGTATTTGTAAAACTGCAACATTAAAATTCCATTTTTATCTCAATTATTACAATGTAACATTCAGATTATCAAATAATCAATTACAATACAATTAAATCGTAGTGTAAAATTACAATTATAAAATTCCAAATTAACCATCATCGAAATAAACACAACCATATCGATTACAAGGAGTTCAAGACCGTAATTTTATAAAATGAGTTATAAAAAAGTTAGTGGCAGTGATTAGGGCTTATATTTATTACGAGGGGCGGTGTCAACGTTCTAGTTTCGATTATCATTCACATTACAATCGCATCATTGGAATGTTCGTCAGAATCTTCATCACAATTACTTATTATATTTTTCACAAAAATATATAAGATGCCTTTAAACGAAGTATTAGGTCTTGAACTCCGTTACTTACATAAATTCAAGTATAATATAATTGTAATATAATAATTCACATTGAATACAAAAATGTGATTACTAATAATAACTAGTCATAATATGCAATAATAATAATAATAATATGAGTGGTTTCTCTTAAAATACTGGATACACATAGATTAAAAATAAACCTCCAACCCTCCGTCTGATAAAACTTTTTTACCTGAAAGATAAATAACAATGATTTTAAATATGTCTCACATATTTTATATTTAAATACATATCTATGCATCCTCACATAAGGGACTTTTCTATTTCGACGAATTAAAATTTCAAAGAAGACCAAGTGCCATTCGTTTAGATATAATTCATATTGTAAATGCGTAAGTGTGTCACTTTGTTTATTACTTCAGGACTAAACGGTTGAACGGATTTTAATGACACGAGTGCTTATGGCACTCTTTACCGGGGAAGGACTTATGGAGCTGCTGAAACCAACTCTCCCACCTGAAGATAACGTCGACAACTTCAGTCTGAAGGCACCGCTAGGGATTCCAAACTCAGCTCAGCCCGTCTCGGATTGAATTGAAAACATACCTGCGTGCCGCACTAATGCACGGCGCGTATTTGATTGAGATCATCGTCCGAGTCTGTAGGCGGTGCGTGCTCGGATCCAGCCAGAACCGTGAGGTGAGTAGAATCACTCTGCAAGGTGCTGCATTCACCCCCGGCACAACCGCTGCTGCCACTCCAATTGCCACACTGAGCCTTCTTTTGCAGAGCTTGCACGTACGACTATTTGTATAACATAAAAAACAAATTTATTACAAAATTCTGGGTATACAAATCAAATCAAAAAAATATTTATTCGTCATCATTATCTCAGCCCGGAAGTCATTCACTGCTGAATAAAAGCTTGCCCCAAAGTGCACTGCTCGTATCCAACTCCTTACAGTGATCTTGACCAGATCCAGACTATTTATACATATAGGACATTTTAGCTGCTTATGTACGTCGATTATTTTGTATTAAAATTTTTTCCCTACTGTCCAGCTCCGTATACAGAATCCATCGAGAAACTCTGGCAAGAAATTTAACTGAATTTCTTTTTTTACATTTAGTTTATTTACACTATTTACTCATGTAAGTATCTATGTCTAACATTAAATGATTATCTCGTGTATGAACAACTATTGCCATGCTATGAGATTTAGTCATTTAGTATTTTTCCTTCAGACTATATATACTATGTATTTCTTTCTATACGTAAAAGAAAAGGTTTCTATACGTATAAGAAAAGCGTGTTTATTAGAAAAATATGAGTTCTTATAACTTACTTGAGAGATGACGTCACCGTGTGCGGTACGCACTTGGTACAAATATCTGTACTTGCGTTGCTTCATCTCGGCGCGCTGTTCGCGGGTTACGGGCCGCGCCTGCTGCGCTTTCAGGCGACGCTTTTGTGCACTTATACCTGTCATATTTGAATCATTAAGGTGCCATTACAAATTAATGATTGCAGTTCAAATGAGAACCTAATATTAATTATTGCAGTTCTAAGATTTAATTACAGATTTAAAACCTAAAGTGACTAATAAAGGGCATTTTTTATTTATCAATTATTTTCAGGTCAAATCTTCAAGATATGACCTGAAAATAATTGATAAATAAAAAATGAAATACGTTTACCTTAATAATATTATAAATGCCAAAGTTTGTAAGTATGGATGTTTGTTACTCATTCACGCAAACCTACTGAACGTATTTCGATGAAAGTTTACAGATATTGCTGTAAACTAATGCATCGGAATAACACATATGCTATATTTTATATTGAAATTATACGCGGATAAAACCGAGGGCACAGTTAGTAATATATATATAACTCACTCTGCTCATGGAATATTCCGGTGGCTGTGAGCGCGCACTGAGCTGTAAGCCCAACGATCGCAGCGGCAGGCCATGCAGCGAGGGTCAACCACGACAGTCGGCACGGTGGTAGCACGACCGGCTCCAACTTTGCGCGTTCCCATAACTGGAATTATATTTATTATTCTTATTACAAATCAGGTAGCAACGTTATTCGTAATTCAGGATTATATTGTTCAAACAACTAAACACCTGTTGAGTAATAAATAGGTGAGACTGAGGTACCCAGTCTCACCTATTTATTACTCAACTAAACTGTTTGGCTTAGTTAGTTCTGTAAGCTGTCGATTGTAGAATTAGATAAGGCAGTTAAATTACAGGAAGGATATTTAGTCATTAATATTTTAGTATTCCAGAATGGTATGCGAATTGTCGCAGTTGTCCAGTACTGCTTAGGTATATAGTATAACATATTAGTCTTCCAAAATAGCAACGCAGGAGTATTGTTTCGCAGCCGAAAACTATTCGCATTTAATATTACCATTACTTGTTTTGTCAGCTTGTTTGCCATCTCTATTAGATAAATATAGTCAATTATATGTTATATAACCCAATAGAAACTTCTGTAAACAAAAATAATTATATCTATTTTAAATTCGACAGTAGAGTGTTTTAGTCTGATGGTTTAATATTCCGGCAAGGTCATGAGTTCAGATTTAGTCGAAACAAAAAACTTTGTATTTATTTAAATCTCTGGTAAATCTAGTGATAGAGTCAATCATAATAAATAAAATAAATCGGAGTGACGGTGGTAGGTTTTCCGACAGTTAATAATTAACTGCTATTTTTGAGATACTAATCCTGAAAGTATATATTTTATTTATAAAAATTCGTAAAATTAATCATCATCTATCCTTACCTGTTTTTCTTTATTGTGAAAATAAAATAGTAATTGTACCGTAATGGTTTACATTGGACATGGCGGTGCACTAGTTAAGGATGACAGGATGATATATTAATAACAATATAACAATCACAAATGCTATCTAAGGTCGAGGGGAGAAGTCTCCGGAATCAATATAGTGCATAAGACATGTTTCAGATAGATGTCATTACCCTCGGCTCTTTCTGCATATACATTAGTAACCTAGTTTAAAAATAGAATCCTAGATATGATAATATTATAAAGCAAACAGCAACAAAATTCATACAGTTATAATAATATAAATACCTACTTGAGATAGAAATTATAAAACCAAAATTGGATGGGATAGGTATAAGTTTCTGACGATGAAACTGATTTATTGCTTTCCGTGCCAACGTAAGTCATCTTCTATTTATAGCCATAAACATTCGCACCTTATTTTATTCAAATATAAATATGTCTAAACTATTCCGAGTATAAGTAGGCCATACTGAAAGATTTTCAAACTGGCCACTTATTACAAAGCTAAAGATTTTCAAAGTGGCCACTTATTTCAAAGCTAAAACGAAACAATAATTCCAATTTTAAAATAAGGAATTATCTTGCTGCTGGATATATCTTATCGATATTTTTGATAATAAGTCATCCACAGAGCATCTAACAATACGTTTTATAAGAGTTGGCAACGCTCTTATTTGAGTTGAATTAAAATAGAATCCATATACACAAAAAAATGTTTTGTTTTCAGCGAGAAGAACTTTCACATGTTAACGACGCTTTCAAATTAATCTATGCTAAGAAGCAGTATTAAAAAAACATTAGTATCACTGTGACATACAGAAATTATTTTATTCCTAGTGATCCAAGCCTAGGTGTGACCTTTATACAGTCTGTACGTCATCCTGTATAGCAGTAATTGATGCAGTTGCAGTAATAGCCTATTGAATAGACGTTACATGACGGCATCATGCGCAGTTTCCTGTATAGTTATAGTTATTATTCACTGCACTATATCGAGACTATAACAACCGTAAATCTAAATTTAGAATATGGAATAATCTAGGTGCTGAAAAAATGCTTCTTATAGTATGAACATCATCTAGTACGGTAGTATTTGATAAAACTGCAGTTACATATACATATAACTTCATAATATTGTGTTCTCAATCGAAAATATAGTATGTACACCACTGCTAATGGTATGATATATATGGCGCCATTTACGACAAACATATATTTTTTATATTAACTTGAAATTAAAACTTGTTAAAATTTTTTTTCGGACTACTCTAATGCTGTTGGTCGTCCTTTGAAACTGTCCTTTACAGCTTCACCGGATGATGGGGACGAGTGCAGATGCAGATGGCACTCAAAACACACTTAAAATCTTCCGACCTAATTTGCTAATGACTATATTAAGGTGTATTAGACAAAAACTATATATTAACGGGAGTTTCAAGGCGTTTGTGGCCCGAGTCCTCACCAACATGCTGACCACTTTCATAAAGGAGGACTACTGGCAGATTGCCGTCATCACTGTCGTGACCACACCTATATTTATTTCAAAATCATTCATATGTATGTTTTTTTTTATTGGGTTGTTTGGGTTATTGTCAGATGCATAGACCTGTAGCACTGCGACCTACATAGATGTATTGTGCCCTTTTCAAAGTTCGCTACCTAGATCCGTCAGGGACAAAAATTGACGGTTATTCTTGTTTTTATCTCCTTAGGAAAGGATGTAAACTTTCCAAAGGAGATATTTCGTTTATGTATGAGTGGGCTACAACCACATAGGATGTGCAGTGGCGTTTCGTCTTCAATTAGTCTGTAAGATATTTATAATACGGCCAATTAATAGCCTGAATTAAATAAATAAATATGTCCTGATATATGGTCAAGCATCTTGATAAAGCAGCTTCACAATTATCAGAATTTTCAACGCTAATCAGGATGCAACCATTAGATCGTTGAGCATGTAGAATAATAGAACGGAATAGAACATTATACTGACCCATTTGAGCATCACCATCCTTTCAAAGAAGTAGTCTAAGGAAGTCGCTATCACCGCGCCCCCGTACACACTCGTACCAATTATCGTGAGAGCTGAAATAAAAACATTATTAATAAATAAAGAATCCAACACAATCCCAGAATAAGCAGAGCTAAGCTTGTAATATCTATCGATATCTACCTTTCGATACATACTTAAATTATTCATTTGTGAATACATATACAAGATTATGTATATAGTAATTACAAACATTGTAAATAACAAGATAAACTCATTGTAATGGATCGGTGGACCGTATGGGTGTCTAAATGATGAAAACACGTAGTTTATGATATAATATAATATATTGGAATACATTTACGAACTACCTAAAAGACAATGAATCAATAATAAAGTGAAGTATATGAAATAACATGACAAATAAAAGAATTGTTCTAAAAATATAAACTTAAACATAATAAAAATATCTAAACAGTTAGTGGCGGTCGGTCGCCAACACATTCACATAAATATTTGTATTGTCCGGGAATTAAACCATTTGAACACTTTGAACGGTGTATGGCTGTACTATATATTTATAATTTAAAAAAAATTGTGTATGGTTCGCAGAATAAAAATAATGATCATCAATATTATTACAAGAATTATTTACAAATAAATTATTAACAATTACTTTTTATCACCGCAAGTCTTGTAGACTTAACAAGACGGATTCAAATTTATATATACAGGTTTGTGCAGTGTATATGACCTATATATACTCTGAAAATGTCTAAAGTAAGCATTATAACAAGTTATTTCAAAGTTCTGAGATTGCTATTTGGCAATGACAGTGGTTAATCGCAACTGAGGGTCGAGTTCATACTCTCTTTTAAGATGTTTGGGAGAGCTTAATAGTTAATAACAAACAGCCGGGTATATTGATGTAAAAACAAGTCAGAAATAACACTACAAAGATTCATAATAAAGAATTATTATTTTTATAAATTACTATCATTTTCTCTTTCTGTCAAAATTTGACAAAAAACGACACAAGTCGCAACTACTTAGTATTCTTCTTATTAATTAAATTCAGATATTTTCTTTTATAAATAAAAATGACTATTAGCCGTTCTAGATTCATTTCTTGTCATTAATTACAAAATGTAGAACAATTTTGCATGTATGTAACTTACATTAAAAATAGTCATTAATTTACTGGCAGTATAATTATGTAATATAAAAAATTATAAATTATTAAATTATAATTAGCAAGTCTGTCATATATTCGGTTAATTCTAAAGTATAGAGTATATGATATATGTATGATACAATATCAGTACTACTAAAATAAGTGTTATGGAAAAAAGCTACTTAACGTCCTCTAACATTATAATATCATTCAAAAATCATGTAGCAAACGTAAAGTATTTAATATCAATTGTTTTTTTAAATTTAGGAAATCTAAGGAAAACTAAATTTGATGTAATCATGCAATCCATACCATCCTAACCAAAGGTCTGCAATTTTCGCGATATTAATTTAAAAATGATTGACTAATTGCATCTAACATTTCAAAATATAGTTGTACTTACTAAAACTGCGCTATAGGTATAAATCACGTTAGAGTAACTAGTATAAAAAAATAAATATACCATTTATTTCATTGTCGAAATATTATTTTGGTGTTACTGAATACGACCTTTCATCACGAATTAAGATTGTTTTAACAACTGAGTCGGAATATGAACACTTTATTTTAAATTACGGTTGGTTCAAATACACATTATGTATTCTAAATAATTACATATACCGGGAAACAATTTGAAAACAGACTATTTTGGTACCTCGTTACCTTCGCAATAATAATTTAATGTAGAAGTACGGTTAGTGGGCAACCTTCATTTACTATGGCAGGCAGGAATCGAACTCACAACTGGCAGGAAAACCACTACTCGTATTAACAAAATAGTTCACATGTAATACAGTCAAGGCAAAAAATATAAATAGATCTTGATTTATAATACGTATTCTGTAAATGAAATATCACGTACATTTTTAAGCATAAAATATTTGAATAGACATGTACATGTCTCAATACGTGTTTCAGATGACAGCCATATGTAATACATTTGATCCAAGGCTATTATTAATGCTGACTACATCAATTGAAAAATACGATACTTGAGTTTATCTCAAGTGTTGAATGATAAACGACAGGATATTAAATAATCATTGGAAAATTGCAGGCCACAAGACCTTTGTCGCATTCTATTTCTGAGGTCAAATAGCAAGCGTATATTTGTGTTTCAGATTGAAGGATGACAGATGCTTCTATTAGATAATAGTCAGGACGATTTATATGATTGATACAATCAGACTCACAAACATGTTATACAACGTAACACAACATCAACAACAGTAACAATGGTTTCAAAAATATTCGAATCTACAATATTTTGGTAAACCTTCTAAATAAAAAATACACAAATATACATCTTCGTCTGCAAAATCATCAATTATATGTATAAGAAAATTAATTATAGTGCCTCATTTAAAACCGAAACATTTTACAAATACATAGATAACAAGTTGATTGTAAAAATATGGTTATTCTGATAGTCATTCCAGAGAAGTGTTCCATAAACTATTTTTAACCATTCTAGACCCAACAATATATATGGAGGTGACTGTACCACTGACGTAAACAGTTTATGATGTCTCCGGTGTTGTCCTTATCTATAGGCAATTGTTGCGACTGTAAATCAGTGCAACATTGTTCTTAAGTAAATAAGTGACCACTTACTTGTAACCACTGTTTACTCTTTCAATTGATATAAATAACTCACCCTTCTTCCAGTATAGATTGATGACAGCAAAGAATATCCCGGAACCAAGCAATGCCACCACACATAGCCAATACTGAAACAATATATGACATTATATATCGTTATACAATTTGCTAGAATACCCGAACGTCCTAAGGGAATATTACTATCATAGCGCCCTAAATAAAAATGTGCGGATAATTGTATTATATGAGAAAATTAGTGCCGTCCTAGATATCATGTAGACCACGGTCCAGTGCTGGTCATCAAACGATTACAATATATAAAACAACTATATGACGCCGTCTATGATTTGATTAAAAATTCATTATATAATTATAGGCGGCGTATAGAAACTTGCTATTGGGGAGTATTTCTCCCAGTCTTTCTCTTTCTTTAGCCTTTTTGAGACGCCTCATAATTAATAACATATTCTGAAATTTTTAATCTCCTAATTCCGTCATTTTTATAGGAAACATTAATACAAAAACAGTCAGTTCTTGCCTTGTCACTATTTTACAATTTTATTATGCGTATGTAATGATAAAAAAGATTAGCTATTTTACTTTGAGATTTCTTACACTGTCTGATATCAAGAAAAGGGCTGTAGTGAAGAAAACAGAATAGTCTGTTCTCCTATTGACTTCCTAATGCATTTTAGAAGGAATTGTATGCTTAATTTGTCCACATATGATATATATTGATTACCGCTTGCTGTGTGAAAAGGAAATATAAGTTATATTCCCTATTCACCATTCAAGTTATAAGTGTAGTTGCTTTGTAGAATCAGCTGAATCTTCCTTTGGGACGAAATAATAAAGAACTAGGCTTGTTCATCGTTGGATTGTACAAAGCAAATACTGTTATGATTCGTATAAAGTAGTATTTTAAGATCTTTGAAACGTCACAAATATTAATAATCCTATTCTTAAGTACCAAAGGAAATGCTACTTTATTTATTCCAGATAATGATACATTTTAGGTAAATATTGTAGAAAACAAATAAAGACTCTTCTGTTGCAGCGCTATTTTAATATTCATAAAGGAATAACGGTGCCTCAGAAGAATCCTTTGTCCGTCAAATGGCTTAAAATGCATTAATAAGTAATTAGAATAGTGATGTGAAAAAACAAAACAAGTCTTTAACGATTTATTATCCACATTATGTAGATATAAACTATATCCATAAATAACGTATTTATTAATGACCAAATGACAAATTAGCTTTCCAACGGTAAATATACACATAAAAACAAGTATCTTAGTTTCTAAATTGGCATTATTAATTAATTGAATTAATACTTTCGCTCGAGATACTAATGTATGTTTATATTCAGAGAGAATTTTATTATTGAGACACAAAATATTTTTATATATTTTGTGTCTCAATAATAAAATTGAACGGAAATAAAAGTTGTACTTTCTATATATTTTTAGGACGATTACAATAAAAATAAGATTCTTATATTAACGCAAGCGTTGTTTATTGAGTTTTTCGTTACTCTATAAACAAATTCACAATTGAAAACGCCAAGCACAGGATTTTGCCTAGAATTATATGGGTTGTAACTAATATTATAAGTAATAATATGAGTTTGTTTGGTACGCTTTCACACCTAACCAAAGACTTTAACAAAGATGTTCATAAAAGACATATACTTATTAATCTCAATATATATATGTCTAAATGCGAAAGTTTGTGAGTATGGACGTTTATTGTTGTTGTTTGTTACACAAAACTACTGAACGGATCGGTTTGACGCGGGTGAAACCGCGGGCACATCTAGTAGAACATAACTTTTATCACGGACAATTATACGATGTCGCAAGCAGAATAAATTATATTTATAAAACAAGGTGTATATTTATATACTTGAAATACATTGTAATAAAACTAAATTATACGTTGCTCGAAATAACAAAGTATATTACCAATATAGACCTTATGTTTATAGCTTTAATACTACTGAGACAAATAATTTCGACCTAGGGCAAATATTAGTCTCATCGAAACATATGTTTCAAACCGACAAAAATTAATGTAGAAACCCTATTGATATCATATAAAATTATGTCAAAATTATTAACAGTTATTTTATAAATTTTATCAATTTATTCATTTGCTCTCGACGTCTATCCTGAAGGATTTAGTACAACACATTGTAATAAAAACCAATTATTACAATTAGCAAATATATCGCGAAGCACGATTTAGAAAATATACGTTCAAATTGACATAGCTTCGGAATAGCTTTAGCCGCGATAGATAAATTTAGAGCAACACATTGACAATAAAGAAACTAATAGGCCGGCTTACTGCGAATCTAATAAAGCGAGAGGTTTTTTCTTCTGTAGGTAGTATGTCCAAATTTGACAAAGTCCTGTACCTGGGTACCTTTGTCGTACCTACTATAGCCGTTAATCGCTAGCTTTGTTACCGCGAGCATAAAATAGGCGATATTTTGTCTCTTACCACGGGGAGATTTATCAGATCATTTGTCATTAATATTACATAAAAAAATAGGTACACATCAATAATGTATTCATCAATTATAATCCTACGCCAGCGGGGGTAAGTGCTTGTAATGTCGGCTCATGACCCCATTACCAGCAATGTACCATGTCAGGTTCATCTCCTCGCAGTTCCCCTGGAAACCGTCGTGATAAATTCCTTGTGAATTTATCATGATGGGCTAACTGATCTGACCTTCTTCAAGTTATCATCCTCCATTGGTGCCCTTCTAGCTAAATCGTTAGCGCAGGCGGGTGCACCATTCCATTATCACCCATTAAAAAAAAGTCCTACGCCAGCAGAACGCGACACGGTTATTGAAAAGAATACTTAATTAATTACAAAATACGGTCAAATTTAAGTAGTTGCAGTTATTCCTTGCCATATACAAACGGAACAGGAACACTTGTCCGCTAATGTCAAACGTTTATTCGCTGTACTAATGAAAAGTGGATGTTATTAAAAAATTACGCTCAGCTGCACTTTCACTAATAGCTTGTTGCTTTCACCACAACCTTTGGTACAGTCAGTTCCAATGTCGATTGACATTCTTGTCCCCTGTCGCGAACTGAGCTACATAACACTCTAATTATTACATAAAATAACAATAGGCTACAATTTTTTATATCTGTTAGACGGTCTCTGTCGTCATGAAGTTTACCACACCACCTTTACTTCCGATGGTCGCAGGTTCGATTCCTCGCACGGTGCAAACATTTGAATTCATGAGTGATGTTTTGTATGTATATATCATGTATATTTTACAAAAAAAAACTAAGTATTTGTAGCAGTTGTCTACTACCCATAACACAAGTTCTGCTTACCGTGAGACTGTGTTAATTGCCTAGGGTTATTTATTTATCTGTTGGACTGAAAGAAACACTAAATGTTACCGGAAACTTACCACAAGTCGCCAAGGAAATACAAATAACACACGGTTAAGCAGTTTCTGAAATGAATACCTGATTTTTATTTCGGTAGTATAAGTATAGTACGTCCCAATTATTTTTAAATATTGTTTTACTATACAGACATTGTTCGTTTAGGCTTATATTATATCTACGATTTATTGCGGCTGACTAATGGCAGATACTAAGCTTATGTTTACCGGCCGATCGATTGTTAATGTACATTTTATATGTATAATGTAGTAAGTGCTTGGCATTTAGATAACGTAAGTACAAGCGCACTCGTATTCATCCAAAATCATATTTTTAATATGGAATGCATTTGTTATTATCACTTATATTTAGAAATAAATTGCAAGTTTTATTAACCGCCAGTACATACTTGGATTTCTATATATAAACCAAAATTGACTTAATTATTTATCTGTGATGACTCGTGTTTTAACTTTAATTAAATGTAATACCGAGAGTATTAAGAGGAAAGATTTGATTGTGTTTGTTTGCACTGAATAGTCTCCAAAACTACTAGACCGATTATAAAAAGTCATTTACTATTAGAATCCTACATTATCCCATTTAAACATAGGTCCATAGGTAATCAGGTAGACCAACATGAAAATGTTGAATCTAAAGTGTAAAAAAATACAAACAAATCCCTATATCACATAAGCTGCGGAAATTGTTTACAGTAGATCAAAGTTATGTATTGGTCGTTCGACATGTTTATATTTCTGATTTTTGAGAACCCGTGTGAAGCCGGAGCGGATCGCTAGTAGAAAATAAAATATCATTATGCTCTTAATTATTATTCCCATTGTAGTGTGCCATTCATTTTCTCACGTGTTTTCGCATTCTAATTGGTAGCATAGGAGGTTAATAGCTTATCGCTGTCTCCACGTTTTAAGCATCGTTTTATAATATTTTCGACTTTATTAAATACCATGTATAATATAAATTAAAGGTGAGGTTATCATAATCACCTCCGTCCGCCGATTATCTAGAACGTTCCCCTTCCAATTACTCCTATCAGTACCCGCTGTCATGCCTATACTATACAGTAAAGCTCAATTCACAATCATTAAAAATGTATATCTACTCCATTTTCCTAACTACGCCTTTCGCCATGTGTTTGCACATAAAAAGTGAAACCCGATACGAACCGGCGGTATAGCAGTGTAGCTGGCTCTATGTGTAGCGAGGAATCGAATCAGCGTGTTTATAACGCTCAAATACTCGACCGAGTCAATAGGCGATCAACGATGCATGCAGTGTAGTCCTGCATGTAATAGTTCGCGACTGGGATCGCTCAATTTAGTTCGCAGCGTTCTAGTTCGTTCGTACTCAACTCTAGTGAAACAAATAGCAGTAGGCTACTTAATCTTTAGGCATATTCCTATTTTTCCCGGAACGAAGAGTTATTTTAGCAAAACCTTTTGCAATGTATTAAACAAGCTAAAGAGCAAAAAACTGAGAACTAGTTTCGGGATCGCTCTTCGGAACAAGTTCGTTCGCGATCTACACACTACCCACTAATCCATCCAAGTCAAGTGCTCACTGCAGTTAGTTTAAACCTATTTTACAGTCGCATATATCTATGTTAAAGTGTCTGTCTACCTATATATCTTTGATAACATTTCACTATTGGAAATTGTAATATGCATTTCTGTTGAAGGATGAGATACGTCAAATAGATTAAGAGGATATGGAGGCTGATATCATAGTCCACTCGGTATCACGGGCTTCACATGACACGATGTCCGTGTTGTGAATTGTGTTCGTGTATATAGGCGACGAGTACCACATCCATCAGGTGAAACATAAGCTTGTTTGCCACTCGATCTATATAAAAAAAATAGATTGTATCTCGAGAAAGTACAGGCGATCTTTTCTATCAGCAAAGTAGACAAAGACGCAGATAATAATTAGTAAATTAAACGCATCATATTATATACGACCAAAATGACATCTCAATCCTCTTAGCAACGCGTGAAAGTACCACGGCAATTATTTCTTAACGTTATTTCAACGATGATTGGCGACGGTTGCCATTTGGCATTCGGTGTGCCGTCGACTTGTTTGCCACTCCACATAAAAAAACTTACTAATAGCCAAATAATATAGTAATACGTACAAAAGGCAACTATAATATAAATAATAAATAAATAACCCTGGACAATTGACACAGCGCCGTCTGATATAATTTCTTAGATTTTTTTTAAATACATACATAAAAAAAACACCTAGACCGAAACAAATAATCATTCACTTGGGATCAAATACTTGGTTTGCACCGTGCCGTGGGAATCGAACCCGCAGCAATGGGAAGTAAAGCGGTATGCTAAACCGCTAGATCACCGAGGCCGTCAGTATAATGATGATATAGAAAAATATCAATAAAATTGCGACTATAATCATAATATTCCCAGTATCAATAATACCTACTCTATCATTATTGCATATGAATACTAAATTGGCGATTAGGTACAATTCAAACTGTCTGTTACAGAGTATCGATAATGTTGGCTCATGTTGCATACAACATATCACTTGACAATGTTTGTGTCTGTACTTTTCTGTAAATTAGTAATATGCGTTTGTATTGCACGTGATAAGATACTCTTATCAATAGTAATAACTACAAATAATATACTCGAATCAGATCGTTATATCCCTCAAAGGACACCTTTTAGGCATCGCATTTTTGCATGTTCCAAAAAAGACGAAAATGTCAGTCAGACTCAGAAGTCGAATCGAAATTTTTTAACATATCCGTCCATATAACTATTTTATATTGTGTAATTATTTTTGAATAAGAAATATACTATTAATGCATAGATAATTTAATCTGTACCGACATATGAGACGTTTATAATTTAAATTTATAATTTTACGTCGAATGGCAAACAGTATTCAGTACGAACATGATTGGTTACAATTTAAAATGCCTACAGCAAAATCAATTGGAATCGATTTTGCTGGCTAGTATTATATAATCATAATAGAATAGCAGCCATTTTTAGAATCACTGAAACATTATAAATTCTGTTTCGTTGAATATGGTTCACATTGTGAACTAAACAAGTCGAGCATGGCATAATAACAGACAAATTATATAGCGTTTGTCTTTTGAAGGATGTTTAAAAAAATTATGTTATAAAATATCTATGAAAGACTGAATAAAAGTGAATATAATTCCGTGTATTTTGTTTAAATAAGATGTGCACCGACTTCCTGGATTTCAAACTGAAATAACAGCCTGTACTGGGAACAGCCAGACACAAAACATGTGTGGTCATGACCTATAATTTTCAGACCAATCGAGATACGAAATAGTGTATACATGTAATTTCAATTAATGTTGGATCTACCAGAACATTATTTTTAAAATACATATAAAATATTACTTACAAAACGTTACAAACATTCTTTAGTCGAATGAAATCTACTAATAAATTTATAATTAACCAAGAAGTGTTAAATATTTAATAATTCGAAGGACAGCAATTATTTTAATGAGAGTTCAAGTTTACTACGAATTTAGAAACACTAGACGTCTCCTTGAACTGGAAATTCAATAAAAAATAACGTTTCCAATTAAACGGAATAATATATATCGTTTATTAATTAATATGTCATATTTCGCGAACGTTCTAAATATTGTCATACCTATATTTTCTAAATAAACTAGTTTAATACCGTTTTTGTAGTATTAAAGTCCTCAAGAAATTCTTCAGTGACAGGACTGTATTTACCTACATTAAAGGTACAATATATATATCAACTAGCAGACCCGGCCATGCGTTGCTGTGTCTAATAATAGACAAATCATTTACAATAAAATAAAATTGCGACTATAAATTGAGATGTAAGCTATCCCATCTTTCAAGTTGGACCAAATTTCACACAATATGCGGATCAAATTTGCAATTGGTTCAGTAGTTTAAGAGTACATCGCGGACAAGAAAGAAATCATTCTCATGAGTCTCAAGTGAAAATATTAAATTGTTACCTATTGGATTACAAACAGTACGTAATAACAATCAAAGCAGACATATTACGCTCGACATTGTACATGGCGTACAGTAGTACATAATCGCGAACAATCGAGGCCGCAATTACATTGTTAAGCCGAATGCACTGCTCCAGTGCATCCCATACGCAGATTCAATTACTGTCACCTACATACATGTTTTAAACTAGCAGTTACATTGTTGTAGCCAACACCTACACCAATTTGATAATACTATAAATTATTGCCTGCGACGACTTCGCTGGTCAAGTGGTTTAGCATACCGTGTTACTTCCGAGGGTCGCGGGTTCGAATTCTAGCACGGCTCAAACATTTGTAATTATGAGTATGATTTGTATCGGTCTGAGTGTTTTCTATGTACAATGAAATACATATGTATGTATTTTTGAAAAAATATATATCTACGAATTTGTATCAGTTATCTAGTACCCATAACGCAAGCTTCAGCTAGCTTAACTTGGGACCAGATGGCCTGTTTGAATTGTCCTGGGATTATTATAGATAAGTATCTACAGTTGCGCGCACTGATGTAAAGTAACTAATAATAAAATGTATTGGACATTATATTGATATTATTAACGTTTTCAAGTATTTAAACTCTATATCAATAGTGTCACTATGAGTAAAGTATATACTTGTTAGTGTACGCAGTATAGTACTACGCTTCATTATAATATTTAGAGGTCCTGCTTTGTTTGCACAAAGGACTTTTTGTATGCAACAGATAAAATTCCCCGGTGTGATTACACGGAATTTGATGTGCGTTTTGCAATGCAATTATGTAGATCTGTGTAGATCTTCTATCTTCATCTACACAGATGAAGAACAATAACCTCGGCGTGTTTACTCTACTGCTAAAATCTATTCCGATTAATCGGTTTATTTTATACCATTAATTACGTTTCAAGAGTATGATGAGTATTTACTGAATTAGATTGAAATTGATATTGTTATCGAATAGCATACTCGAATCGCATACTTTCAACTTTATAAAAAAACTATAAAAATTACTCAATGATATATAGAAATATATTAAAATTATTTGTACAAATCAAAAATCATATATTCCTGTAGGATATTCATTTTAGCCGCTTATAAACGTGAAAATTTTTGTATTTATATTTTTTCCATACCGTCCAGAACTGGCAGGAAACTCAAATGTTTTTTTTAAAGTCTGTTTATTTACATTGGGTTTTTATTTAGATGTCTATGTGCAAAGTCATCTGCACCTCTATCTGACCATTTAAAGCCGCTAAACTTCATTCATGTTTCAGTCTACGAGTGAATTGAGGACATGGAGCCGCTAAGCAGCTTGATTGTTGGCTGTGTATCAGTCTAAGGATGAGTTGAGGGCAGTAAAATTGAATGCAGTATGCCTCGGTAACGGCATTCACATCTTGTTTGACGGAATGGCAACGTACAAGATATACCATGGGAGTATAACTTGAAGTATAACTTGCGCATAACTTGAAGTCGCGATGTCGGCGAAGCCGTTCATGAATATGGGTTACGAGTGCCTCTTACCATCTGGAGAGTAGCTTTTTTGCTATACCAGTAATATAAAACTCATTGAACTATTTAAAAAAAATAGTGTAGCTTCCCCTTGTTAAAATTCAAAATGAACAAACGATCATTAAACTCCTGTCATAAACAATACATGAAATACCATAATCAAGTATGCAGATGCGCGATAAATTCAATTCGCCGTTCATCTGCATACATTGAGCGCTCACTCAATATACATATATTTTATAAGAAAAACAAAACATTAATACTTACTGTAGCAGGCCGACTATCGAGAAAATGGTCATAAATGGCCAAGCCCCCTACAGCCAGGAGGAGGCCGGTGTGGAAACCAGTCATGAACAGCCCAACATACTGTATCAACATTGTAATGAGGCCAAACAATAGACCGGCACACAATGCGACACCTGCGAAAAGAAATTATATAATTAATAATTTACATTATCTATTTTAAACTACTAAATATCGACCCGTCATTGGTGCCGTCAACAAATCGTGCTTGCATAACAGTTTTGAGCAGTGGATTATGACACTGCAATTATTGGATATGCACCCTATGTCCTTAAACCTAAAGACTAGTACCGCGTGGTGGCTTCATAGGTGTTACAGTGTAGTATGTGAATATCCATGGTACTCATGTCTGTAGGAGATAGTTATCAATTTCAATTCAGTCCAGTGTGCAATCAATTTATTTTATGTTCCATAATTATACGAAAAGGAATATCTTTTTTTAATTATAACAGACCCGTCGTTACTCGCGATTTCGTCTGTACTTTTTGTTATGAAATATAACTTATGTTCATCCTCATGATACAATCTATCTTCGCAAGTTTCATTAAGAGCCATCAAACTATGTCTATAAATAAGCAACAAACAGAGATACACTTTCGTATTTATAATATATAATGGATAATAACCCAGAACATTTCACAAGAAATATGTATACTTTACTTTCCTTATTAGAGAAGAATTTCAGCTAACTATTACCTTGCTAGTCAGGCAGTTAGCATAGATTTTTATTACAAGTCTCCTTGTGCTATTTTTATCGTGCTTTGTTCCCCTAGCCGTACACTGACTGCATTCTCACTCCGTAGACTACTTAATATTTAAATTACTAACCTACATTGCCATAGGGTGGCATCAGATACTCCTGCAGACATATTAAATAAACAATAGCAGAACCAAAAGTGAAACCAGTCAGGAACATACTGGCTTTGAAGCATCGGTAACCTGTAAAATATAATGAGAACAGTAAAAAATATTCATATTTTAGAGTGCCTGTTATAATCGGCATAACAATAATATAAATTTTATAGTTTTGATCCAATTGGAATCAAATATACATTAAGTGCTACAAGGAAGGAAGGGTACTACAATGTATTAGTGAAAACTGCATTCACTGATTATGAAATTGATAAAAATAGTACCTCATCCTCATCTAAAAGGACATAAAAATTATTAAAGAAATTCAGTGTTGAGTTTATCTGTTGTACAGTATCTGGTTTTCAATTTGGCCGTTTAGAAATGTTTTAGCAGATAAACAATACAACAGCATTGTGCATACTGGCGTGTTGATACAATTGCAGTTACTCGTATCGTAACATTTAAAACTTTGTTAGTGGCATAGTTTTAGTTGTACAATGGGAACTGTGTGTTTCTGTGTAACTAGTCTATTGAAACTCCATTGGTATCACTTCGTCTCTCCATTGTGGTACAGAATTGTCACAATGGAGAACTTGGTGTTCATGCTTTTATAGTTGAATCTTTTGTTATGTATTTTTTGCTATTTTATAATAAATAAACTTTTTTATAAAATAGCGAAAAACTAAATACTCTTTGATATATGTTGTAACAAACACACAAAGAGACACACGTACTAAGGGACGCCGACTTTTTTTTCGGAGTACTCTAATACTGTTGGCCGCAGCTGGCCTTTACTGCTACACCGAACGATAGGGGGAGAGTGCAGATGGCACTCCAAACCCGCGGAAAGAGTGGCTGAAAGCACCTGAAAACACCCGTCTGACGGATATTTTAGCTTGAGGACACGTCACGAGGTTCGAACCTCGGCTCAGGCCGTCATAATTTCGATCCCCGTTTGAATTGGACGGAGGATCGATCGGAGGGGGGATGCATACAGTACGAAGATGCTTGTACACGTACGTACAAGATTTTGATCTACAAAAATCAGTAAGACATTATGTCCTGATGATAATGCTTTTGAGAGACAAATTTAGCTAATATCTCTCATATTCGCTAAATTTGTCTCTTACATTTTTTTATTTCATCGAAGACCCATTTCACCCATGCAGAACAAAAAAATGTTCAAATCTCATTTAAGGTTCTCAGGTTGGTAATATTTTTCTGAACAACTAATCAACTTTGTTTTTATGTTAGAAAAAAAAGCTATTAGTAATTTTGACTGTTTTGCATTCATGGCTCTCAGAAATGGCTTAAGTGATTTGAATGCAGTTCTCCCTGTAATGTTTAGTGTTTGCTTTATACCAACGGATTTACAGACAAAAATTATACATGGTATTTTTAAAACCAGGAATTGAAAGTTATGATATCAGGTAGTAATAAAATAAAATTATAAATTGTCTGATAACATCAAAGGAATATTTTTTAGAAATTTTGTCCCTTTGTCTGTACATTTGTGTAGTTGTGACAACTGGTTTGCAATTTTCAAATTAGTTCAAACATAAAAGAATTACTCTGAATGTATATCTAAAGTCAGGGGCCTCAGCTAGTAGCAAATAATAAAAGAAAATTCCAATTGTACATAGGAATAAAGTGAACTCACCAAAGAGTGTATAAACAGTCCCAAAAACCATGTACATAGCACATATGACACTTATAATGGGGTCATAATCATAATCAATTGAGGTGCAAAAAGACCCCTCAATGTGGGGTCCATTGAATGGAGTTGTCATGTTCGGGGGGCCTCGTGTCACCTGCGGAACTAGCTGACCGACCGATGTCATTTTATTCTCCTTCAGATGTTTCAAATCAAATACCCCGTTGATGTCCAGCTTTGTGGAGATTTCTGAAAATGTTTACCCTATTTTTATCCTCTTATTTGCCATTGGATTTCACATCACCAATAAAATCATTGTTCATTATATTGTGTTGCTAGGAACTGTTATAATATATACTAAACTAATACAAATTATTAGGTTTTTATTATGTGTAAACATAGTTTTAAACACAGTTTATGTATTATTTTTTACTGTATTTTTTTATTAATAAATATTCAGTGATGGGGGAGAAGGGATTATTGGTAATGTTAACTAATTACTACATTGGTAGCACTGTACCAAGTCAAATTATCCTCCACATAACTCTTGCCAGAAACCATAGTAATAAATTCCTGGTGAATTTGTCATGATGATTTGTTATCATGATGAACCAACTGACCTGGCCTCGTGCTCATCCTATCATCCTCCACTGGCATCCTGCTAGAGTAAACAATTAACGAAGGTGGAGAATATATTCCAATAAAAAAATATGGAATGATACCCTTGTCTATTCTAACATATATACCGGTGAGATACTAGTCGAGCATGTTAGATTAGTTTCTTACTACAGTGACAGATTAATTCTGATGTTTTGTACCACAAGTATATTGAACTGACATATATTGTTGGCAATGTGGCTAACAGTTTTCATTATGAAGATTTACCCCAAAAGATGCTGATGATTCTTTAAATGGAATAAATAAATATGTACCTATATCTATACATAAATAAATTATAGAGCAAAAGCATGTTCTAATTTTGCTCTGTGTAGGTATGTTTGTTTTGTTCATAATTAGATGTTAATCCTGTTAATAATATTATTGAGTACATAGATTACTATATATTCAATTGCCAATAATTACAATATTTAAAAATTATTCAATTTAGTATTTGATTCATCTGTCAGTGACTAACATGTGCATGGATTATGAGTAATCAGAAAATTTGTTTCATTGCAGAAAATCTTATATATTTATAGTCTAAATATGATGACACATTTTTTGAATTCTGGTCTGTTCTTCAGTGTATTGAGAACCATTTAAATTTAGCTGCCTAATGTTTAGACCATAAATTTAATTAAGCTATTTTTGAGTGCATGTGATTCATTTTCTTGATTATTAGTGTATTATAAAAGTAGTGCCAAAATAAAAATGTTATCAGAAATTGAATTAAGAAAACTATCAAGTTATGTTGTCAATAATTCAGAAAAACAGATATATTTTTTATAATTACATAAAAGGCAAGTAGAAATTAAGTAAATTAAGGACCTGAGCAATTTATTTTTCTTAATGGATGAATAAAACCACAAGGGTCTGAGAAAATGCTTCTGAAATACTCAAAAACATAAAAACTACATACAATAATAATCAAGAACTGGTAGCTGGGAGAATTGTGGATAGTTTATAATCTAGCTACTAAAATAATGAACTCTCCTTCTCGTGTATATAAATATTGGAAAAAGCATGTCGGAAAGTATATAAACAAAACTGTTAAAAACTATTTGCACATTTGTAGCAGTACATGGTAACCAGTTCCATACACTTTCACTAAATGTCAATGAAAAATTGGTTCATCAAATCCTACAAAAAATATCATTGAGTCCATCACCTTCAAATCCAACAAATCCTTTGTAACGTTAATAAAGTAAACAGGCTATAAACTTACCGTTCAACCAACAACGTCGATTTCACATTGTTAATTTATATTACCAAGAAAACAATCTAATGAACGGTTCACAATAATGAAAATCAAAATTGTTTAAATAATAAATACATTACAAAAAAAAACGTTTACTGAAATGTGCAAATTTTGTATTTACAGTTAGAAAAAAAAAATAACAAAGGTACTACACTTTTCCGAGTTTCCCAGTTTTCTACTTGTGTCTCAAAGCTACGGACTAGTGTGCAATACTGCACAGTTAGAGTCAGACAGTTTTTACTTCATTTTCTCCTAGAGCTTGACTACGTCTTATAAATCGTAATTTCGGTTCTCAGAATTAAATACGTATAACGGTTTTACATTTTAATAATTTATATAAAGTGTGAAAATGGAAAATTTAAACTCTTAGACCTAGACTCACCCCTCAGATACGCTTAAGTGGGTCGCGTGCTGCTCTCAGATATCGGGTCACCGCAATGCTCCGGAACCAGTGTGGATGCCTGGGATGCGTTTATAACACTGCAGTAAATTGATTGATGTCGCCTAGTAATATAAATAATAAAACGTCACGGTTAAAATGGCATCTCAGGACTAGTCAACATTTCTATATTCTTTAATTATTAACTTCATGTTAAATTATATGAATGTTAAAATAAAACGTCATGGTTAAAATGGCATTACAGGACTAGTCAACATTTCTATATTCTTTAATTATTAACTTCATATTAAATTATATGAATGTTAAAATAAAACGTCATGGTTAAAATGGCATTACAGGACTAGTCAACATTTCTATATTCTTTAATTATTAACTTCATATTAAATTATATGAATCTTAACAACTAGAAAAATTTTACATATTCAAAACAACAGTACGTTCAAGATTTTATATGCTTAATTTACTGCACCAGATATATTGAATAACACTTATGTCAATAATTATTATTACCATACTTATTTTAAATGCGGAAAATATACGGATGTTTCATTAATAATTTGACAATAAACTTTTCATTACAATTTTATGAAGTTAAGTTAAAAGTCATCTTATATATAAAATTCTCGTGTCACAGTTTTCGTTCCCATACTCTTCCGAAACGGCTTGACCGATTCTCATGAAATTTTGTGAACGTATTGAGTAAGTCTGAGAATCGGTCAACATCTATTTTTCATCCCACTAAATGAACTTTTTTTATTATTTTAAGACAAAACAACGTTTGTCGGGACAGCTAGTAGTTTATAAGTATAATATAACTGTAAAACTTAGGTACATTCATCTGACTGCAGTAGTTCAGCGTGACTGTAAATTAAACTGGTTGGTTCATTTTGTCTTGCTTCTGTATTATATACGTAACACAGTTATACTAATGCAGTTCGTTTCTCTCCTTTGTATGTTATAACCATCCATCAGTACTTCAATAAATTAAAGTGAGTTTCAGAAGTATGTATCTACTCAAAACATTGAGTCAAATGTTTAAAGTACCTGCCTTATTCCCACTATTATTAAAAAAATATTTATGGCCTTGCTTTTAGAATACCTATATTCCAAATAGTTTCTTGAGTATTGTTTTACCCCTTTAATATTGATACCATGGGTATGTTGAAGTGTCGTACCATTTTACCAATTTATTATTTCAATATGGTAATCTGTTTGCTTACATAGCCTCGAATTCTATTTGCGACTGTAACTGCATGACGGAAATGTGCAAGGATTGAAGTCGCTGGCACACTATAGTTTGTCTATTTTGTAAAGGACATTTTAGGAGTCATGAACTGTCGTCTTTTTTTTAGTTCAACAAACATTTTCAATTTTTATGCGATCTTATTACAGTTTATTTTTAAGAAATGTTGTAAAAAATATAATGATAAAGTATAGGTTGGTGCCTTATGAGCAAAATTAATTTGTTTACTAACTGATCCAGTGAATATTGTATCCATTACAATATATTTTTAAAAATTGATATATATCCCATTATCTATTTTTTTATTATATACTAGCTACTCGCCCCGGCTTCGCACGAGATATAAACCTTCCACTAGAATCACTCTATTTATTTAAAAAACCGATATAAAATCCGTTGCGTAGTTTTAAAGATTTAAGCATACATGATAGACAGCGGCAGCTACTTTATTTTATAGTATGTATACTAAGGCAAGATACGTTAATACAATATCTTAACTCGTGTTAAATGGAAGAAGAAGCAAGAAAGATATTAAAATCTGACTTGCCTTGAAATTTTTAAACGTCCTCCCTTCCATTTCTTCCTTTATTATATTTCTCAACAGTTCACATTTTTTTTATCCGTTGTAACATATACCATTCAAAAAACGGAGTCGCTTAGAATGCATAACTACATATTGTATACTATGTTCTGCCCTATACTATTCTTCCATGAAATTTAATGTTGAAATCATTATCTGTGAACTGTTATAATAAATAGAAATTTGGTATATTCGGGTATTTTTTTCTATAGGAACATTTCAAATACAAGGTATATTTAAAAAATAAATAAGGCAGTCTGGCTTTCTCGAATTATAGGCTCGTCATCACATTTATCGATAATTTTTTTTATATAGGTTTAAGTTGTCGTGAATCGGTTTGAAACTAGAGGAAGACAAAAGTTATTTATAGAAATAAATATCTCATATCCCCATATCCACCAATATCTCCAACCATATACGGCTTATAATTTAAGTAGCAATTTGAGTATTAAGCAATAGGTTTAACGTTAAATGAATCACATCGGTCCAAGCAAAAAATGAAAATAAATACTCATTGACAACGTTTTAGATAGACACTTTGTAGGAATATTAATAAAAGTATATTATGAATTAATGCTAAGTTCATAAAATATCTATATATTAGAAGGAAATAATTATTTAGATTTTGTTATAGCATTTTACTTCTCTAATGAATACGTAACTTTTACGGTTTATCGGCAAATGTAGTTTTTTAACATCTCTAGCCGGTAATTGAACAAGTGTTGCAAATCTATGCAATTTTTTCCTATTTTTACGGTAACATTTAATACCAATGTAGTTTAAGGGTAAAAATATACTATGGTAATTTGTATAACTCGGCCTCTGAATGCATAAATTTTACTTACATATGTCTTATTTAACTCAGTTAATACATACAGACTCATATACATTTCTAAACAAGAAAAACCGTAGTTGTAAAAATAGTTGCTTACTAACCTATTGGTGTTCAGTTTTTTGTCTTCTATGTCTTTCATGTTTTAATTATTCCACTATCTATGAATTTCTTCTTTAACAATGTTCAAGTGTATCATAACAACACTAAAAATGGGGTAAAGTGAAAATGAACAGCGGTCAACACTAGACCAGCCACCTCTCATCGTTCGGTGTTTCATACCCAGTTTCACCTTTACGAATAAAATTTTAGGAACTGTTCCAAAAGTTTATTTGTGCACTTTTATTATTGTAAGGGCTTGCATACAAATAACGGGGCGTACTGTATATAAAATGACTCGGACAGTCATTCTCGAAATATAAAACACTCAGTGCAAAATTACACTATCGGCTACAGTTCGTCCCGAGTAAGCAAATAATCAAAATTCTACAATGAAAGTCACTATTACTACTCTAAATGACGAGATTTTTGTCTTGGATGTCTCCGAAGACCTGGAGCTGGAGAATTTCAAGGCATTCTGCGAGATTGAATCCGGTTTTCCTGCGAAAGACATCACTCTAAATTTCAACGGCAAGCCGCTTCTGGATGACAAAAAGTCGTTGAAAGACCACGGCGTGCATGATGGAGACGTTATCGTATTACTGCATATGGTCCAGTCGGCTTCGAATCTCAATGTGAATGATGCTAACCAAGGTACCTTTGTTTAGCTAATCTTTCTTTGTCCATTTTCAAATATGCTTTGTCATCTTGTTTTGTTGTTATTCATGACATTGCACATGTCAAGAAGTTGTCAATTATGAAATTGGCTTTACTTAATAAAGAAAAGCCCTTTTTTAAGAAAATAAAATTATTATGACATTAGATAATAGTCAAATTGTTTTTTTTTTACTATTTAGACAGTAAAAATTTTTTTGAAACAAAAATAAATATCCCACTTGCAGCATTACCAACTGGTTTAGCCAATTTAGACTTCAGCAACATTCAGGTGCCACCTGAGGCAAGCTCTTCAATGGCTGCAAGAAATCCACCTGTGGAAGAGGACCCTCGCATAATTAGGGAGATGTTCCTTGCCAATCCTGACCAGCTGGCATTACTTAAACAAAATAATCCCCGATTGGCTGATGCATTGCTCAGTGGTAATCTCGGTAGGTATTTGCTAGGTAACATGTTATACATGGTCAACCCGACTCGAGGTGGGGTCACCACAGGGCCCATGGCCCAGGTCGCAAGATCTGAGAGTTTATAGATCTGAGTTAAGTTGTTACTTGCTGTCCTTTGAAGGTCTTTAGATCCCAAAATAGAATAAACAACGTCTTAATCATGCCATTATAGAGTACCTCTACAAACAACATAAATTTTCCCTCTCTTTCTCATCTCATCTCAAACATATATTACATAAATGACTCTCGGAATCCCTTATGTAATATATGTTTGTCTAAGAAGTTCTAGTAATTTTTTATAATAATAACCCAAGAACCTACATAGAGCTGTCTAGTACCAAACTAAACAAACCTTGTACTGGGTACTAAGGGAATGAAGATAAGTCATATCTTAAGGAAGCTGTTACATATGAATATGGATGGTTATATGGCAGAGGAAGACCGAAAAAGAGATGCATGGACAGTGTGAAAGATGATATGGTAAGAAAGGGAATAAATAACGAGATGACTGTGAACAGGGATGAATGGAAGAGAAAACATATTACACCAACCTCTAATAAATAGGATAAGGAAGAAGCAGATGATGTGATGATACTATGGGTACTAAATAACTAATAGAATTAATTAAATACACTATATTCATAAATACATACATATATAAATAATACCCAGGTCAATACAATCATATCCAGGATTAAAAATAATTTTATTATGGGATAATCAGACCTGTGGCCGTCGGATGTGAGGTGGATTGCTAAACCACTACTAATACAACTGCGATTATAAAACAAATTTATTAAACATTACTAGAAATATGTACTTATCTAATTTGTAACACTTCTATGGAAAACTTAGAAAATTCCTTATAGAAAATTGCTGAACATTCCCACCTTTCACAAGCAAAACAATATTTTTTAGTATATACTTTAGGTAACAGAATGCCTTAAAAATGTAGTCAATTATAAATTATAATAAAATTCTGCCTATAGATACTTTTGCTTCAGTGCTTCGAGAACAAATATCTGCTAGGACTGAACGCCAACAACAGCGAATAAGGTTAGTGTCTAGTAATAATAATTATTATCAATTGACCCATCAACAACCAATAAATAGTCAATAACAATGTTGCGATTGTAATATAAAGGACATCATGTGCTCCACAATCTGTTATTTATGTGCACATCAATTGCAGAATGTAAGTGTCCTATTCAATTCTTTTTTAACGTATATTATAAAAAATAATACAATTTAAATAATTATTTAACTTGGTAATATTGTTTGTTCTTATATTATGCATCTGAATTGTGACTGTCCCTTGAAATAATATTTTATTGATTATGTAATCTTTTTTAAATATGTGATATTTCTAAAATCAAATTTATTTAAAATACAATGCAAGAAATGTTGGAGAAACTTGTTAAAATTTTGGAATATGTGCATCTTTATATTGTGGCAATCTATTTTAATGTCAAATTCTATTAAATTCTAATATTTTATTAATTATGTTTTTTTTTTAATATTTGCTAATTCCAGTGTTATTTAGAATACAATACAAGAAATGTCTGGAAAACTTGTCAATCTATTAATCAATATAATACTAATCAATATAATGTCACGTTCTATTAAGTTTCATTCAGCCATTTTAGTGTGAAAAAAAGTAAACACGACAGATGCACTTTTGTACTTATAATATTAGTATTTATATATGTATATATATATTTTAGAATGATGAATTCTGACCCCTTCGACACTGAGGCTCAAAGAATGATTGCTGAGGAAATACGCCAAAAGAATATTGAAGCCAATATGGAAGCTGCCATGGAGTACAATCCGGAAACATTTGGAACTGTTGTCATGCTTTACATCAACTGTCATGTGAATGGGTATGCGTAATATACAAGATCCTTTATTTTTCATCCAAGTAGACATACAGACTTCAAATCAAATCAAAATTCATTTATTCATGTAGTACATTTTAAGTAGCCTTATGAACGACAATTTTTTTGTATTAATATGTTTTCCCTCCATCTAGTTCAGTATACAGATACAGTTGAGAAGAACTGTCAAGGAACTCGACTGAATTTCTTTTTTATACACCTAGTTTATTTACATTGTTTACTTATGTAAGTGTTTAAATGTCTGCAAAGATATAATCTCCCTTCTTTGTTATCTACTGTTTTACAATTAAATAATAAGCAGACAACTTGACTTGGTTTTGACAGACTTTCATCCCCTATTTGACCCCCTTCCAGTTTGTTTATTTATTTAGATATAAGCTATTATTTAGGGCTACTTCTATGCCCATCCCCGTTTAACAATTTAGAATATTCAAATTCAATGTAAAAAATATTTCAATTATAATTTTTCTTCTGGTCCCGGCGATATGTTGCCATTAACCATTCTCACAGCTAGTGTTGTCCTAGTTTTTCGATATTTGTATTTTCAAGCAATTCTAAACTTCCTTAGATTATATCCATATTATATCTACACAATTTTATAAACAATTTAATCGTGACACTTTAGTACAATATGAAGATATTATCGAAGTCATAAACGGGAATAATATTATACTGTGACAGGGGGTTTTATTTTCAATAAATGATAATGAAATTGTGCAATGGGCTAACAAGTCTAAGTTCATGTTGATCCTACGCGATGGTAAGATGAACATGAAGCAAGATCGGGCCTCTTGTACTGTCATCGCTGGCTAGTGAAACAATCCATTATTAGGTACAAAAAAGAAATTACATTCTTATAAATGTCTTTCAGCTTCCCCGTGAAGGCTTTTATAGATTCTGGTGCACAGACGACTATCATGTCTGCTGCTTGCGCGGAACGCTGCAACATCATGCGACTCGTTGATACCAGGTACTGTAGTCTCATTTCATTATATCACATTTATTACAGGATTTTTTGCCCATTATTTTTATAGTTAATGCTACTAAATATAATTACAGATTGTACAGAAACATCAACAATTAATCAACCTGGCCTCTGACATACAGGCTATGCTTAGTGCAGAGGCCATTTTAAATAAATACAACTCATCGCGTTGTTTATTTGTCATAGGTTATGTTCTGTTTTTAAAGTTGTGTATAAGACGGAACGGTTTTTCTTGAAGTTAAATATATTATTATTAATAATATTTATGAAATTCGCAGAAGTATTATGTTAAGACATTTTATTTAAATTTATTTATTAATAATTTATGTATAATTAATTTACTAGTGATAATTACTTATTTGTTTTCATTTGTATAGATGGGCCGGCATAGCAAAAGGTGTCGGCGTTCAGCGCATCATAGGACGTATCCATATGGTGCAAATGAGAATTGAAAAAGACTTCCTAACTACTTCATTCTCAGTATTGGAAGAACAACCTATGGATATGTTGCTAGGTTTGGACATGCTCAAAAGACATCAGGTAAGGATATACACTATATACATCACTAGCTGTATCCGGACACTGAGAAAGGATAGCCAATGTCCATTTAGGTGACATTCTTTCTTTAGTTTTAATTTCAATAATATCGCTTCCGCCGTGAAATAGTAACAAACATACAGACACATTTTTGTATTTGTAATATTACTATGTATTTATCACAACACAATTACCTATACACCTTAATTTGCAGAGTCATTTCTATGCTTATTCAATTAGAGATTATTTGAAATAGAAACCATATTAGTGAGGACAGGCCTTTATGGTAAATTTATTAAAACATTTTTCCAATTTTTCGTTTACTCAACATTTCTTTTATTTAGGCATATATAAAAAGTATAATGTTTTTTTGCAGTGCAATATTGACTTGAAACGGAATGTCCTTCGTATAGGGACTACGGGTACGGAGACGCTATTCTTATCAGAATCTGATCTGCCGGAGTGCGCCAGGCTCTCTGGCTACTCGGAAGATGAAATCGTGAACCAATCGGTGAGGGATCACGAGGAGCGCCAAGTGAAAGAGGCACTGGAGAAATCAAAGCAAGGTGGGCGTGGAAAAAAGAAGTAACATGTTAAATCTAATGTGTACTCTGTTAAGTCTCTATTAAGGTTTTCAATGCAATAAAAACATTAACGTTAACATTTAAATCAATAAAAATAGTAAAACCAATTATTGTTTATGTGTTGATAGTTTATGCCGTGAAAGTTTATGGAATTTGCATTACTTATCAACTAGTTAACAAGAAAATGGAGCATAGTTGTAATATTTATTACATGTATTAATTTAACAGTTCATTCGAAATATACTGCTTCCATAGATTCTTTTACATTTGCGAATTGTTATATAATTTTCTATGAAATATTCAGTGATATATTTTGCTCTAATTTTACTGAGTAAAATGTTTGCGTCTTATTGCTATGTTTTTAGGTAGGTGAGATAATAAGTGTGTTCTTCTAATAAACATGTTACAAGATAAGTAATAAATTATATCAATAGATTACAATGTAGTATAGGAACTTATATCGTGTAACATAAATTATAAATAATATTTACTTTCATGATAACCTTTATACCCTAGTCGTAATATATTGTACTGCTCTATGTAGAATGTAGTGAATATTGCACTCATTATAGGAAGTACAGTCAGCTTCATAAAGGCAAGTAATATTTCAATTTTATCTCAGTGTTATATGTATCAGTATTCATATATCTCAGTGTTGTGAATTATATGAAGCAGACTGCTTAAACGATATCATGCCAGTAAAATTATATTGTTTATGTATTGTATGTGTAGTGCTATAGTTATTAACATATTAAGTGTGTGAAGCATGACTATATTCTATTTATTTTATAGACAATGCTGCTGGGCTATCTATCAGGCCAACTACCAGTGGCCAATCCACTTCCACTGCAACACAAGCTGGTGGCCAGAGAATTGGTAAAGTCACTAGAGATAATATCAATATTTCTTTAGAAAATATTCTGAAATTGATGCCTCTTTTCGTGTGAAGACGAGTGGCATGAAATAAGATAAAACTGAATATTCCCTTCAATGTACGACCTTGCAATGGTATTAAATGACAAAGAATTATGTTGGAAGATGTTTTTTACTTCTTTCATTAAAATTTTGTCGTGACAATTACCAACATCAAGAAACCAAACCTTTCTCTTTTGGAAGTGATTTATTGTGGTTATATGGCTATTTTTATTGTTATACATTCGTCGGGAATGGTTTCTATTTATATGGCTCAAACTCCACGCGGTGGGAGGCACGTTGCTTTGCGTACATGTTTCAACTTCCAATTCTTTATCGGTCTCCTTTAGAAAAACAAATTTTCTCTTTTTTATGTAGTTTTGATAGGATAATAGACATTATTCTCTAATATATATTTATTAATCATACACTATTTATTGACCTAACTTAAGTATATTACAAACAAGACAAAAAACAGAATCAAAACTACATGATTAATAAATATATATTAGAGGATAATAGACATTATTCTCTAATATATATTTATTAATCATACCTATATTATTATAATTTTATTATGAAATTATATTGATAATTTTAATACTCTCTTAAAAATCAGAAGGAACTATTCTTTTTAATGATGATAGTGGAATGGGGCACTCGCCTGTGCTAATTGTTTACGCTGGCGGGTCCCTACTAGAGGATGATATGAATATGAGGTCAGGTCAGTAATTGATGATGATTGATTTTATGATTAATTCATTATTTTTTCCCATGATTTCGTGCTATATTGCTGACAAAGGGGTCATCAGTCAATCCACATTAGTAACAATCCCCTTCCCGCCCTCTAAAATATGTTTAGATTTTTAAAATTTTCTGTACTATCTAGTATGTGGCCTGATATCTTAATTTGCATAAAAAATATTTTTTATTTGTTCAGGACTCGTCGATCCTAGTCAGACCATTCTGCCAACTGATGCTTTTGGCGAAACCGAGGTGGAAGAAATAGTAGGCTTTGGATTCACTCGGGAGCAGGTCAGTAACTAACTGTAATGTAACATTAAACTAAATACGAACTGTGACAGTGTTTTATATGCAGCATATTTTCAACTATATTTAAAGTAGACTTTATTGTTTAGTCGCAGTAAAGGTGTAAAAAATATTTTACACTTTTACTTATAAAGTGTAAGTTTTCTCAATAATTAAAAAAATATTTTTGATATTGTTATGTGTACCAAATAATCTTATTTTCTTTCTTTCAATTTATGCGTCTTTATTATTTGCAGGCTATCGTCGAACTGCGACGGTTTAACGGAGATAAGGCCCAGGCAATGGTCGCACTAGTTGCAAAGTCACTGAAATTCTGATGTTTACTGAAAGCTTTGCGTGATCGCATTGCAGGACTATTTGATCTGTTGAGTACCCTCGAAGTACCTACAATCATGTAGGCGTATTTGGTGAAGTGAAATACGATCAACTACCGTTAATATTGTTTGCTGGCATGAATGTAGCTTGTTCTATGGAAACGTTAATTTTAATCATTGTAGTAATTATATTATAAAATTGGCCGTAATAAATTACTGGCGTTACTCTATGTGATTTCGGTGTTTACTGTAGTTCACTTCTTGTAAAGTAAAACTTTACCAAATGTGAAGGGAAGACTGTTTTATCGATATTATTTTGACGATAAGACGGCAAATTTGGATCAAATAGTTCGCGTAATATAAGTTTATATGTATCAGCCCGATTTTTTGTGGCATATTACAATGTCTATGTATCCATAATTATACAATTATAACCATTCATAGTAGATTATAAGTGCACCGCTCTGATTTATGTATTGATTGGAGTTTAATAATTACAGGAACATTTGATATTATAATTAATGGACATGTAGTCAGCAGGTGTGTTTTTGTATGTTTTATACTTTTTCTGTTGCTGTGTCTACATTGGCAGCTTAATAGACTCGTCTTCTAACGTATGTATTCGAAATTGAATTCGAATAGAGTATTTCTTAATCAATAGATTGATTTTCCCATTATATCCGGGTGACACATAGGTTGTTATTGTAACTTGTATTTGTAATAATATAATTCATATCATCTGTGTATTGTTTAAGTGTAGGATGTATTCTTATGCGTCCTAATTAAATGTCAGTAGAAGTATTATATCGTATAATCATAATATAAACATGTTTATAGACTGAACAAGCCTATCTTAGCGGAATAGGGATATTTTCGGAGATTGGCAATCTGGAATGGAGGCTCATGTAGGACTCGCGTATTTCTTAATGCTTCATGGTCCTCAACGACTTGACTTAACACTTTCAGCCTAAAGTAACGTTACAGTTTGTGAAAAACAATGTTATACAAAACTCTTTAAAGATATTCTTAATGACGTCCTGGTGGTCTAGTGGTTTAGTACACCGTTTTACGTCTGGTGGTCGCGGGTTCGATTTCGCGTACGGTTAACATTTGTAGTCATAGTCATCAGAGTATGATTGTTTGCATCTGTCTAGGTGTACCCTGTGTATATTGTTTGTGTATTTACAAAAAAATATCTATGTATTAATATCAGTTGTCGAGTACCCCATAACACAAGTTGTGCTTACCGTGGGATTAGATGTTTGTTTGTTTATTTATTCAGAAAGCTCACACCAATTTTAACACGAACAAGTTACATCATACTTGTCTGTATGTTTTGTCATGTCTTGAAGAAAATGTAGTGTTATGTTTATTATTCGAGTTTCTAATTTTACTTTACGTATACACCGACTTTTTTTTACTTCCGTGGTATTCTCGTGTACGTCAGGATTATATTATTTTGTTTTAACAACAGGTGATGAAGAATGTGCAATTTCTATATAAGCAGGTATATAAGAAAAATTCTTCTCATTCTTCATAGAAAAAAAATATTCTATGTATGTTTTTTTTATTATTCACAGTTTACATAATTTTTTTGGTCCCTTACCCGGTAAAACTTATATAGGGGTCGTCTACAGGCATATAGTTCTCCCTTAGTTACAATGTCTAATTGTAATATGTAAAAATACGGGTATTCATTACCCCATTTACAATAATATCATTGCAAAATAATAAAGAAACATTTGTTTAATAGGTACAATCCGAGAAAAAAGTACATCATATTTTTTTGGTATCTTGTAAGATTTTGTTAATACAAATAATTTATATAAAAAGATTTATATCTATTCTATTTTTATTATTGTGATTGGCTTGTCTTCGTCATTGCTATTAAAAAAATAATAATTAATAGTTTTAAATGCTGGTAGAATATTAAAATTCTACAAGATTTATGATATTTAAAATAGATTTTGAATATTCCTTTATATACATATTTTAGTTTCAATTCTTCAATTTATATTATTTTTTGTTGTATAGTTATATCACTATAAAATAATTAATTACTCCTATAAACAGCCACATAGTATTATCCCAAGCCATCCATTGATTTTTCAATGCAAGTTCAACAACACTTAGTTGTCAATTAATTTAACGGACCACGATATACCTACCTATACTAAATGACATATGAAGATAATAATATTTTTATTGAAAATATAATTAATTTTAATTGGTACTTGATTATCTCTTCGAGATATTGTGAATTTATACAAATATTAGGTACTTTTAGACTATAGCGTCGCTGTTCAGAATATTTCTCTATTTCGGCGCAAATTTAGTAATTGGCTGGGTTGATTTTAATAATTTTTTATTGAGTAGTCAAAACTAATATTTAAGTAGCTAAATTTGATTAAATTATAATTTAAGAATGAAGTGACGTAAACTCGAGGTACTTTATGATTTTGTAAGCAGGCTCAAAGTTTCCTTCCTGTATACTAGGTGTATGCAATTATACATGATCAACCATTGATTGTTAAATCGTCAAGTCATAACGAACAAAGATTCACTTTAGCATTAATACTATTAGCAATAATTTATAATATATAGGTATTTGCTGGTTGCGATCTAAATTATTACTCTTGCCATTGTAATCGTGGGCTATCTTTGGGTATAAAATATTCTTAAGTAAATAAATTTCATGGACCATTTTTCGCTAATGTATTAAAATTTATTTAAGACTATATCCTCATTTTCGAACGACCGCAAGAGAATTTTGCTATTTATACTTATCGATAACTTACATCTGTAATCCCACAATGTATTTTTATTAATAAGCATTCGTTGTTAAGATAGGTGTTTATTACCGGATTAATACCTAAGTAATAATATAGTTGATTGTACTCTTAATGTATATTGACTGCAAGGTAAATTTGCTTTTTTTCAAGCTGTGGCTCTATGTAAAATTTATTATATTATCATTGTTTTATGCTAATGCATACTTATTTCTACAACTATTGTCTTTTGAGATAACAATTTGTGTACCTCTGCTTATAAGAATTCGGGCAGTATTACTGGGTTTATTATTAATACATTCATAAAGTGTTTACATATATTAATATAAAACTTAGATAAATTAGAATTTATGTTGATTATTTTGTATGTTTTCATTCTAAATGATTAAACGGTTCGAAATTCAAAAATATTTTGTTTTATTTTTTCCAATTTAGGTGTGATGGAATGAAAGAAGGTATTTTTTTATCGACTTTTATTTTACTTATGTTTTACAAATGTATATAAATGTTATCGTACTGGCGAACTTGTTAAATACTTTTAAATAGTAGTTTTTAGTACGTTAATAATTATAATTATATATATATCGTCGTTTATATATATATATATACTATACTATATTAACAATCTTAGTACATGTATGTATCTTTAGTTTTTCCACAACACTTTTATAATTACTAAAACGATACTTGGCCAAGTTAATTTTACATGAAATAATATATTTAACATACAAGTATAGGTACTAATACTACATATCTCCTAACAAATACTAAACTTCGGTGGTGTCTAAATAGTTTGTGTTTTATCAAATAATAAAATATGTTCTATTGTAGATATATATGTATTTGGTTCGTAATACTATTATTATTATCTATGATATGATTAAAACGATCACTAGTATCACTAGTATTATACAGTCCACTTTATATAGTGTCCACAGCATCTGCGGGTTGGATCGACAACTTATTAGCCATGGTAGTGAGAATGTCGGTCAGTCTAGCAAATCGCTGATTCGGTATAGTCAACGCGCCTCGCTCTCCCCACAAGAAATTTATGTGGAATTCGGTCCTAAATAATTCCAGTAAAGTGGGGTCCAATGTGGACCCCAAAGAGGACATTTCTTGTACCACAGTTCGGGCATTGCGTTTGAACATCTCCACTTGGTCAGGGAAATGACGGGCGGCATCTAGATGAGCGGCCGTAGCATTGAAATCAAATTCGAGCGTGTTCATAAGGCTCGTCGGAAATGAATCATCTGGCGGCATAAGTCCTCCGCTTTCGCCGTCTTTAACAAGAAAAGAACATATTATAAAATTATTACTAATATGTGTAAATAAATATGTTAGAGAACACGAGTTGTACTTGTGGTTTTTAATAAAATTCATGCGTTGCTATTCCGCAGGACTAACATGTAATCTCTGTACCTCTATAATTTCGGTGCAAATTCTTAATCTTCACACGAAAGACGACTTGTATAGTAACACAGACGACATGTACTTAAATTGATATGTTATTGTATTTGGAATAATAACAATATAAGTTGCCTTGTGAACAGATAGAAATAAAAATATAGCTTGGCGAGTTACACATACCGACACAGTTTTAATAGTAGTTTTTTAAAGCCGGATACTCACCAAATAAATGGAAGCATAATACTGACGGAAGAACATAAGGAGTTGTAGTATTAGGTGGCAAAGGATTTGTCCCCTCATTCATGCTCTTAAAGCATGGACGCAGTTTTGCTTCGAACATAAACGCGTTGTCAGTGTACACGCGTCTTAAAATATTCCAAGCATTTTCTAAACACTCCACCTGAAATGTTAAATGCATTTCTAAAATATAATATCAATTCAGACAGGGAGAAAGCAACAAGTTGCTGACTTGTAACATACGTACAGCATTTATGAAATACATTACTGGAAGCCGGTATTTAGAGTTTTATAACAGTACGATTTTACAGAATACAAATAAGCAATGAATAATATAAATATTTTGTATAAGAAAAATACTTCAGATAGAATATATAAAAATGATAGTACATAAGAAATATATAAAAATATATTTAACCTGTGGCATACATAAGCCGAACATGATTGCAGAAAAACCGTATAGATTTCCAAGAGCCGTTTTTGTCTCCACAGCTAAGAGTATCCAATCGTTAATGGTGTCAGCTCGTTGACGGTCAGTTTGACATGTTAAGATGGTCACCGCAATAAGCAGTCTATATGTTTCAATCCTGCAAATGTTACAAGTTACAGTAATGCTATAATTTTAGTGCAGGTATAATATTCTAATATAAAAGTGTGTTAATTTACCTTTCAATCACATCTAATCGTAAAGTTCTGCCCTGGGGAAGAAAACATAGTTCCAAACCGGATGCTGTTCTGTCGATACCTTCTAACTGTATGGCATCATCTAATAAGAAATGTAAATCGACTTTGGTCATGTGATTTGCTAATATACGCGGGCCCGAAGTTCTAAGTAGAAGTTTAATAGTATGCAAAGTCTCTGATTCTAGAGGCTTTGTTAAACCGAGAGGTATAATTTGTGATTGAAAATTTTCGAGATTAATCCGTGAGTCAACTACGTAATCCAAGTTTTCAGATTGTAACAATCTAGCCTCTGACAACTCATAGTCAAATTGCTGTTTGATAGTAGGGGTTACCAAATTATAATCGGACTCTATTCGTGATTTATTAGGATCACTGTGAGCTGAACTCTGAGTGGAGTCTCCAGAACCGTTTCCAGAGTCCGACCCTGAAACGTGGTAAAGTCTCTGTAATTCCAAGCGTCTATCATCTGCCTTAGGACCTTCATACCGCGCAGGTTTAGCAGGGGGGCTTGTCGGTAAATTTGCATCCCACGTACTAGAACTGGAATTGGAATCGCCAGAAAAGTTTTTAACGTGCTTAGTAGCTTGGCTTTGGATTACTCCATCTGCACTTGCGCTTTTCCCATTATTGCCATGTTGACCCATGTCAATAGGAGTTAATGAATGCGATCGTTGCTTCTTGAAGGGAACTCGTAATTGTAATCCAGGTTTAGCTGCAAAATGACTGTATAGACTGTAAGTTCCAGAACCGTCGCCAATTGGTGAGATAACAGAATTTAAGTCGTCATTTGGAATATAATTTGTTAAGGGCACTATTCGATTGGCGGGATATTGAATTCTTGCGCCTGAAGCAGCTGATATTGGTTTTCCCGAGCCGACATATGAAGTTATGAGGTCCGCAACTGTGTCATACGCTTCGTCTTCAAATTGATATTGATACCTTTCATAAACAGTTTCGGGGTGCACGACAATCTAACAAACATAAAACAGTTTCAATAAATTAGCCAAGCACATTAATCTGACAATGTGAAATCAAGTCTTGAGTAGGCTACTAGGGATAATTGTGCTAACATTTTACACAAAGTACCTACCTACGATTACATGGAGTGCCAAATTGTTTTGTTCGTAAACACTTTAAGATACTCGAGTATAGTCATTACAAACAATAATATCGATAATAAACAAGAAGAAAACATCTTAATTCCTAATTAGACTAAGTCGTCATTTGGCAAAACATTTTACAGAATAAGAAATAAATATCACTTGAGACGGAATAAGACCATGTAATAGGATACTCTTCGATTTTCACGAAAATGTATTTAGCTCTGTAAATTGATGTAGCAACAGAGTAAGTACCTACTTATTGTTACATGTTTGACTTACCCGTTGTATAACGAAATGAAGATGCTGTGCATTGGAGCGGCAACTCAATACATAGTTGTCGGGTTGCGAGGACGAATCCCTTACTAAGAATTCTCTGTCCTGTTGTAATAGATTCTCTGCTGCCGTGCGACTTAGGGCTCCATGATACCAGCCATGGGATATAATCTGGTCTGATGGCAGGGAAAACTCCCATTCGAGCAAACCTGACGTAGTCATCGCATTTGTGTCCTAAAACATTAATTTTCAGATTACACAGACCTCATATCTTTTCTTCTTCAAAATGTACTTAATAGCTTTTGTAAAAATTCCACAATTAAGTAATATTTAGCCGTGGAATTATTATAGGTACCGAGTTTACATATTCGTAAAAGTGTCACGTTTATTGGCTCGCATTATAAATTAACTGCGAACTTCCTTTAAAATTTATCGACCGGCGACAAATAAAGAAGAAAATCTTGAATTATATCTAGTAATTTTAATTAAAATTTGTCGAATGCTTACCATTTTGTATATTTACTTGGCGTTACACATCTATATTTTTCTATTCCGGTTGTGATAGTTGTGTATAATGGGTCCACATTGCGACAGCGCGGTCAGAGAGGGTGAGTTTGGGGTGGGAGGAATCAATAAAATAGCTACCACCGCCCCATTTTCGCCGATGTTGGTAGCACAGCTTAATAAACGAACTTCGCACTTGATAACCGCGCATGCGATTTGAGAAGGGAGAGGTGACATTTTGTTTTAATCATTCCAAAATACATACCTACATATAATAACGATCAAATATGGAAACACTGTCTTTTTTGAAGTTGATTAAAAATAAAATTAATTTGTCACAATTTCTTATATTAATATCAATACACAATTTTGTCGACCTTTGATACTTGTTATCGTATTTTCTTCGTTAGAAATTACACATAAATTAAACATTTTCTGAAGCCTACTTACGCTTATTACGTAGGTATATATTTTTTAATTATCCCTTTTTCAAAAGAAATCATAAATTTTATTTCAATATAAATACTTATTCCACTCAATATTCTAAGATTATAAAATACTGAGAAAAATATTTAAATATTCAATATATACTTAATTCAAATAAAGAGACGGCTCTTTCAAATATGAATATCAAAGCAAGATTGAAAATATAAATTATTTTTTTATTAATTAAATATTATGCGTACTTAATTATAAATCAATGGCACAGGGAAAACCTCTGCCTAATTCGTAAAAGGCCTCGCTTATAAATAATTATGACAAATTCTATAGGTACTCTTTATTATTGCTCATTGCTGAATAATAAGTAATTGATTACAAGAAATAATATTTTATAACGGCTGCATTGATATTTAAATTAGCAACTGAATTTTCAGTTACTCTTCATCATAAAACTATCAAACGTCTATGATATTAATAGATCAGTAACTATATTTTTTATATGTACATATATTTTACCGACAGTACTATCTAAATTAATTCACTGGCACGTTTTAAAGATAAAGATTATTTTGCTGACAATTTCATCTTAAGTATTGTCACGCACGTTCATTCATTAGATAGTAATAGTAGGTAATATAAAATGTCACGTAATATCACACGTTGGAAATTAAATTGTTGTAAAAATGAGAAAGGGCATGACATGTTAGGTCGGGGCTGCTGAAAGAATGTCGAATGAATGATTGACGAAACAAATATCATAATCATCATCATCATTGCCTTGACTTTATTTCATTTATTTGGGTTCAGCGCAGTATGTCATTTTCTTCCACTGATTTCTATCGGCCGTCATATCTGCATACTCTTTTTTTATTCATATCATCTTTCACACAATCCAATCATTTTTTTATAGCGTCCTCACCTATTCCATTCATCCAGGCTCATAATATCCCATCCTCGTCGCCATTTTTGTAGTGTCCGGGCCGTCCGTGACACCTTGTGAATAAAATACAATTTCAAAATCAAATAGCCTTTTTATATTTCTAAAAAAAACACACCATTTTAATTGTTTTACAAAACCCCTCATTTACTGGTTCTTCCATAGATATCTTTTATTTTTACCATAGACAAATTACTTGTCTATTATAAAATAGACAAGTATACAATATTTTTAATATACATAAATAAATGTGTAAAATGAAAATGAGAGTACGCAAGTATCAAGAAATGACTAGCTTAGATTAGACAGCGGTACCAGTATTATATTAAACGTGTGTTGTATAATAGTTAGGACTGGCTAAAATGGTATGCATGAAAATTATGAAAATGAATGAACCAAACCTTGTGTTTAAAGACTAACAAACAAATCTGGAACTGGGTTCCCTTAAATATAATAAAAATCATATTTATTTGTCTCAAATAAGAAATAATACAATTGCTGTTTATAATCTTAATAATATTATAAACGCGAAAGATTGTAAGCATGGATCTATATTAATCTTTATAAAACTATACAGCAATATAGCTTATTCGTCATAATCACACACGCTATATTTTTATCGAAATTTAAACCGCGGGCACAAATAGTAAAATATAAAAGTAATGAACGAGACAGAACGGTCTATAACTTGGAGAGGGCAGTGAGTACTCTATGTTATTCTGTTATAGCGTATTTTGGTAAATTAATACAATGAGAGATCGACAACGACGATAGCACTTAAGTTCTAGACAATACAAACAATACGATGTAAACATATCGTGATAAAATCGTTACGATGGGCTAATTGCTATGACTGACATCCCCGTCCTGACTGTATATACTGTTAACGTAGGAAGTAACGACAATATGTACATAGTATGTGGTAAATATATTTCAGTAATAGAGGGCATTAGTCAGTCATTATACCTATACTACCAAACCAGTACTAGTAAATGAATTGAAACTATACTGACTCAAATAAGTATAAACAGTTCATCGTATGCAAAATCAACAATGTCGATCGACATAATGCATGACGACAAGGAAACAATCTTTATTGAAAATTTTAATTTTTAAACATGCAAACTTGATGTCAGCCTTAAAGTAAGTTAAGCATTTGATGTCTAAACGATGAGAAGTCTTTACCAACTACTTTGTGTGTTCACATTGAACATTGTGTTAAACTCGAAAATTTACTGCTATGAAAAAAGTAAGTTTTATTACTATTTACTTAGTTACTATTTTATTTACTTTTGAGGTAACTGTTACATAGTTGCATAGAAAATACGCACCGACTAAAGGTATTACTGTAATATTTTGAGTTAAAATATTTCCAATATTCCATTATTAAAATATATATATAGTAAAACAATAAATTTCTTACTGTATGTATCTAAAATACATGCAGTAAGAAATTTATCTAAATATTATAATTTATGGAAAGGAATGTTTTTGTAACCTTATGAAAATAAGCTCGTTTGGTTGTTTTCGTTCTATAATAGTATACCTATTTTTAATAATATTTGTGAGATTGGCCTTTACGGAACTACATATATGAAAACACTATAACCATGCATACAATCGTCGTCATAAAATAATATCATAAATTTTATATTGTAGCATTACGGAAAATTGTTCGCAATCAATCAAAAATGATACAGAGACCTTTCAGTGATACGGGAACTGAAAATATGGTGTGGAGGAACGCATCATTGTTTCCTATGTCATTGCAATTCAACAGGGAACTTATGTTCAAAATGCAACGGCCCAAAGTTTCCACTATATTATCTGTAGCAGAAACAAATCACGGCAAATCTTATTCAAGAATGAAGACGAGTAATGAGGAGTATCTGTTATCCAATGAACAACGACTTACAAGGAACACATTATATAAGAATATATCGTCTTTTCATTCTAGCAACTCGTATTTGCCGATCTTTAACAATAGCATAATGAATAGTAATACATTTCCGAAAGATATAGCAATATTTTATCAAATACCAACGCGATCTAAATATTTTCCAACTGCTGATGATAATTTACAAAACTACGAACAAAAAGGTAACAATAAGGAAAGTGGTATTGTTATTCCTGAATTTCCACAGACGAATAAAGATAATGAGAGTGTTATAACAAAAAGCATTTTCAAGTCACCAATCGATCACAAACTTAAAACTATTAAACCAGATTATCAAGATACAAGTCAGCACGAAGTTGGTATTGATAAAGCAGATTTCCTAATAGAGGAATTAATAGCGGATCCAAAGTCTAAGTATAGCTATAACGTATCGGACGATTCCTATACTTGTACTGTTTTACAAGAAACAAAAGCAAATATTGATGCGCAGGAAACATTTTCTAACTTTGATATAGAGGTAAGGTAACTGTTACATTGAGAGCTAATTAAGTCTACGAATGACATTGTTTCTATACGACTCTAAATTAATTTAGTGATGATTTGTAAAGCGCTAAGAGTGGAACATCACTTTTAACGTACAATTAGTAAACCACGGCATCTTACCACGTTTTATTTTTTGAGTTTCCGATATTTCGGCAGTGTTTCAACCGCCATGATCACGGGTGAACTAACACAACAAAAATAAAACGTGGTAAGTTCCCCTGTTTTACTAATTATACGTATAAATAATGACCGCGTCAAATTTAAAACAGTCACTATTTAATGTAAAGATTTAATATATAAAATATACATCTTCATAAGTTACAATTTTAATAACTTGAGTTTTATGTGGAACTGCCGATGAACGTCTGCGAACTCAATAAAATCCGTTTTCCGATAAGCTCTACCCACGTGATGATCGTTAGGGAGCTACTAATTGGTATAATACATAAGTGGAAGCTCGAGAGTAAAAAGTCAATATCAATTATTAATAAAAATGCTGTATGAATCTATATTTCACGGATTGATGCGTAAATAAAAATCACAAAGTATTATTTTTATTTTTTTGTAGAATATGTAATAATAGATGGCACATCTATTATTACATAGTCTTTGCGGTTTCACCCTCATCAAATTTGTATCCTACCTGTTATACTCATGTATAAACGATATTACTGTAAAGTTTCATCCAAATCTTTTATAATTATTATTATATGTACTTTATTTAAATTTATAGATTAATTTTAATATATAGAACTTTTGCCACATACGAATAAGCAGTTTCTGAAGAAGTAAATCTTTCGTAGATAGCTAAAAGTTGATTAAACCCGACATTGTTATATATTTTTACACGTATATAACAAAACAACACTGAAATATTTTATACACTTACAGCCATTGTGGATGGCGAATAAACATTTTTGGAACAGTATTTATGACAGTCGGTATGAATATTTGATGAGAAATCACAAATGGCCAGCTTTAAAGGTAAAATATCCAATAGTACATACCTACATATTTTTCATCCAAAATAAAAACACGTACTGGGTCTCATGACTAATATAAAAAATCATACCTACTGTAACTACTCACTAGTTTCAGTAGGTATTATTTTGCAAAGCAGAAAAGGAAATGCCACTACACATCCTTTGTGGAAAGTATACGCTCTATTATAAGGAGATAAAAAAAACCATCGCTGCTAAGAATAGTCTTCAATTTGACCCTCATGGGTCTAGGCAGCGAACTTTGAAAAAGGGCGAGCTCAATAGATCTATTCAGGTCGCAGTGTCACAGGCTCCCATTAAGAAAATAGAGTAGGTATATCCACCCTGTTGTTAACTTAACATTTCGCATGCATATATGTATATTTCTCTGAAAATTAGCTGCGAAATACAGGTCTAGCAAAACTACCACCATCTTAAGAACTGGGTATAATGATGTTAAATACCTATATGATAACTTTGTCATTATGTACCTACGATACCACAATAGTACTAGAAAGACATAATAAATGCTGTTATTCTACCTAATGAGAGCTTTTGTTGATTTCACAGGTCATTCTTGTACCTCGTACTCACGTGGACACTATTTGGAAACAATCTTTCGAATATTATCATAATAACAGCGTAAATAAAATTATATCAAACGTTGTTAAGAAACTTCAATTTTATGATAACCTTACATTCACGTGGAACGAGGTGTCCCATTTGAGCCAATGGTGGAAGACTGCCTCACAAAAGAGCCGATCGGTATGGAAGTCTTACTATTCTAATGGATATTCTATACCGCAATATATGTTTCCGGCGATATTTCTGATTTTATAGTATTATTATATTTTTTCTTAACAAATTATCCGTTCATTTAGACTTTAAGATAATTTGTATTCTGGTTGCTACAGAACAGGCCCAGCCTAGTGTATGAATCACAATATCAACGAACATTGTTTCATATGTTCACAATACAAATTGTGAATATATGAAACAATTTTGGTAAAAAATAATTTTTACTAATATTTTTTACCAAAACGATTTTTTACGATTTTACAATTTAGTAAAAAATACAAAGGAACGTCCCCGGCATTACATTTTTTTGTGGAATTCTAACCTTAGCACAGAATTTGTTCACTTTATACCAGACTTTTTTATTCCACGTGATAGATAGCATTTCTATCACGTGGAAAAGGAATATATCTCGAAAGGTATTTGTCTATTACTAGGTATAAGTAATGTTTAGCTGATGAAGATCTTTTCTTATATTTCTTTTATGTAATTCGTATGACAAGCAAGCCGCGTACCTCCTGATTTTTATGAATTGAAGTGTTTAAAACATGTACAAAAATTACTTATTGTGTATAATCTATTATGTTGGTCAGGTGTTTCGACGTTTGATAAAAGGAGGTCGTTTAGAAATCACCACAGGAGGGTGGGTAGAACCTGATGAAGCTACCACACACATATTTGGGCTGATACACCAACTTACAGAAGGTAATTTTAAAGTACCGGTTTTATCTTTGATAGCAGCTATGTTTTTTGATGGATATTAATTTAAGGAACCATAAGACAAATCGGTTAGCCTAACATGACGGAATCTCTAGGTATTAACCACGATGGTTTCCAGGGTATAGGGTGAGAAGGATGACCTAACTTGAAAATTATAATAAGGTCGCTAGTCCTCGTTACCAAAACTTCTCACTCGGAATGCCAATGTTTTTCACTTAAATATAAAACCATTGATTTCTGGCGGACCTACTCCTTACTGTGTACTATTCAAGGCGACCTCCATGCAATCCAGAAAACTATCCATGGTGGTTAATTGTTACAACTGGCTTACTGGTCGGATTGACTTTTTTTTTTATTGGATTGTTTGGGCTATTGTCAGATGTGTAGCACCTGTAGCACTGCGACCTACATAGATCTATTGTGCTCGCCCTTTTCAGAGTTCGCTACCTAGACCCGTCAGGGACAAGAATTGAAGGATATTCTTAGGAGCGATCGTTTTTATCTCCTCGGGAAAGAGTGTAAACTTTCCAAAGGAGATATTTTGTTTATGCATGAGTGGGCTACAACATAGGATGTGAAGCGGCGTTTCCTCTTCACGGATTGACTTTATTATCCTACTATCATTGCCACTAGTGCTACGCAAGCAACGGATAGCACAGGTGGCGGCACCATTAAAAAAATGTACTATGCGTGCTTACCAAGTTGTGTATATAGTCTGGACAGTTCAATGATATTACTACATACGCTGATATTACATTTTTTGAGTATTGAAGGCGTATTTTTTATATTTTAGATCAAAACCATACGTTGTATATATTATATCTTTTTTTATTTCAGGACACCAGTGGTTAAAATGTTACTTGAATTACATGCCGAAGGTCGGTTGGCTTACAAACAGTGTGACTCATAGCCCTACAATGGCTTATCTATTGACGGCGTCTGGAATATCCAATTTAGTGATGACAAATCTTCACTTCTCCTGGGAACAATATCTAGCGGAATATCAGTACAGCGATTTTGTTTGGATTCAAAATTGGGACAATGACAAAACCAGCGCGACGGATATTAATGACGCCCTGAACAGATTAGGAAATGATCGTTTACCAAAACATTCCGTTTTAACTCATTATTTACAATTCAATTCAGCCGGTTTTAAAGCTTGCGGGCCAAATAAAGCCATATGTAGTAGTGATTTCAATTTCGGCAAACCCAATAGAAATTTCGACATAAATCCTTATAACGTTAAAGAAAAAGCAGAACTATTACTAGAACAATATTCCAAGACTGGTACAATCACGCCACATAACATTATGATGGCTCCTTTAGGAGGGCCATACGCCTACGAAAGTCAATCTGAATTTGATTATCAATATATGAATTACCAAACGTTAGCCGAATTCATAAATGCCAATAGTAATATATACAAAGCTACAGTTCAATTCGGCACACCTAGTGATTATTTCAATAATATTGTTGCGAAACATAAAAATTATCCCACATTAAAAGGTGACTTTCTGAATTTTGCAGATATACACTCAGGAAGTCCCGCATACTGGGCGGGATTTTACACATCGCGACCTTTACTTAAAGTATTACTGCGGCGTCTCCAGTCTACTTTACGGACTACTGAGATTTTGTTTACATTCACTATTAGTATGAATGCCTTTCATGGTTTTAATACGACAGAAATATTTAAACTTCTTATAAAATCGAGAGAAAGCGTTGCTCGCCTTCTTGATAAGAATGTTGTAAGTGGTACTGTAAATGCCAATACTCTCAGATATGTTCATAATCAGATAATAATGACGGCTAAAGATTGTTGGTATATACAGGAAGTATCTGCAAGTCTGCTAAGTATTAAACCGGATCAGATCGCCCCGTATCTTCAAAAATATATTTATAGGGATGGAGAATTCGTTTCGGTTTTCAGAACTGTTGCAGCCGGTGATCAAGTATATGTATTTAATTCACTTAGTCATGAGAGAACAGAAATAGTGGAGCTTATAACAAAAACTCCTAACATTAGAATTGTAGACCATAACAAAAAACACATTACTATACAGATAAATCCAGTCTGGAAATACAACTCGAAGAACATCGTAAAAATATCACGAACGTTTTTTAAAATTGTTTTCGTTATTCATATACCGCCTATGACTTTGGAATTATTCAGGGTCAAAGAGACTTACGATACAACACAGAGCACTGCTACTATTTATTGTCAAACATGTAAATTAGACGATGACTATGGTCAAAACCCATACTTTAAATTTAATATTCAATCAATACAACCAGGGGACATACAATTCGAAAATTACAAACATAGACTTATTTTCGATGAAGTGTCTGGATTCTTAAAAACTGTAATTGAAAAAAGTAACAACAAAGAAAAAATGGTTGTTTTCGATTATGGCGCATTTAAAAGTTCTGACCATAATGCTGGAATGTTCTTATTCAATACAGATGTAAGGAGACCACTTCAGGATATATTAATGCCATATAGAACTGGGTACAATACAAAACTACTGATGATTACATCTGGACAAGTTACTACTGAACTCATATCAATTTATGGCCTTTTCCTCCAGCATACTGTAAAAATATTTAATCTTCTCAAAGGTCCATTATCCGACGCTATTTACTTAGAAAGTAAAGTGAATTACGAAGTAGCGCCGAAAAACAGAGAACTTGAATTATTCCTGTCCATTCAAACCGATATAAGCAATGGTAATTATCCCGAAATATACACCGATAATAACGGCTTTCAATACACCAAACGTGTTTTAAATATAACTAGACGTATTGAGTCAAATATGTATCCCATAACAAACATGGTATACATTCAAGATAGTAACAAGAGGTTAACGCTCATAACTGATCATGCACAAGGAGTGACAGCATTGCAAGAAGGCCAGTTGGTTGTTATGTTGGACAGGAGGATCTTATTTAATGATGGTCGGGGTACACACGAGGGTTTAGCAGACAATACTGTAACATACCACCGTCATATCATATTACTGGAGAACTTCGCAGAATCTGTAAACTATTTCGGTTACTTATCATTCGAGAATCATCTCAAATTGCCAAGTCAAACTGCCTTAAATTTGGCCAACTCCATAAACTATCCTCTAGACATTTTCGTGAATAGTAAGAAAAACAGTAATCTATCTTATTATGCATTTATACCATTGATAAAAACATCATTTCCGTGTGATGTTTCAGTTGTTAACTACAGAACAATACTGAATCGAGGTGTACATAATCAAACTCCAAATTCAGCTTTGTTAGTTTTGTTTCGACAGACCGCTTCATGTCGAATAGATAATACTGATCTTCATTGCAATGGAGAAAGTGGCTTCACTGTAGATAACATTCTTCGCAGTGTTAAATCAGTGTACCTAACGAATTTAGTTGGTACCAGTGATGGTGTTCCACAAACTTTTTATAATTTAAGAAATTTTCCACCGATGGAACTGATAACATTGCGAATATATTTTTAATTTATTATAGACTAGCTGTGCCCGCGCTTTCACCTGCATGAAATTTATGTATGAAGTGTGGTATTTTATTGTTAAGTTTTAGAATCCGTTGTGTAGTTTTTGCGTGAAAATGTAACAAACATTCATCTATCCATATCCACACTCGCTAACTTCCGCGTTTATAATATTAGTAAGATATTTTTACTGATATGATAAAGTAATGTCTAATTTAGGGAAGTAACTATATTTAAATAAAATTGCTATGAATATTTTTTATGTAGTGCATACCTACCTGAAGATCCTTTTACTAAAATACTTAAGTTTAGTTTATCAACTATAATAAAACTTATTATTACGTATTCCTGTATTACATTTTAGAAGTTACATAAATAGATAATTTGTTCATCGCGGAAGTAATTTACTTAGTACCAGACTAGACAGCCAAAATTATGTAAGTTAGACCTTACAAAGTGAACACAGGTAACCTTTGGCATGCTTTAGGAACTGGGAGAACTTAGGGTGTTAGACTTAATTTAGGGCAACCTTTAACAACTTATTATATTACACTTAACATTTGATCTTTTTTTAAACAAACCAGGACGTTTAATAATCTTTCGTTTACGTAGATTATTGTAGTTTATATTTTTCATAAAAACCTTTTGCCATACTTGGTCACTTAAAAAAATATTCCGACAATTGGTCGGAATACATGACATCGCTAAATATTTTTATTAAATAAAATTAGTGGCAAAACAATGAAGACAAAGTCATCAAACAAAAATAAATAATATATAAAAGTACCTATATAGTTTATTTTTAGTTTGTTGTATACCTACCCTCCGTTCCATTTCGTTTTGTATACCTACCTTCCGTTCTAACATTTGTGTCTCGTCTCTATCGCTTGCGCGAGAATACGGTAGGTACCCAAGTAGGTAACTCAAAAATCCAAAATAAACAAAATAGTTTGTGTTCTATAATATAATTTTTTTTTTCATTTTTTGTATACCCTCCGTTGCTCTCCGTTTTGTATACCTTCCGTTCTAACATTTGTGTCTCGATACGCGTGAGCATATGCTACTCAATCAAATATGTGTACTAGTGTAGTTTAGAGTAGTGAATAAAATAAAATATTTTTGACCCCTGGACCCTGGTACGTATTAGCAAACAATAAAGAACATCGACGCAACTAAATATAGGTACTTGAAAAACTCTTAGCCTCACGCTTCCATTTAAAAAATTTACTTATTAATTATCGAAATCTTGTAGATACAAAATTATACGAGAATCATGATCTCTTCGACATTCCGTTTCTTTTTATTGGTTGAATAATCATTTTCATAAAGTTAATGTACTATTGTTTACAAAATTCTAGTAACCGAAAAATATTGTTAGCTATACATCACTCAAGTTGAAAAAAAAACTACCTTTTCTTTATTCTAAAATTTATGACCATAAAATACTTAATTATTTTTATGGTCATAAATTTTAGAATAAAGAAAAAGAAGTTTTTTTCCAAAGCTCGTGGGATTGCCTTTATAACTAGTTAATAAAATAGGTTACGATTTTGTTACTTTTATCGGATTTATTTTATTTAAGAATTTTTTTTAATAGACGTTGTGTATTCTAACTGTGAAGTATTGTTGTAGATAATTAATATATTCAATAATAATATATAATATATATTTTTTCTATTTCTTTATTAACCATAATATAAATTCGGTTTTGTTTAACAAAATACATAAATAATTAACAATTATCTATTATTTAATAAATATATTATTAAATAAATGCTTTAACAAAACCGAATATATATTTTTGATAATAAACAAATAGAAAAATTATAAAACCGTATTAGATTATGACTTTCCTTTAAGAGCTACTGGCACCCCTAGATATTCTCTCTCTATCTCTAAGTTCTTGTAAAAGGAAGTTTAACCTATTTTAATGAAAATAATTGTATTACAGCCACTGATTATTCTATAATAAAAAAAAATGTATTACTAGTCTATTTATTTACTAGTTGATAAATCCCTGTGAAATGTTTTTATCTAAATTTTGTATAAAATTATGTAAATGTAAATACTATGTATTAAGAAATCTTTTGTACAGTATCCATACTTTAAAATACTTGTACAAGTATAAGCAGTACCTACAAAACCGTAGAAAATTTTCATCCCATATCAGCTATCATGGTTTCTGATTGTACTAAGTGCTTCTCGAAAATTTTTGAAATGTCATACATTCAAGCAAAAAGTATACTAGTTTGACGGTACTTTTTATCAAAATCTAAAAATATCGTGCTTGTGTACGAAGATCCTAGTACAATTACGATTGGCAACTCTTAAACTTTTTACTTCTCTATTTCCGACAATTTTACGTATATCGCAGTGAATGATAACGTGACACATGTACGAAATGAACGATAATTTGACACTTTTTTTTTGACATTTCTGACGTGACAGACAGCTCTACATTTATATAAACCCATCTGGCTAATCTTACAAATGCTTTTGTCGTATATGAAATGAGAAGTTGACTGACGCGTACTAATTATTTTACTTAGATTTTTCTTTGAAATGTCTTTTAGTTTTGTAACTATTTAAATAAATGTTTAAAAATATTTATTTCTTCGTGTACATACCTGAGAGGTAATAATATGACGGCCAATATCTTATATGTGTGCAATATTTCTTTATAGAATGGGACACCAGTAAGACAATTACTTTACATTCTACTCTTTGTTCCCTTTACTTCTTGATTGCAAACGTTCCTAACAATGGGCTTACTCATTTCGAAGATTTGGAGCTTGTTCGGCAATGAAGGTCAGTTGCATATTTTTACTTTATGATTATGTACGTAGTATATATACTTGACCCTTATTTGTTTTTACGATCATGAAAACATGTAATAATGGCAATAATGTAATGTATTTTAAAATATTTGTAGAGGTATGACTATATCTTACTCTGTCATGACTTTGCATTCAGATTCTGACCTAAATGTGTAAATGTATTCACAATCCCACTTCAATAAAAACTTGTTTGCTTTATAAATATGTTATCATGAAGGTCCCCTTCTGTTTCTTATGTACACACATTGTCAGGTTATCTTTTGTGTGTCTATATATTAATAATGTAATACATAACTTAGTGACAGAGCCTACTTAATATACTTAGAGTATATGTAGGACTATGAGAACAGATTGAACTTATATTATCTATCTACATTATATTTATATGTTGTATTGAATTCAGATTTTCTATAATAAATAATAATAACCCAGGACTATTCACACTGAGCCACATAAAGTAAAGCTTAACAACGCACAGAAATACTTGATACAATTTTTTGTAAATACATACTTAATATACACAGAAAACTACAATATGAATATAAATGTTTGTACTGTGGGAGGAAATAAAGATTGCAATAATAATTGTAAAACTGTATGTTCTCATTATGAATTAAGCCAACTCTAAATATGTAAGTTTCATATATAGAATCACATAAATATTAACTGTTTTGTACTAGATTATTCCGTTGTTACTTTAGCATTTTATAGTGACCCTCATATGTAGTAGAGTATATCACTTGAATATTCCGAGTGTGGTTATTTAAAATTTATGATATAACATAATATATAACTTTGCTTTGAATAAATAATTGAATTTTTAAGAAATCTTATTTTAGTAGATAACATTTGTGACTAAAATGAAACTAAATATTTGTTTTAATAAAATACCATATAAAGAATACTAGAATACACTCACCTACATCCATTTATGAACTTTATATTGTAGGATATAAACAGCTGAATACTTCTTTTGTTTATTTGTTATTCCAGCATTAATCAAAGTAACTGTTAAACATTTATATCTATTTTAATTCATATTGATCAATATATGGTAAGTATTAGGCTGTCTATCTTATCTATTTCTTATCACCAAATTCTTTAGTACAATACATTCAAATTCTGTTTCATATAGATATGTTAGGAGCAGGACATTTGTTTCTCATACATTAATGAATCTACATTCTTTTTACTCATGAATATTGCAATTTATTTCTTTTGCATTGTTTTAGTTGAAACTTACATCCTAGTCTTTGTCTATTGTGTATGGTTTTCTTTAATATATTTTCTTTAATCTGATTTCAGAACACAAACTCGTCCTGGTCGGCCTAGACAATGCTGGTAAAACAACGATTTTGTATCAATTGTTACTTGGTGAGGCTGTGCACACAAGACCTACAATTGGATCCAATGTGGAGGAGGTTGTTTGGAGAAATCTTCGATTTGTTATGTGGGATCTTGGTGGGCAACAAAGTTTACGATCAGCCTGGAATACATATTATACTAACAGTGAGGTAATTATTAAATTATTCTTACCATTTAGTATTTTATTCGGAGCCAATGTTATTTAAATTCTTACACTAAACATAGAGAACCTACTAAATACCATGTGAATTAATACGATATTGGGAATAATAGGAATATTGGGAAATCCTGTCATGGGTGCCAAACCCAAAACCCAACCCAAAGCATTTCCCAATATTCCTGCAAGTATATAAATAAAGTTCACCATATATTTTTTATTATATTACTATATATATGTGACTATGAAAAATTTATATTTTTAGAAATATAAAAGCTTAGCGAAACTTTGCTAAAAGTATAAATTTATAATTTAATTTTTGCATTATTAAATAAGTATATATTTGCATTTTTTCTCTATGTAGGCAAAATTTTTTTTTAAAATAATTTTTAGTGCTAGCGTTTGTATAAAATAACCTAATAAAATAGATAAAGTATACATAGTGTATACTTTATTCTTAAAATATGTTTCTTTGTGTAAATTATTATATGGCAAACAGGCTGCTGACCCAATTGATGTTACGTGGTAACTATCGCCAATATACATGAACAGCACTATGGACATTCCCAGTAAAACCACTTATGCATAACATTCCAGAGGACTGCTGATATTCCATGCCTCTTACCCTGTAATTTCACTGCCTTATGTTATTTCTAAACTCTGGCTAATTTAATTCGATTTTCAATACTTTTTATTCATTTGAACTTAACAATACTTTCAAATAACTGACAAACAGTCAACTGGCAAACAAGCTTTTAGGTTGATAACTATTGCCTATATACATGAACAGCACATGGACTTACATGTTATCTGAGTACTAAGATGTCATTCATGTCTCTATATGTGATTTCACTGCTTTATCTCACCCTTCAATCGGAAAATATCTTACAAATAAAGTTGCATGGCGACTAAAATGCGTGCGTAGACTTTAGTCCTATGTACAACCTTTTTACAATTTAAGGTCGATAAAAATATTAAGATTAATAAAAAAGTACATACTAGATGTGCCCGCGGTTTCACCCGCATGAAATTTATGGCCTATATGTTATTCTGATATATAAGCTATATTACTGTAAAGTTTCATCAAAATCCGTTCAATAGTTTTTGCATTAAAGAGTAACAAACATCCATCTATAATCACAAACTTTCGCGTTTATAAAATTAATAATAAGATTAATACATATGTGATTATTCAACACGATTGAGATTACTATGAAGTTCTTATAGCTTTAACGTTAAATAATTTGTACCATAGATTGTTTGCTGTTATATGCTCTAGAGAATCAAATAAAATCAAATATCATTTATTCCTGCAGGATTTATTACTTTTTGCGGCTTATGAACGTAAAATTATTTGTATTAATATTTATTCCCAACCGTCTCCGAATCTTCTTGTGGTGCCTGCTATTTTATCCGATTATGTATTTTATTAATAAATTAATATATTATAGTAGTATATTTTACACATTATATTTAACAATATTTTGTAAAAATTTCATCCTAATTCGTCCAGTTTTTCCATGAAACAGTAAGACATACAAATAATTTTCACCTCATCACGATTTTGTTATATTTTTGTTTACTTATTCAAAATTGAGCGGATAATTTTATATTCCAAATAGTTTTTATTATTTTCATATTCATCAGTCTATAATATAAATTTCCAGGCTTTTTGATTTGTTTATTTATATGGTTTGATCGCTATCATAATGTATGTATCAACATTTGTATAGAATATTAGAATTTTAACATTTAAAGTAATTTATCTGCAAAAAATATTGATACGAACATTAGCGAAAGCACCTATTGGCATTACATGACTATTGGCATTATATAGAACGTTTACGCGATTGTTTGATTTTTTTAAATATATTTATTTATATAGATAAACATATACATTTTATTTTTTTCTCTTCGCGCTTTGTAATCCATATTGTTAATAATCTAATTATTGTTTTGTTATATGTGTATTATATTAGAATAAGCAAAGCTCAAATTAAAAGTATAAACTAAGTTATTTATTAATTTAAACTGAATACTAATGAAATGCGGATGAATATACAACTACAATTACAATTAGAACATAAACTATTGTACTTAGCTTGTAGTTGATTAGTACTGAACGAATTTAATATACATATATGTTTTTTTCTGTATCATTGTAACTGTGTCCGTTGTAGAGACGGTGTAAGAATGCAATGTGTCAATAGTTTATCTCTAGGGTCTTGATAGAGGTGACTAGAGTACCCGTATATGATTCTTAACGGCCAGCTTGGTAGTAGGATAAATCGTAGTAATAGCATTTTTTTTAATGGATGTTAATGGATTTGTGCTCGCGTGTGCTAACGGTATACGCTGGCGGGGCATCAGTGGAGGATGATAGGATGAACAATCGGTCAGGGCAGATAACCATTGTTATACATTTACCAGGAATTTATCACTACGGTTTCCAGTGGAAACCCGTGTGGAGGTCAAACTGACATGGTTCTTTGATAGTAATGGGGTCATCAGTCCACATTACTAACAAATCCCTTCCCCCAGTAATAGGATTTAGCTTGCTTATCATGCTGCTTAGTAATAGGTTGTCCATTAGGGTTGGCACTTTTTTATGTAAATAAAGTACAGCAGTTTTTGACTATTATTATATTCATGCTTCATGGTGTTCTTAATTAATTATTTAGTATTGAAGGGTGATAATATGTCAGTGAAATTACTAACGACTAAGATACTACTAAGTCTTATACTTATAGTTGTTTATTGATACTTTTCATGTGATCCTGTCATTTCAGTTGTTTACTTAATCATATTTTACTATTTTTACAGTTCGTGATAATGGTGATTGACTCGACCGACCGTCAAAGACTAACAATAAGTAGAGACGAACTTCACTGTATGTTAACGCACGAAGAACTCAGTAAAGCCTGCCTCCTTGTTTTTGCTAACAAACAGGTGAATATACTAATATTACTCGTCCGATCGATCCCCCGTCCAATTTAAACTGGGATCTAAATTACGACGTCCTGAGCCGAGGTTCGAACCTCTAGCGGTGCCCTCAAACTAAAGTCGTATTCGTTAGTCTGGAGTTGGCCTTCAGCCGCTCCATAAGTCCTTCCTTTGGTTTGGAGTTCCATCTACACTTGTCCCCTATCCTCCGATGTACCTGTATAGGCTAGCTGCGGCGAACAGCATTAGAGTAGTCTGAAAAAAATACTATGGTAGATTAGTCCCGCACACTATACTTACGATAACGAAACTACTACATTTCAACATAAGTAAGTCTTATAAGATTAAAATTTGCTAAACTCTGGATTTGTAGAAGATCAATCTGTCTACTATGGAAAATGTTTCTGATGCAATGTGATTGGATTGCGTTGTTTCGCAACTTTTTATGATTTTAAATTATACACTAACAACGTATTTCCTTATTGCTTAATAAAAGAACTAGCTGACATTGTTATCGATTTATTCAGTTTAATATTGATCACGTTTCAAAAGAAGGTACAAATGAATTGTATTGATACCGATATTGAGTTTAGAACTGGCTATATATGAACTTTACAGCTGTAATTTTATTTAATCAATTGAATTTTAGTTTTCGAACACTATTAGTAATAATAATTGAAATTCTTATTCTTGTAGTTATGGTATAATATATTTGTATATATTTGCTTACGCGATAAAATAATTGTTATAGATAAAATGCCGCCTAATAGAAAGAAAAATAGTAGAGATCTTACACGTAGCGTACTCTAACACCAAAATAAATAAAGGTAGTAAACATATTAATGGGTAATAGGCATATTTAAATACAGTTTTTTATTATACATATAAAAACAGCAAACCAATACAAATATAAACATATTCATGAACGCAAATGTATACAATGCGCAGGGTTCGAATACACGATCATCGGAAATTAAGTTAATGTGCTAAACCGCTAGACCGTCGAGGTCAAGGTAACGTCAACAATACAAATGTTGTTACAAGTGTACTGTAAAAATGCACAAGTATCTTGAAAAGAGAACAATCGTGTGAACAAGAGTAGAGCAATCATTTGTATCTGTTATTAAGTATAATAATTACAGTGGCGTCACTAGTGCATTTATGACACGTGCCGGATGTAATTTTTTTTGTATATGATAATGAAATGGTCACCTGCCTACGCTTACGGTTTACGCTGGCGGGGCACCAGTGGAGGATGATAAAATGAGCATGAGGTCAGGTCAGTTAGCCTCGTGATAAATTCACCTGGAATTAAACACTATGGTTTCCAGGGGGAACCGCATCGAGGTCAAGCTGACATGGTTGCTAGCAAGGGAGTCGAGAGTCCACATTACTAATAATCCCCCCTTGCCGGTTGTAAATTAGGTTTGGTACTTGAATATTCGGTGGTATGATAGTTGACTTCATAAAGATATAACGTGAAGGGTAATAATTTAAATTCAATAAAGTACCGAAGTTTCAATTTTATCTCATCTTTTATATCTTCAAGGTTGCAATTGTTAGGGCTATTGTATAGATATGATCACTTTTTACTAAGGATATTAGAATTCTATACGACATGTGGCTATGGTACCATTCCATATAATCCATATATATGGTATAATTCCATATAATAAGAATAATTTGATTTGGTGATTTTATATGTATTATATATCAAGACGGCCTCGATGGTCCAGCGGCCGGCATACCGCTTTACTTCCGATGGTCGCGGATTTCTTCGCATTGCACAAACATTTGTATTCATGAGTATGATTGTTTGTATCGGTCTGGATGTTTTCTATGTATATTATATATGTTTACAAAGAAAATCTATGTATTAATATCAGTTGTCTAGTACCCATAATAAACTCTGCTTAGCTTGGGAAACTGGTGCTGTGTGATATGTCCAGGCTTATTATTATATACATACTCGATATGATTAGCCGGAATAAACAGACCGATAGACAAACAGACAAAAATTGTACAAAATGTTATTTTAGTGTATGTACTGTATTTACATTCATATGCTAGTAGTTAAAAAAACATAAATACCAAAGAGTTATAGTATTAATAGATAAATATATAATTGTTTTCAGGATGTAAAAGGCTCGATGACAGCTGCTGAAATATCGGAACAATTGGATCTAACTTCAATCAAACAGCACCCGTGGCACATACAGGCGTGCTGTGCTCTAACCGGTGAAGGGTAGGTGGTTCATACATATTGTAGACTAGCTGACCCCGCAAATTCCTACCGCCTTTTAATTGAAAGCATTTAATAAATGTCGTGTTTCGAGATTTTAATACTGATGACTGATTGTCTGACCTATGTGCAATTATCAAAACCAATCAATTTGGCACTGACAACTTTGTTCTCGATATTTAAGTTTTTTTTATTTCAAAATATCGTCCTGAGAATATTATCGATATTTTCACGATTCTTCTATTTCGCGGGGCGCAAACGAATCTAAAAATATATAATTGAAATCGGTCCAGCCGTTCTCGAGTTATAAATGGCGTAATTAAACAGACTGTTTTATTTATATGGAGAATGGAGTATGGATTAATGGATGGATATTTTATATATCTACACAGACTGTGTTACGGAAGGACTGTATTAAGGCTGGTTTAAAATGAGACACGTTCCTAGGTGAGGTAAAATAAGTGTAATCAGCTCGCTAGCAAAAATATAACGGTAATGAATATGGCATAAGAAAACAAACAGTATACAAAAACAGACTGTCAAAATATAAAATTCAAATATATATAAAAAACATAAAAACTATCAAAAAGGTTGCCATCGGCAACATCCTCCCCAATTTAGCTGACGGGCAACCGCACCAGCTTCTTGGGAGCTCAACGGCAATTGTCTGCCAGTGGTTTGATATCGAAGAGACATACACCGCCATCGTTGCCAGGGTGGACCGCCGATCTCTCACAGTATTCATGAAGGCTGTGCAGTTATCCCAGATAAATTTGTAGTAGTGTCCCTCTTGTTGTAACGACTCAATATTGCAACATCTATTTTAATACCTCGAGGTGTTGGCAGGCTATAGTAGCTTGTTGCTGCTAGCTCTTCAGTGCATGAAGATACCTAGTTCTGGCTTATGGTTCTGAGAAACAGCCCCCTGTATCTCTTCAGTTGTTGAAGAAGGTAAATGTGTGAGGTTTCTAGAAGTTGCCGACCTCGCAGTTTGGCTACGGCTGCCCATCAGTTGTGCCGAATTTAATAAACTAGAAACCGCTCGCGTGTCTGCGGAAGAGGTAGACATTTTAATACCTATTCCTGTCGGGTCTAATTTAAAATGATTTTTATTTAATTTATCTATTGCTAAAGTTGTCACATAATTCACATTAACTTTTGAATCCGTCCCTGGTACATTATTTGACGAATGTGAAAAACCAAAAATGACTCAACCCAATTTAGTTAAGTATGCCACGGGTTCAGAGGGACCATTCTCTCGAACTTGTGAAGGAAGGGATAAAAACCAATTATCAATACCTATAATAAGAGCTGGTTTGTACATTTTCGTAAGAAATAATATTTTTCGCACGTAACGTCTGTCGTGACACCCAACCTGGCAATGAAACGCACTGAGGATTTTGCCGATGGCAACCTTTTGATAGTTTTTTTGTTTATATATATATTTGAATTTTATATTTTGACGTTCTGTTTTGTATACCGTTTGTTTTCTTATGCCATATTAATTGCCTTTATATTTTTGATAGCGAGCTGATTACACTTATTTTACCTCACCTAGGAACGTGTCTCATTTTAAACCAGCCTTAATACAGTCCTTCCGTAACAGACTGGTTCAAAATAAACTTAATATCTTACTACTTACTTAAAAATAATCTTAAGGAGGAGAGACATACGTAGTTCCATGTCACCATTCAAGGGTAAGATGTAGCAGTAAAATACAAAGGGTATGGTAGAATGACAGTTTAGATCTTCGCAATGGTAATGCGTTATAGGTACCACTCACGGTGGACACATGGCAATGTAATTTTCAAGGTGTTGCTTATGTACATAAGTAATATAGCTACGGCGTACAATTTCTCTTTAATCACTTATATACTATTAATATTTATCCAGAATTACAGACATAAGAATAAGGCTGCATATATTATTTTAATTTGAATATTTTATCTAAGTTCATAGAGGGAGCAATCTTAGTATATATTTATTATAAATTAGTTAAAAAAATAAACAACAGAATTCACACATGTCAATTTTAAATACAATTCATGTGTTTATTATAGCACTAAAAATATAATAGCCAAAAATAAGCAAAAGGTACCATGCTCATTGCACAAACTAAAAAGTATATTTTTTTATAATTACAACAGCTTCAATGTAGAGCTCCAACTACTACTGGAGCTATCAGTACCATTTATCTTTCAATAGAGCGTAGAAATTAATTATCTTCTGGCTACCTATCTACACGCCATGCCATGTTACGGAACCTGCAGGGAGATATTACAGTGGCAGGATCATTTATATAATAGAGCATACTAATATAATTAACAGATTGCATTTGGGTTTGGAGTGGATTGCCAGCAGAATAAAGAAGAAATGACATGATGCCGACGTGTGAGAGTACAATTAGAAGACATTGTTGATGTTACTCTATTTTGGCGACGAAGTATATTTTTAATAAATAATAATATTTACTTTATAATTTGTAAATGCAATTTAAATTCAGTATAATAGTTTTAATATACATTAAGATGTGAAAAATTATAAGAGTTTACGATGTTTTTAGATGAATGGGATTTAATAAAACATGTTCTTACAATTTTAAATTTGTTTATTTCAACTACTTAATTTTCGAACAAAATGTTAATATCAATTGATGACTATTATATTATAATATGACAAGTACAACCTACATTCGTACATAAAAACATATAAAAGATTTAGTACACCATGCAAGTTGAGCGAATTACACGCAGACTACGATACGTTTCTATTTCATTATCAGATCACTCCACAAAATTCCAGCTGACCACTTAAAATACATTACAATAATTAAAAAAATACAACGACATGATACTGTATTTCGGAATAATTATTTGGTATACATATAAAAGACAGCATTCTAAAATCTCACTGGTAGGCATACTTATAAAATTACTAATTAACTATAGTGTTAACAAAATGATTTTGGAAATAAATACTGTAGTTAATATAAAAATGTACACTTCTTATAAAAAAGGAGAGGATATTAGGTCTAATTTCATTGTAATCGTTTATTTGTTTGTTACCGGTGTTGTTAGAAGAATACCGGAATGGAAATAACAATTTAAAATGCAACGCACACAACACAAGTAGTATTACGTGTAGTTATAAAATGTAGAAAACTTTCACAAAGTCCTAAAAATCAGTACTAGCAATATAAAAGCTATTGTACCATACTTATTTCTATAGTATGTATATATGAAGAGACGATACGTATATTACTCTTCTCAAAGAAAATGTGTTGCATTTTAAATTGCTCGCATTCTCATCTGTTACGAACAATGAACAATGACTGATTCGTTCATTTTAAAAATTGATTTAGGCCTGTATCATATATATACGAGTAAAATGGACGTAGTTTTATTTATGAGCGTAGAGATAAATTTTCTTATTATATATATTTCAGTCGTGACTTATATATGTATATTCATATAATGAAGAATTTTCTCCTTGTTTATACAATAAATAGCTTGTCTGTCTCTAACAATATAATGCCCAAAGGAGAAATGGACAATTTATAAACGAATATACAATCTATAACAAAGTTAGTAAGCTGTACTTTCCCCCAAGTGATATACAATGCTTTTTACTACAACTACGAGGAAAATGATAGGATAATTGGCTATAATAGTTTATAACTGCAATTTGGATTTAAAATCATACAGGCTATTAAATACTATACCATTATATTTTAATTATAGTATACACAAAAACTGTTTTAATTATAATTTAGAATATGTTAGGAAATTTAAAAATATGAGTCTAAGCACATTTTCTTGTCTCTTCATATAAATTCCATTTAGATTTAGATTATAGTTATATCCTCAATTGAAATTCTAACTTCGCTTTCCGTGTAGGTGTAGTAGAAACAACTTTGATTAATCTAACATTAAATAATCATCCTCAAAAGTTAATAATGTATACATTGATTATATAAACACAGATAAAATGTATAATCATCACACAACATCAGTATTAGAGATATAATTTGAAGACCATTGAATCATTTATCATTGAGACTGTAAAATTAGTAAAATATGTAAATAGCATACATTAGATAGATATACGGTGCTTAATGTAGGAAAATTATAAATTGTATGTACACATAATAAATAGATTTTATATATTGATATAATCTGATATCGTAATAAATGTGCCTATTTTATTATTAATTTACACTCTGAGAATAAAATATAACTTACATATACCGATCAATAATAATTTCATTTATGTTAAATAAATATTTAGCTATCATACTATAATAGACACAACCAAAATATCTTTACATTTTAAAAACAATAAAATTTCTTGCATTTAAAGTTATTTCAACTATAATTAGAATTAATAATTTTGCCGTTATGTAGACAAAATATAGTAGACATGCAGAACATTTAAAGTAACCTTAAAAATAAAATAGATTATAACTGGTCGTTGCTAACATCATAGCAGCCATACATTGTTCACTAAACTTTGGCCTCCCTTTTACACATAAGAGCTTGTACTGAGCTGCAAGCAACACATTTGAGATCATCGCTCCATTTACTTGGGGAAGCCATGTATGCATTTCACTACTGGGTCACCACAGTTTACCCTACGGTTTTCAAATAATGTGGCTTGTCCATAGCCGCATACATATATTTTACTGAATTAATTCCTAATGACTATAAATAACTACGAATATAATTACGCTCAATAATTTCAGACACATAATACATCCAAAGGTGCATATAACAAAGAGAATTCCATATAAAAGTTCTCATATTTGAGAATCAGAAATTTATATTTACCAATTAATATCTAAAAAGCGCTTACTAAATGCAATGCAACGAGACCGAGCGCCGATTACTATTTTTTGACTAAATGTATATAAAAAATGCGGTATTTTAAGAGAAAATTTTAGAGTATTTTAGAATCGGTACCATTATACTTGAGAATATAATTTATTTTTCCATCTCCAAAATTAATGAATTTTAACAACTCCTATTGTAAATTGTACATTAAAATGCAAATACTGTATTTAATAAATGTGTCATGCAGGCTATTATCACAGTACACTAAACATAACATAGTAAAATCACAATTCATATTAATATAATAAACACACTTAAAAAACAAACGTGGCGGGATGTTTTAGTATTACGTAACAAAATGAAATATTTATTTTACACTAAATAATCATTCACAAATAAATAACCTATAGTATAAACACATAATTACGAGTATATCACTAATAAAATTACGAGATTATTTAAAAATAATCTAAAGTATTCATAAAAATAATCTTTGAATACAGAAAAGATTGGTGACATTTTAACAATATTATTATGAAATCAATTCTATAGAACTAAATTATTTATAAAATATTACCTCTAGAAAGAAATTATCTTGCAGGAAATTATGGTCACGGTAATTCAAGGAACCAAGATTTGGCTAAATTCTGAAAATGTTGTTGCCATTTCTTCATTTGTACATAAACAGATTTGTCCATAAACACAAAATGGAATTGAATATAATATAGTATTAATATACTTATTTAAAAAATTAGATTCGTTAGGTATGATATAGCATTTGGTCCTGAGGTAGTTGCATGACTTCACACGATGTACTCATGAATTCGGAGTTCGCAAATGAATTATTTATCAGCTCATTAAAATATTATTATATAACATTCGAAATTACAAACTGCCTGATGCAATGATACGATAAAGTTGCACCAATAATCTGTTACGATATACCACTAATATACATTGTTATAATATAAGGTCAAAAATGTCGCACCTTTAATAATTAATTCAAATTGGATACACTTGCACGTCATATGTCTCGCCAAAGCACATTTAGGCGAGTATGATCGCATTTTACTTATTTTATAAAATTACAAACATATCCACTTATCACTAACAGTCTTTAAAAACGAATTTTAAACGTTTTCACCTCCATAGGGTCTATTTCAATCTCCTGCAATCCCGAAAGAGCTTTCTTTGTCTTTAGGCCAGTTAGGCTAACGGCTGTCAAGTTATGAATTTTTAGACCACTGAATATAGTTTTCGATGTGAACACAGCAGACCTTTTCATTGTGGTATCTCCAATAGAGCAGCTGACCCCAGATCTTTGGAGCACCATATAGCAAGCAGGACTTGGGAATTGCTCTAGAATATCATCGGTGATGGTACGTAGTGTCATCAAGTGAACACCGGAAGGGAAATTTTGCACGAAAGTTTGATGTGATTTCACCTCAATCTCTCCAACTTCGCTGGTATCAACTAGGTAAATGTTCACTGGGTAGTTCAGTGACTTACTCATATAGTCGGCCATCTGTGAAGGTAATTCGTACGACGCATCCTTTTCATTAGGACTGAAGTGTCTCTGATTAACGTGTTTGAATATTTTTTCACTCGTATGCCTCTTAGCCCTCGGTTTCGTCATGGGTTCCAATAAAAGCCAATTGTGGAATACCGTCGGTTTATTATCGACCACTCCCTCGCCGATGCCTCTAAAGTCATCGTACAGGGTCCTTCGATCTAGCATTACTTCCAATCGTCCAGGTTCGAAAGCAGCAGCTCCTTGTGCGTGGTTCGTCAGCAACGTTAAACGTGTCTCTTCGTCTTGCAGCCACGCCATAGTTGTTATAGGGTAGTAATTAGCCTCTATGCCTAATTTATCCACCTTTACTCTCTTTTGATACTGGAAACCGTTCTGATCGGTGTAGAACTCAGGTATATCACCATTTTGGATATCAGTCTGTATTCTCATGAACAACTCCGTTTCCCTATTTTTAGGAGGATTTTCGAAGTCGACTATGTTTTCTATGAAAACACCGCGCGAGAGCACTGGATCATCTACATTATACATCCTTACTGTATGCACCAGGAAAGGCAAATACATTGTTGTGATTTCTGTTGATATTGGTCCAGATACTATAATTATATTATCATCTTGCAATCCATTCCCGTTAGTGTAAGGATGCAATACATTTTTCTCTGGTGAATCATAATCAGGCATGAATAAATATGCACCGGAATGCCTCTGAGCGCTCTGATAAGCACCGAACTGCATTTCAACCACATTCTTCTTTCTTATGTCTTTTCTAAATATCTGTCTCAAGAAACCAGTGTTCCTATTTATCAACAAAGTGAGTACCGAATTTTCCAATTGTATATCTCCTGGCATCATTTTCTTGGTAACGAACAAAGGCTTTTCGGAATCAGACTTTATCTCATTACATCCATTACAAAATACTTCACAACGGTGTGAGATATTGGTGTGTTCCTCCAGATTGAATGTCACCGAACTCAAAGGTGGCAAAGTAGCAACAAAAAGGACGTCGAAACTAGTATCACTTATGGCTCGTTTGCCATCTTCACGAATGTCTATGTTGGGAGTAATTTGATATTGTATGTATTCTCTTTTGCGGGTATCATATACTCTCACATTTGTTGTATTAGACCTGACAGTAATAATTTCAGTTCTTGATACAGCCAGCGGATTGAATAGTATAACCTTCCTTTTATCCACGAAGGACACTTGTAACTTCTTAGCCGGCTTTCCATACGTTTCCCATTCGACTTCACTCTGGATAATGCTCTGTGTATGTAGAGATTCGTCTGGAATCATAATTGCTGTAAGAGCTGCCTCTTGCAATCGAAGGCAATGATTTATGCTTGCAAACAATTTAGTTCCATAATCATACATAACGTTCGCTTTTGAGGTACCAGTTATTGCATCATGATGTTGAAACAGGCCTAAGTTTCTTCGAGCAACGATAAGTTGCTCGTAAGATTTCTCTAATCTCTTCTCTGAAGCAACGAGCTTGCGTTTACTAGATTGTTTTATAAAATTGGAAACGAGCGAAAACAAAATTTCTGACGTTCGCAGTTGATGTTCGAATTCACGTGCGAGGATTTTAAGATAAGGCCGTGTGGTATAATATCCCGACCAATAGGCTGGCTTTCCCTCACTGAATATGTCAGAGTATACAAAGAAATCGCCTTTTAAACTTGGAATATTCCTGTGTCTTTCTCTCATTTCCTTGAAGTAGTCTAGGGGCGTACCAAATTGGACGTCAGCATTGAATAGCTCTTTATGATTGTTTATGTAATTAAACATTTTCATATAATTAGTATATTGAGCATCAAATTCAACGCCATATTCATATCGGAAATCATCGCCCAGGGGCACAAGCACCACATTATGAGGAGTGAGGGATCCGATTCGATCATACTCTTCTATCAAAGTCTTCGATTTAGAATGAAGATTATGGTCGTTAATGTCTTCCTGTTTGGAAGTGTATTCGGAGTATTCACCGGGTATTTTCCTAAAATCAAAACTGAGACATACAGAGGGATGGGGGCCGCAGGTGCTTTTAATGGAATATATGTCAAACGGGAGATTATGCACGACCATGGAGGGTTTCTTAGTAGACCATCCCGGGATCCAGTAAAACTCTTCAATTTGCCGCTCCGCTAGCCATTGTTTCCAAGCGTAATGAATCCTTTGAATGATGGTCCCCTCAAGGCCACTCTGGTCCAGTAAGTAAGGCACTGTAGGTCCATGACCGAATGGGTCAATAGACCAGCCAGTTTTCGGTTCAATCCCTAAGTTAGTTTTAACCCAGTGATGACCTGAAAATGAGCACATTTATAATTTTATAGTAATTCGTTGTTTGGTTCTACCTGAGATACTGAAAAAATATTAGCTTTGTGTAACTCCACTTTTTGTTACCTTCTATAAATTGATCGACCAACGCGTAGATATGGGTACAAGCTTCATCTGGCATAACCCATCCGCCACTTGTAATTTCAAGTCGGCCTTCTTTTATAAGTTTTTTCAGAGCCTGCAAACAATATAAATAAATACCCGCTTAACACTTTTGAAATCATTATGTGTAATATAGTGATTAGTATAGGACGGGAGGTACGAGTGATGCATAGACAAGCGTGTCTATTAGTAGAGTCCGCTAACAGTTAGTGTGTGTCAGTCCATCAATCCTATTTTTTTAATTGAATGCTGTCACTTTGCAGCTGTTAGAATCTTTAATTGTATTAATATTTTCATCATAACACGTTTTAATAAAAAAAAGGAAATAATCTAGTAAATTTATCATGAATATTATCTCCACTATACAAATATTTTACATCGTAAAATCTGCAACATCGTATATTATAAAAACAAAATTGTCACCTTTTGCTTCACGGGGTGCGACCTCTCCCACCAAGCATTAAGAAATGAGATCTCGGTCCAAATAAATGTCATATTTGGGTACTGATTGAGCTTTTGTATGATGTTGTTGATAATGTTCTTCGTCTTCCATTCAAAGTACTGTTCGAAAGTTTTCAGCCATCCTGGATCATTGTGAGAGTGAGGGACGACGATTACCTACAATATGTTAATTAAATTAAGTAAATGAACGGGATTTAATAGGTCGGGCAGCTATCCATAGGTGTCAAATAAATATAACAGATAAAAGATATCAAATTAAAATTACGACGCATCCGAAATTCTTCACAGAATTAAAAATACATTAAATGTAGGTACCTAATTTTGAATTCTAATTATGCAAAACTTATTTGATATTGGTAAAATGCAAAACTTTTAAAAAGGACGCCTAATATTCAGTGTCCTGAATTATAAGCGTAACAGAATACACCGTCAAAGTAATAAACTCATATACTAGCAGGTGTGCCCTTTTTGAGATACGAGTTATTAGCATGACAAAGGCTGCCTATGTATTGTATAATAACATTATAGACACTCGACACAGAACGGGAAGAGCAAGTAGGGTTCATGCATGAGATTACCTAAGTGCCAATTATAGGAAAATCGTGATGGTCGTGGCTCAAATATTTGTATCGGTTTTAAAGAATTCAGATAGATTTTGGGAACAACATGATTCGTAATCCGCCACGTTTGAATCGAAAATGCTCCGTGAAATGTGAACAATTTGGTATTACGTTCATTACAACGGTATTACCATAGACCTAAATTGAGGTAGGCGACACAATTAATTGAACTTTGTGAAAACTTTTCAACAGCAATATGTTCAACTGTCAAAAAGGATTCTGAATTTGACAGTATATTTTTGCGTGGATATTACGCGATGTATTCGTCAAAATGAATTCGGTGTTCCCTTTGCAATCCAGAGAGTTCATTTCTGCGTTGAAGTTCAGATTGATAGTCAGTTCTTTTGTCTGTTGGATAAAATGGACGGATCAATCTTTTTCATTTATAACTACTGCATGCCACTGCAGGCAATTTCCGCGTCAAATACAGCCCATGTTAGCCCATACACAGAGGCATATTTCTATAGGAGAATTCGAGTTTTTTTATTTTATTTATCAGATAGTGTTTTAGAATATACTTTTCAAATAAAATCGAATTATTTTCTCTATAGCTATTATCATAAAAGCGATTTCTTTGAACTTTACGTGAAATTAATTGTCTTCCGCGGGTACCCTTGTAATTGGCTTGTACATCAGCCAAATTACTTCTGCTCTCTAGTTGTTATAAATATAATTAACAAGCAATAATAAGCTGTAGATTTAACTTAATAAATAAATAAAATACAAGGCCCTTATTTAATCCTGTATAATTTTCCATAATATTCTTTATACGTAATTTCATGTAGAATCTTGGAATAAAAATTTCACAGTAATAGGCGCTTTTGCGCTTAGGTTAGGTTGCAGGAGTAATATAATGTAACGTTAAAACACTGCATAATGCATAATCTTTTTTAAAGAAGCAAACGGCGAGTCATTCTTTCATTTTTAAAATGCGACTATGCAGTCCTCGTTAATAATTAATAGTAAAAGATGACTCGCAGAATAAAATATAGTATAACACACTAGTGAGACTTAAGAAAAACATGAAATAAAACCTCTTCGATAGCGTGGTATTAGTAGTAATACCGTCCTATTATGGGAAAAACCCAATGTTTTGCATGTAGTTTAGCCTCAAGACAATGTAATGGAAAATTCAACCATGATTACCATGGCGTCCCAAGTACATTCACAAAGAATTTCGGGTCGTGTCCTGTGAAAAAACCGCAGACGCGTTTGGGATCAAAAGAGCTACAAAGCGAAATGGAAGTGTTATTAGTCGCCGGCGGTACAATGTAAACAAACGACGAATTTGTGTTCATTACATCTGAGAAAGCAAATGTTTTAAAGTTTATTATGTCGATTACAATGCAGACATTTTGTTACGCTAAATTAAGTGATTTAGTTGATTTGATGGAAACAAAAAACAAATCGAAAACGCATAATTTATATCATTTTTATATTATCTTTTTTTAGTAGTAATAATAGTTATGTATCTTTAGCACTGTTATGTCAGATGATGTAGTGAGAGGTATAGGCATCACCTGTCGACATCGTGGTGAATGCCTGTCATAACATGTCCAGATTTCGCTGGGTGTACCACGTTTAAATTCGGATAGAACTGGGAACGAGACTATCGTCGTCGTTGTGTTTTAATTCCGACTAGATTTCAATTCACATTTCTTTTTATATTTAACTCGACTTACTAAACTATTAGAACACTACGTCCTCGATGTTACTGTTATTGTTATAATTGATTACTTTACATATGAGCATACTACCTATGCTATTATCGTATATCACTGTTACATTTTATGTCCTATGATGTTTCAAACATACAATTTAAATGTTGAATAATTTAAAGCCGCAGTAATGTTAAAGTTTTCATGAGTTTTGAGTGCTCGCTGAAAATCAGTCCCGTATGCAGATGCACTCACCGCCGGTGTGTTTTATATCAGCACCAGCTGATGCAACTCGAGTAGCCAACATTGTATATGCATTGTATTTTGTTTATTGTATTTCAAATTGTTCATATCTGTTCGTAAATTCTATTATATATTTAATTTACAGAACCGCTATTTTAGACAATTTTAAATTATTTAACTTATATCGAAACAATCTGTACTAATTTATATTTTTTTAGATAAAAATTTAAATAGGTAGATAATATTTATCTTTACAGTACATTTAATTTTAGATGTAATATAAATATATAAGTGTGTAACTGATTAAGAAGCCAACACGGAACTAATATGCTCACTAGTCACTACCTTATCTCTTAAATACATAAAGAGAAGAAGAAAATGTTGAAAATAGCGGTTTAAATACCTAACTTTTAGACCACATATGTTATGGGTTTTCTAACTGTTCCACTCTAAAATACTATTGGTCAATATAAATTTATACACATTAATGGGAGTATCTATATAAATTGACACACAGTTTCCTTTACTGAATTTGTGGTAACGGAAACACAGATCAAAAAACAAATTGAGGGAGACGAGTCGGCAGACAGCGCTAGACTCGCCACCTGACATGTTATTTCAAATATTTTCGGCAAAACTCGGGCATGTCAAATATTACGTTCGTAACAATTTTGATAGTTGCCAATGGAATCAAACTTGATTATATGAACGCGCATCTCTCAACTAATCGGGCTGATTTCTCAATTAAAGCATAGAAATCTTTTATTATATTGTAGTATCACCATTCACCTGATGGTAAGAGGCAATCATTATAGGACATCAGGTTATTATGTTATCCATTCGGTGACACCCCGGCGTTTCTATTGTGGAGGATTAAGAACTCATGCCTCTATAATCTGTAATTTTACAGCCATAAGGCAGTCATTTCACCCTTAAAAGGAAATACACCTTACAAAGGACACTTACTTACTTGGCAGCTGAAAAGGGTGTGACAAAAGTACAAAGACTTTATACAAAGTCTACCTTTAAACAAGGTAAAAATCCATTAGATGCCCTTTTCACTTCATTATAGCGTCATTAAAATATACTATACTAGTAGCAATATTAGGTAGTGGTTGGCAGTTGGTAACACTATGACCTAGTGCTACAATAGTTCTTAACTTATTTTACCTTCAATCGCGGCCGACGATTATCATTCCGGATCTTCTCGTAGCGCTCTTCGAATGACTGCTCCCAGAATTCTTTTGTTCTCAACCAACTGGGCTGTAAATATATATGTATATTTTTATATCATGATCGTATTGTTCATAGACAGATCTACTTTGTCAAAATAACAATTTATGGCTTAGATATACATACATACATATGTGGAAAATGTATGAATTTATGTTTACTTATAATAATACTGTAAAACGTAACAAGACGAAAAACTTCGTTTCTGTGTTAAGATTTCGCAGGAAACGATAATAATAATAAAATGGGACAATCCACATAGCGCCATCTAACTCAAAAATTCATTTTTTTTTAAATCATCCACAATATATACATATACAACACCCAGACCAATGCAAAGAATCACACTCACAAATGTTTGCAATTGCACAATCTTGCGAGAAATCGAACCTAAAAGCATCCGACGTAAAGCGTATTGCTAAACCGCTAGACCAACGAAGTCGTTGAAATGTTATAAAATACCTATACAATAGTGAAATTATTAACTTAGTGAATATTTCAATAAGCTGGCCAAGTATTAAGAAAATCTTAATTAATATTATAAATATGAAAGTTTGTAATTATGTACAATTGTTACTATTTCACGCAAAAACTACTAAACGGATTTTGAAGAAACTGTACACCTTATGTACTGCTTATGCACCAGAATAACACATAGCCTATTTTTTACACATCTAGTAATATATAATATATAATTGTACACATATTTTATTTTTAGTCATTGGTTATCACAGAACACGGGCACTGCTAGTCAGTAAAACTCCTGAAACGAAATCCTACAGTTTACACATAATTCGAAACTATATCTGACAATCATACACATACATATGTAAGTTTATACTATACTACAAAGGACAACAATGGGAAAGCTTTTCAGTCAGTCCCACACATTGCGAAGTTATAACGGTTGCACAGTAACTTGATAGCTCAGATTTTCGTATTGTTCATGTTTGTGGTACCATAGCCTTTACTATATTCTATATACATATATCCTTAATACTATAACTTCATATGGGGTTTTTTGCCATAATTTGAAACAGTGTACATAAAATTAGCTACCCCTTTTTACATTCATGAAACATTTATGTAAATAAATAGATGAGATAATCTTTTATGTACATACTTCATAATAAATACAGTATAGTTATTCTTATTTTATTATATACGAGCTACCCGCCACAGCTTGGCACGGATGTACACGTATCATTATCATTATTATTATTACTTGTATAATATAAAGTCGCTGTCGCTGTCTGTTCCTACGAATGCTTAAATCTTTAAAACTAGACAACGGCCTTTGAAGCGGTTTTAATATAATAGATAGAGTGATTTTAGAGGAAGTTTTATATATATAATACATGTACACCCGTGCGAAGCCGGAGCGAGTAGCTGGATATACGTATAAATATTCCTCTATACATATAATTCCTCTTGAATTACTCTATCTATTGCTAAACACTGCATTAAAATCCGTTGCGTAGTTTAAAAGATCTAAGTAAAAGGAGCGGAATTAACTTCATTTTATACGTAGTATATATAAATGTAATAATGAATAGAAAGTTGTGTTTTACTATAATGTAAATAAAAATTGAGAATACATCTTGAAATGAAATGAATTAATAATTAATAACAAAGCACGGGCAGAATAGTTTTGCAAACTTACTAAAGGAACAGAATGTAACTTTTCAGACTTATTTATTAAAAACCCACTCTCTTAAGGAGAACTTTGACTGCTTGAAATGCTTCATTCCTTTTCAAAGACATTGAAATAGTGCAGTTCCTTTGAAATATTCATATTTATATTTTATTAAATTAGTAAATGCATAAATTCATTGGAAATGGAAAGCTGAAAAAATGAATCATTACTATGTATTAATTAAAACGTCCGTATTTTTAAGTTACCCTTTTATTACTCAACTAGCTTCCCGCCCGCGGCGTCGCTCGCGTGGACTATAGGTTATCACGCGTTTAAAGATACGTGCTCAGTAGTGGGATGTTATATAGCTACTTTTTAACCAGAAATTGAAGCCGTATTCGTATATCGGTATTATTGATATATGAGCTAGTTGCCTAGCTGCCGGACCGATGATAATTGTTGCTACAATTGAATTGTCCTTCAATGCCTTAATAAGCAGCCTCGTCCCATGTTCGGTGGGCTTAAATTTTTCAAAAGCATGATCGGAATTCCGATTTTTAAAGTCAATTGGTGTGGTGGCAGTCCAGAGGTTTAGTAAACTTATTAATGCCGGTAATAACTGATAACTAATAGGTATTAGCCACGGTGTCGGTTACATTGTAATTTTTGTTTATTTCGTTAACAGTACCATTCCTAAGTAACACACTATGACCCTAAAAATTAAGCAAAAAAAACCTTTTTGGAGCAAATTCGATGTCAAGGTAGACGGCATCTATAAAAAATTCTAAATTATGGGCGATTTGACATAAGGACATCCAGAAAGATATCACAATTTTTGTTTAAATTTGGAATGGGAAAAACTCCTTCCCCAAGTTTGAACAGTTGTTGTAGAAAATCACTATCTGTAATTCTTGAAGATGAGCTCTCATATTCGTCCGTAATTTTAAACTTTCAATTAAAGACCATAAGAGTGTACGCATACTGTAGGTAATGCTTAATGACAGGGAGTCTGTCGGAAATCTCCAGCAAACACAAAAGTAATCCCGCCTATGAGAGCAGAGGTATTTCTAAGATCTTTTAAGGTACTATCCACGGCCTCTATAGGTGCTCTATGGCTCATGGTGCATTCATCACACAAAGGCATTTTGTAGTAATTTACCAATAGGCCCATTTTTGTGGATAGAACATGTAGATTGTTGCTCAAGATTTACGGATAGCGGATGTTTAAAAGTAGAATGAGCAGTTTTTCCATCCTTTAAGAGAGGTGCAGCAATTCCTGACGGAGTAACTGCTACCGCTATCTTCCCTGATCATCTTATTTTAGCAAGTATCCCCTCTCGTACCCCAGTTACCCCCCCCCCACATCGCTACACTGCATACATTTGATTTAAAGCTCGAAAGGGTTTTTTTTAATACTTACATTTTTAAATACATGATATCTTTCGAATGGAATGTCCAAATTGAATCATTCAAAAAGTTATATAAAAATATTGAACCAGTCGTGAATATAAAGTTCAAGTGAATTTATTTTGATAAGGATTAATAGCAAGATACAAATAAAAGGCTTATTCTAGCAGCGGCATTTCAATTAAATTTATAAATTAAACACACTTATTGTGACATAACTATAAGACATGCTGTCGCGGCACTTTTGTAGACAATGATGTGTTCAACAAAGTCGTGGTACATCATTTTATTCTATCATCAATACTTTTTACAGCGCACGGGTGTTAGGTATTTTTTGTTTAGTTTATCACACTTTGGGTACTAACTCCAATAATAATGTATATTGGAGTTAGAAAGGATCCCTATTTTATTTGTAAATATAATATAGCCTAGTTACTCAGGGATAGTGTAGCTTCCTAGTGAAGAAAGAATTTTTCAAATCGGTCCAGTAGTTTCGAAGCCTATTCAATACAAAGATATATACACACAAAAATATAAATCTTTTCTCTTTATAATATTAGTATAGATATAGATTGTTTGTCAAAAAGGTCGAACGCTCTCGAAAGTCTTGCATCAACAGCCAAATATTGTATGACGCTCGCGCTCGAGCCCTACGCCTGTTTATGGTGTAGGCGATTCGCACACATAAATACAGTTTCATAAATTTATTTACAAATATTTATTACATGCAATTATTTAATATTTTATTTAATAATAATAACCTTAATTATATACTATATACAGCAATACATTATACTTATACATAAATATATACGTAATATTTATTTACACCTTATCAATATTAAACCGTACCGGTTCGTCTAATACAATTGCAGCGTGCAGTGCTTATTACCGTATTTCATGTATAATTTTGGTGTCTCTATACCGATTTATATGATTCTTTTTTTATTGAATAGGTATATATGAGTCAACCATTTCCGTCATACAGGATTTCTGTGTAGCTTTAACCATTAAATATGCACACGCGACGGAAGCTTAAAAATGAAGTAACTTCTCCCGTTTACCTAACATTTCCCTTCACTGCTTTGCTCCTATTGATCCTAGCGTGATAAAAAGTATACTATAACCTGCCCAGGAGTATGAAGAATAATTGTACCAAGTTTCTTTAAAATCCGTCGAGTAGTTTTTGTTTCTATAACGAACATACAGACAGACAGACAGACAAAAATTTTACTGATTGCATTTTTGGCATCAGTATTAATCACTAATCACCCCTGATAGTTATTTTGGAAATAGATTCTATGTACAGAATTGATCTCTCTACTAATTTATTATAAGTATAGATGACACAATATGAAAACAAATGAATATCTTTACGTTGGAAATAAACACAATACATTCTTAAATATAAAAAGAGGTTAACATATAACCATATACAGATATTCATAGTGTATAATAAGTTATTTAATATTAAGTTAAAAGTCGCTGGTTCAAACCCTACACGATGTAAAAAATCGAGTATGTCTGCGTACAGTACATTATATATTATGTACGCATGACCAAAAAACAAAGATAAAATATTCAAATAAACGTACATATATGTCTATCAATAGTCTAGCGTATAGTACATATATACATATATGTAAGCTCTGCTTGGTTTGGGATTAGACGATGTGCGATATACTCATCGTTATTTCTATATAGTTGTATATGTACATATATATACTAGTTACAATTTCGTCTGCATAACACTTACATGACATTTATATTTCGTCTAATTTACCTAATATCTTTTAAAATTATAGCCTGTGTTATTCTGATGTATAAGCTATATTACTGTAAAATTTCATCAAAATCCGTTCAGTAGTTTTTGCGTGAAAGAGTAACAAACATCCATCCATCATCTGTTCATCATCATCTATTCACAAACCTTCGCGTTTCTAATATTATTAAGATAAGATATATGGATATATAAACAGAGAAGATACAGAAACTGCCACCTATCATGTTACCTTAATACTTAACACTAGGTGGGGCTTTGTATACATTAGTAATTGGTATACAAGGAAAATTTTGCGAATATACTGTCACGTCAATATAGTTATGGTCGTTGCACTCAACAAAATCAATTATGATATTGTTATAAACACAGTTTCAAATCAGTCGATAGGTATCAGACATCGCTTTAATTTAAAATCTGGACAGTATTTGATCGCTCATTAATGTGAATGAAGCCATTTACGATACAAATTTCATATTAAATCATACCGCTAATTTGAAATGAGATATTCTATTTATAATATTAACGAGAGCTATCATTTTTTATATAACATTAATTATGTATTAAACAAGTAATTGCAAAATTAATACTCCGTAGTAACGTCATTTTTGCCACGAATATCAATTACCTATAAAGAAAATAAATAAAAATGGAATGTTCAAATAAATTTTATTTCTGAATAACAAACGTGAATGGTGCCTTTGAGCAAGTAATCACTACGTTTTTAATGGCGCGACGAAATAGAAGTCAGACGTTCTTTGAGGTATTAAATTTATTTCACATTCACATAAATTCAACAAGTTTTAACACCTATTTGATATAAATAGAAGAAGAACGCTGTATTTGCGTTCAGTATTTGTAGGATACATGTTACGTCAATGCGACATAGCACCTAAGAACAATAACTACATAGCACGGTCGATATCACCGAGGAATCCCGATCGCGACTGATATCAGAACATTAACATGACGTTGTATAAAAATGGGCACCATTATTATGAGAACCATACCAATTGGATCTTTATTTTATAATGATTTAAAAAATAATAGATAGCACAGTTTAATGTAAAATAGTCTTATACTTTTATTCAGGAAGGCGTGCCTGCACATGAGGCCAGAATCTATGATAAATGTGTTGATTGATCATAACATGACGACCTCGGTGGTCCAGCGGTTTATCACACCGATTTACTTAGATCACGGGTTCGATACCTCGAAGGTGGAAACATTTGTATTCATTAGTATGATTGTTCGTATCGGTCTGGTGGTTTTCTATGTGTATTATGTATGTATGTATTTACAAAAAATATATCTAAGTATTTATAATTATAGGTTGTCTAATACCCATAACACAATCTCTGCTTACCGTAGGACTAGATGGCGCTGTGTAAATTGTCCAGGGTTATTTATTTAACATTGTAAAAAAATGCGAAAATTGACTGTGTTAAGATTTCACGTAAAAACGGTTCATTAAATTATCACCGAATATAATAATAATCTACACTGTTCCCTCTCATCAGATCTAAGCGAAACAGAGCTTGTGTTAGGTAGACAACTGATATAATTATTTTAATACATTTTTTAAATACATAACAATAACTACACAACCCGGTCGATACCATCGAAGAGCACCGGCCCCTACTGATATCAGAACAATTAACACGACGTTTTATAGTGAGCACCATCATTATTAGAACGAAGCTAATTGGATGTATGTAACAACCTGCTAATGATTCTAAAAAAGAAAAGACTGCACAGTTTCACATAAAACCGTTTTATTTTCTGCAAGGGGTGTCTGAGGATAAATTCACAATAAATATATATATACATAAAAAAGACGGATCACAATACAGACAATCATAATTATTAAAATAAATATGTACTTGTAACGTGCGGGAATCAAACGCGTGACTATCGGAAATAAAGCGATGTGCTAAATCGCTGGACCACAGAGTAAATTAGTTTGCACTATATAAGTGGTAGTTAGTATTCATTAAGAGAAAAAAATACGCAGTTTGCAAAAGAACAGTTGTACAAATACATTATTTATTTTTTTAATAAAACTAATAGCTTAGTTATTGTCTCTATTTTTCATTATTCTTCATTATGACTGTGACAGTAGAATGCAAGATAAATTAGCACATTCAATAGTTAAAAAATAATTTAGTTAAGAAAAAAATATGTGTATGTGTATTATAGAACTAAGGTATTTAATCATTTAACCTCATCAAAGTCAATAACATATCTTCACTTTAATATATTTTATTTCTTAATAATACTCGTACATGATGCCTGAATTATAGATGGTTTATTTTTATTGTTTATGTTTATCATCAATAGATGTCGATCTACAATTAAACCTTACAAACTATTGTGAAATTGTATAAATTTCTATAGTACTATTAAAAAAAGTCCCACTACAATCGGAGTTCACCGGCAAACTCGTTTCAAGTTCCTCTCTCCATTGAAACGAGGGCATTATAAATAAATTTTAGTTATACTGTACACTACACGTATGAATACATTCCATGCATGAATATAGCTCGTTACAATTTGCTTCGTATCTTCTTTCTTGCTTTCAGGAGCAAACAATTACCAACGGAGATGCGGCTTCCGTCTTCAAGACGTCGTCGCTCCTAATTTTTCTACGACCATTTCCTTCCTCGATTATAAAGCTTTCATTTTAAGAAAATAATTGCTTTTCACATTGTCGTAATCCCTGTACCTTACTCACAGGTATTATTTCCCTTACTATGAAATAGCCTTGTGTAATTAAAACAGAGAAATTGTTTCCACCATTGTAGTTAATTAAAGTATTTTATTACACGCAGCGATATGAAATAACGAAATGAAAATTTCAATATGCCGATTGTAAAACAAAATATTTACATTTAAAATAAAAACATTGGATCCGTGAAATGAATCTTTTGATGGAAATGAATTATTTGATATTGCAATACTGCTGCAAATATATGTAATTGGATTGAAGTATGATCTCTGCAGCCGTCTACTTTTTTTTGGTTTTTAACCATGTATCCAATATTTAATCCGATGAATACACGAAATTTATTTAAGAGTTGCGGTATATATTTACACTTGCATAATCTACGTACAGTTTTTATTATGGATATTCGCTATCCAACAAAATAAAATAATATTTCTGCTAAATATTCGTTTATACCAAGCCATACCAATATTATAAATGGGAAAGTATATGTCTGATTGTTACTTTTTCATAACTGGATTAACTGATCTTATGTGAAGATAGATCAGAAGATAGATATAGGAATTGTATTTATATAAAATACAGAGTAGTCTTTTAATATAGAAAAGTACCAGTAGATACTAGGTTATTCCTGACTTATCTTACACATAGTGGCATATATACAGACATTTCAGTGGACTTGATATAACCTAGAAACAACGGTCCTTAATAAATATTTGCCCGGGTTTCTTGAGGCAGTCATTTGAACTTGTAGGGTTGGCTGAAAAACAATTCTTATAGGTTTAGGTCCACCATAGTAGATTTCCTTTTATTATATGTTAGAAATTTGTACGCCTGCTAATAGAACAACTTGACTTAACTTGACTGTATCTGATTGGAATGAAGCTACACTAAATATATAGTACACTTGCTACTATATATAATATATAAGCAAAGCTACAGATAAATCGATTAAGCCATTACTGAGATACAAAAAAAATATGTGGTTTGGAGTTTTTTTACAAACTTTTTTATACAACATTCTCGTGTCAGAGAATGTTATATATATTAGGCTGTGCTCGCGACTTTGTACGCGTAGAATAGTGATCTTGGTCAATTAAAAAAAAAATATTTAATATACTAAAATAAAATAAAAGTTTTGTCGTTCTACCATAAGTTTCAAGTTTCTAGCTTTATAAATGATGATACATACAACCTTGCATCTCCCCTTTCAACCCCTTACAACTCTTTTTTCACATTAAAAAGTAACCTATCTCCTTTCTCAGTGTATACCAGTGGTTCCCAAATAATTTTTGCTGCGTACCATTTCAAAAGAGACCTCAAACCTTGCGTATACCTTATTGTAGCAATCACACTTATATTATAAATGTGGAAGTTTGTTAGTGTATAATTGTTTTACTGATAGCGGCACGTACCCCTTGATGCAACTTCACATACGCATGGGGGTACGCGTACCACTAAATGGGAAACAGCGGTCTATACTATCCGTGCACCAAATTTCATTTAAATCTATTTAGTACTATAGTTTTGGCGTGAAATCGCAACAGACAGAAAGAAGTACTTTCATATTTGTAATACCAGTAAGCATTACTATTGTAATGCTTACTGGTATATTATACCAGTAAGCATTACAATAGTAAACACGGAATAGAGTTATCGGAATAAACATTGTTATTAAACAATGTTTATTCCGATAACTCTATTCCGTATTCAGATACAAAATAATAAGTTGAGACGTGTTTATAAAAGTGTTTTTAAGGAAGATGTTGAGTTTAATATGAAGATCTTGACATGAATACGATCTAAAGTGTATCTGTAACGCAATATACTTAGTTATTAGTTTAAATGAACTTACTTGGAAGTTAAACGAAGGGTAGATTGATACAGTGTCGATGTCGGCTGCGCTCTCCTTCAATATAGGGCATTGCTCTAGGGTAACCTGGACACATGAAACAAAATTTATTTATTTAACAGAATACACACAACTTTTACTAATATAAAATTCTTATTAATTAGTGTTTTAACGGAATGAATATAATATCTTAAGGAAGGTGTTACATAAGAATGTGGATGGGTATAAGGGCAGAGGAAGGCCGAAAAACAGATGGATGGACTGTATGAAAGACGATATGATAAGAAAGAGAGTAAATAGCGAGATGACTGCGAACAGGGATGAATGGAGAAGATATCTTACGCCGACCCCAAATAAATGGGATAAGGAAGAAGCAGATGATGATAATGATGATAATGCTGGTAATCGAACTGGGGACCCGTCTGTTGGTAAGTGGTAACATTCACCTATATACATGAACAGGCCTTCGGAGATTACGTTATCCAGTGACACCCGTAAAACCACGTATGCGTTGTCATTTCAGAGGAGTAAGATGTCATGCTCCTTATCCTGTCATTTCACTGCCTAATCTGCACCTTACCACCAAAACACAGCTTAGACAAGTTACAGGCGGGTTGGGCGGCTACAATAGGTGAGACTTACGTACCCATATGCAGATGACTTTTTACAGTGCTTCAGAAGTAAATTTCTTTCTAGATTTCTACTTCTCATAAATTCAAATTCAAAAATAATTTATTCATGTAGGAAATTTTAGCTGCTTATGAACGTAAAATTTTTTATATTATAATTTTTTCCTTTTTGTCCATATATATTTATAAAAGTGATATTTTTAATTATTTGTAAATAATATAAAGTAAATGTAAGTAGTGTATATAGTAACTACTATACTATATGTGTGTACTAAGGTATGTGCTGTAAACTCTTTGCACATTTTTATATATGTATTTTTCTACGAATTTTAAATGTATTCTCTTTCTAGAATTGTCATATATTTTTATTACTGAGCAAAATATAGGTGATAGATAAGTATTACTCAGAGATCCTGCTATTACTCACCGGGGAAGGGTATTGTTAGTAATGTGGACTAATGCTAGCAATGTATCATGTCAGGGTGACCTCCACGCGGTTCCTCCTAGAAACCTTCGTGATAAATTACTGGTGCATTTGCGACGATGGCTAACCTGACCTCATGTACATTTTATCATCCTCCACTGGTGCACCGCCTGCATACACCGATAGCGCAGGCGGGAGTACGAATTCATTATCGTCAATTAAAAAAAATATGATTCACCAGCTGACAAATTAAAAATATTCGGAATAATTCGCGTTATTTTCAATTGGGTTTTAATTATCGCTAATTTTGAGTGTTCTGAACACATGAATGCCTATATATTTTCTTTATCACATCACGATTTGTTTTTTGTGTACTGTAGTTGTTAGGAGCTACTATTCGCGTAACAAACAAAGAAATTAGTGTAATTTGTATATACTGATTACTGATCTAAACTCAAAGTTATTATTTTAAGATCTTTTACAGTTGATTCTTGTACTAAAGAAATATATGTTTTAAGAAAAAAGAAGATATTTATTTATTGTAAACCTTAGTTGTATATAGATTTAAAAAAAAAAAACAAAGAATAACCTAATTGTTGAAAAAATAGTAATTTGAAAGGAATCCGTTCAATTATTTAATATCATTTATATTTATCGGATTTTAGTCTCATACAAATTTTCGACATGTATAGTATTGGGTAGGCCCAATAACAAATAAAGATACAAATATCTAAACGTTCTGTCCAAAGTTATATGTGGTCATTTATTTCGATTGCATCCGACTGGACATATCGTTAATGTCAGTCAGGCTTAAAGTTCTAACGCCACGTAAGGAGTTCACTTAACTGAACTCACTGTAAACGTTAGTGAATATAAGAGAACAAAAATAACGATCTACTGTTCTACATGTGACTTGTACGTCGTTATTTCAGATATAAAATATTCCTCGTTATGCAAATACAAAGGCATGTTAGAATTGTATTATTTTTACTAGTTTCAGTATTAGTACACCTAAATTGTAATAGCAAACAAGATGACAAAATTAGTTACCACAATGGTGAACAATTACCTTACAATGAGTAACGCACTTGTTCTCGGAACATAATCAATGCAATTACAGTATTAATGGCTTCAGTGGCCTAGCATACCCCTTCACTTCCGATGGTCGCGACTTCGATTCCCCGCACAGCACAAACATTTAAATTCATGAATATGATTGTTTGTATCGGTCTGGGTGTTTACTACGTATATATATTTATTTATTTGTATGTACTTACGAAGAAAACATCTACTAGCTGTGTCCGCGGTTATACCCGCGTGAAATTTATAGCTTGTTATTCTGATGTATGTATATCACTGTAAAGTTTCAAAAAAATCCGTTCAGTGGTTTCTGTGTGAAAAAGTAACAAACACCCATACTCATAAACTTTCACATAATTTGTATCAGTTATGTAGTACCAATAACAGAAGCTTTATCTAGCGTAACTTGTGTCTAGATGGCGCTGTGTGAATTATCCTGAGATTATTATACGTATTATTGTATACCTACTTATGTATGCTCTATGTGCGCCTAAAGCTATTCAGATTTTTAGTACACAGCAAATAATGTACTACATATATATTTCGTTATATTATTTCAAATAAATATATATGAAAGAGCGTGAATCCATAAATAAATGTATATACGTACATATATCAAAGAGACTGTACTTGAGTACGCAGGAGTAGGTGTTTCGCAGTCGCACTTAATATAATTAATTACTCGCACTAGTTAGTTTGTGCAGCCAGGAAAACAATTTACGCTGTCTATTATGCAGTAAAACCGATATATGTATAAATCTCGATTTGCTCAATATTCTAGGAATTTATTGAAATGCGCACTACATTCGTATTGCTATTAATTAACAAACAAATATTATGTTATACAACAAGCTACTAGTACAAACAGACTTTGTTAACGACTTAATTAAAACTTATAGTGGTCGAAAAAGATCATAATTAATTTAAATTATAAGTTTGAACATTATTAAGGTTCTATTGTCAGACTTGATTCAAGTATTATTATTACTATAATATATAAATTATTTTGATAATACCACAGAAACAAATTCGATCTCGATTTGCTGATTTGACAATTAACAATATTGACATTGAACTTTTTGTTATCAGTTATGTAATATAATAATAGCGTATGTAACGTTTTATATATGGATTTCATTCGTTTCTTACGCATATTTTATTAAAAAAATGGAAGGATTCTGCACTTTTAAGTTTATGTGCGCGCAACCCCTATATAAACTATAAATGTGCTAAATTTCATACTTCACCTTCCGTGCAATTTCCGTAAAAATGGGTACAAAGTTTTTGCATCACGTATTAATATTATGATTACAGCTGATTCCCTGATTTAATTTAATATAAATATGAATCTGTATTTTTGTAAGTAGGTACAAGCTCAACTGATAAGAATAATAGCTGAGCCGAAAGTAAATACTGAATTGACGGTGGAAATTTGTCATAATACAAGTGTCTGTACCTACATGAATAAAGATATTTTATTTGATATCTTTATTTCTTTAATCGGACACATATTTACAAAGTTCATGTGTACTCGATGTCAATTAATTAACGTTGATTTTAAATGCAATGAGATTACAATACAAAAGAATAAAAACCGGAGCTGAAAATGCACTCATTTCGAAGGAGCCATTGCTTGCCAAAGCTTTTAAAAAATTCTGATGTGTCCTTATAATTTTAATTTTTAATATAACAACTGTTGTAACAACAAGCATATCTCTACTCATGTGTGAATTAGGGGCTAAAATGTATGTCGGAATAATATATTATTTTATCTAGTATTAAATATTTTTATACAAGCAGTATCTTCAGCATTACGAAAAATCTCTGCTCAAATTCTTAATATGTACTGCTTTTTCTTTACATTTAGTCGTCTCTCAAGTATAAATAAAAATTTATTTCCCTATAGAACCCGATTTTCTGACAAACGGGAAGAGCTTGTATGAAACCCAATACTAGGAACAACAAACACAAATCAGCAGACTAGCGAAATCGAATCGAAATAAAATCGCAGATTTCAAATAGTGTTCTTTGAGGTCCATTCATACGTAAAAGGCAGAGATATGTAAATTATAAATAGAGCAACGTAAATAAACTTCGTATCTTAGAAATGAACTAAATTCAATATAGTAGTAGTAGTTTAAAATATAAAGCACATATATCGACAAAATCATACTCGTATTTATTGGACGTGAATTTGATCCAATAAAACATATTAATACAGTTATGATTCAGATTTTTGTCCCACAGGCGGGCAAAGATCTCTTTTATGTTTACATGTAGCTATTTTGAGTTTAGACTGAGTATGTAGTTACCGTATTACTATTTTTTTTATAACTAAACTGAGAAATCACGATCAATCCATCATCGCTATATGAACATTCGAATAAAATTACGAAAAATGTTGGCATTCTATCAAAACTCAAAATGTTTTTATAACACTACAATTGTAAACCAGCTGGTATGGGTAGTAAACCATGCTTGAATATTTGAGAATATTGTATCCAATCCAATGGAAATTCAATGATAGTACGATCATAGACGATAAATGGAATGTTGGTGGAATATCAAAGGTCCGATTTGGAAGCAGAATATCAGAAGAGACGCTTAGACATATTCAATATAAGCTTCGTGTTGCCTTTGCAAATTATCAGAATTTAGGCCGTATCGCCATGTCACACGGTTTGGTTAGACACCAATCGCAATCAATGCACGTACCGAAATTTGGATACAGACAAAGCAAATATAGTGGCGCAATGCACGCTAGAATTAATTTCTGAATATGATTTACTATGTGATTGAACGCTGTATCATGCGTGTAATACATAGCATATCTTTATCTTATACCATAGCAGTGAATATAACGCTGAACGTCGCTGCATCTTTGCAATACACTGGCGATTATCCAAGACGATTTCATCACGTTAGCCAGTATTTAATGTCGCGTAAATGTATACAAAGAAATAGATATATCCCTCGTAACTGCAGAATATCTTTTTCATTAACCTTATACTATCAACTGTACGCTTTACTCGCTTGTTATGATGGTAAACAGAAAAGAGGTCATTTCATACAAAAAACGACTGCATTATTTCAGCTACGTTATATTGTTTTATAACGGTTTCATCATCATCATTATAATTTATAAAAACCATAAACGACCGTTGAATGTCTTATTTTGATATTAAAACTTCGCATCTCGTATCAATCCCCGCAAGCATATATACTTAAATAAAATAAATAGAATATCGCTTCATAAATGTCTCTGAGGTAACAAACAAACACACAACTGAGTTGAGAAACTTGTGCTTTGAAGTCGGTTATAAAAGGACCTATTTCAATAAGCTCGGGGCCGTTTAATTTACCTATCCTCGTATAGCAGATCTCTAGTGGACAATGCTGGTGAATCCCACAAATAGAATAGATAATATTCCAATGTGAAAGCGAGGAAATGGGATGAGGGACATGAGTGCACGAGGTGGTAAACGACGCAGTGAAGCAAAATTGATAAGACATCTTCGCTTAGCTTTACACAGTCTCAACGCTCAGAAGCAAGCCCCAGCTTTTGTGGTCAAACACATTAGTTTGCTGAATACACGATATCATATTTGATATTTCACGCTACAAACCGACGCCAAGCCATTAATGAAATTAAATTATTGTTGCTGAATATCGCCCGCTTGCAATTTTATTCAATGTTGTCGTTGATATGTTATTTTTTAATATGAACGTACTAATTAGACTAACAACTTTCATTCTATTCACTACTTAAATTAAAATAGATGGCGCAGTTATATTTGTTTATAAAAATGTTTTCTGCTACAAAAAAAAGGAAAACGTCGAAAAGAAGTTACTAAGTATGTATTTTAAAACGAAATATAACGAATAAAACTTTTACCTTCTATATTATTATAGTAGGTAAAAAATCGCATTTCGTTTTGAAAGTTATTTTTATATAGTAATTATTATAATTATATTAATTAATTATTATGGAACTTATTAATTTCTATTACTAAAATGTAAAATATTTAGACATTCAAACATTCTGTTAATTTTTTTTACATTTATAAGGATTGTCTTATAATAAATATTTTCGAATAAAAAGATATAGGAAGAGGCAATAAACGTCCATGGAATTGCAGGTATAGAAAAGGGTGTAGGGAGGAATTGGGGGGATAATGGAGAGCACGAGTGACAGATATTTTCCGTTCTGTAAACAGATTAGTATGGTGTGATATTATTTTGAATATTTTTTGTAGTGTTTATCAAAATTCTTATTTAAATTTTTACTAATAAATATGTATTCATCGAGTGTCGTTACTGCGATAATTTATTTATTACCATACTAGCGACGCGTCCCGGCGTCGCAACTGAATTTCTCGGCTTGATCTATATATAGTACGAGAACATACGTGTATTATACATATAAAACTTCCTCTTGAATTACTTTATCTATTTCTGAAAACTGCATTAAAATCCGTTGCGTAATATAAAAAATATAAGCGAACAGACAGCACCAACGTACTGTGTAAAGATGAGAAAATGAATATTTGTACATTTTAAGTTTTGTATTTCTCGAATATAATATTTCTTATTATTTATTAAGTAAGAATATTGATTTAGCACGTGTTGAAGAATCGTTTCGTTTTATTTCTGAAGAACCAAGATCTCAGTGCAGTAATTATCTAGGATGAAATTAAAAGTAGACTGAAAACTTTAAACGAAGTTTCTGAGAAGAGAAATGAAGGCTGCAATGCTCCAACATTAATATTTTAGAATAAGATCGAAATTAAGGACGTTGACAGTTAATTTACATGATCTTGACAAAAAACTAATTATACAATAAATAATATATTAACATTATATATTGTTACAAAGATATCAATTTGAATTTATTTATTATATTGTATTTATTTTTTTGTGTTTTCATAATTTTTGTATGATAGGTAGTTATTATTCTCTTAATATAAATATTATATTCAGATAAAAAGTATTTTGTTTGAGATTTATTTTTCTTTATTTACGGATTTTCGAAATATATACTGCAATTGTAATATTAAGTAGATTAACTTTTTAGTAACAAGAACCCAAAAAATGTCAAATCTTTTCATAAAAAAAGTGTTCCGTTATTATTCTTTTATAAGGACTCATTTCATTGTTGATCTATTAACTAGTTACTTACCTAATCGATTAAAAACGGAAAAAATGTTAAACTTTTCTAACACATGACACGTAAATAACTGTCTTACTTAAATCGGCTCTATAACCTGTTCCATAGTCAATGAAAGTCCTCATTAATTTTGAGCAGAATTGAGTTACAGGGCGCTAATAGGCAAAAAGAGTAAAAAATAAACAAAGAGCTCTCACAAAATGGAACAAGGAAGGCTAAATGAAGAATTTGATGCTGCCGGCGCCGCGTTTGCAGAACGCTTCCAGGCTGCAATACCTACATGTACTTGTAGTTTATTTGTAAATGTTTTTTTTTATGGACCAACCTTCTCTTGCTGGATGGGTTCGTGGAAAATTGGTGGGGGAGCTTTCAGATCGATGTCGTCCCCGCTAGTAATGCTGTTACCTGGAACAATAGATTATATAATTAGGACATATTGTATTCAAGTACAGTGTCAGGACATACGCTATGTCAATTAACGTGATTTACATTACTAAGTCTATACGTGCAAATATATATATATTTGATATCTACCGATATACTATAGGTAAGATAAATGGAATACAATATTCTATTTCTTTAACCTAGCTACAAAAATTGACGTATTATGATGCATTAAAAATGTTTGAAATTCTCGGCTTGATCCCTCATCTTAATCCCTCTATCTATTGCTGAAAAGTGCATTAAAATCCGGAGCATAACTTGAAAGATATAAGCGAAGAGAGCAGCGGTGACTGTTTTATACTATGTTAAAATACACCTTGCAGACAATAAAACTAAATAAATGGAATATTGTAATTGAGAGATTATACCAATAATCTCTCAATTACAATATTCCATTTATTATAAATCATAAGGAAAAAATTATCTACACACCAGTGTAGATAATTTTCCTTATGATTTTTTCATTATTAATGTTACACATTTTGACCATAATATAGTCGATACATACTTGTTTTACATTTATACAGTGTTTTTCAGTTACAATATAAATACAGCAAAAATAAATAAATAATAAAATGTATATACAATGAAACTTAATTTTATATGTAGATAATTAAAAATAAACAAAATAAATATTTTTTACATACATACTCACTCACTTTACTCAGCTTTATTGTATATTCTATAAACATACCGCTGGTATTCAGTGGCAGCAAAACGAAAAAGATTTTTTTCACATATTTATTCATGCATATAATAATAATTTATTACTAAAGGCAATTAGCAGCACAGCGTTGAGAATATGTATATAACATATCCTTAATCTGATATATTAACTACCTAACAAATTTCCTAAAGACTACTCCACCAATTTGCAAATAACAAATATGCGTTATTTGCAAGAATCATTCACAAAAGCTTAAACTACATAAAGTACTTTACATTTAAATTTGAGTTTCTCTTCATAAAAATAAGCTGTATAAGTAGATTAACATCAACACATATCCATATACCTTCGTATTTTAAAGGTTCAACAAAGTTTTCTCAACTAGTTAATACTAATTGAGAAAACGTAGTTAAACCTTTTTTTTTCTATGATAAAGCAATGGTGCACGCGCCTGCTCGAAGGGGTGTACGGAGGTGGGGCACCAGTAGAGAATTATAGGGTGAAAAAGAAGTCAGGTGAGCCAGAAATGATAAATAATTAAACAATTTATACAGTGCCATCGGTACGGCACGGTAAGCAGAGCTTGTGTTATGGATCCTAGGCAACTGATATATATACTTAGATATATATTTTTTGTAAACATATATATAATATATATAGAAAACACCCAGATCGATACTAACAATTGTAATCTTGAATACAAATGTGAACCGTGCGAGGAATCGAACCCAAGACCATCGGAAGTAAAGCGATGTGCTACACCTCTAGACCACCGAGGCCGAAGAAATAAATAAATAACTATGATGGTTCAAAGGGAGTACGCGTGGTGGCCGACTTCATCTGGTACGTTAATAGCAATAGTGGTGGACTATTCCCCATTACTAACAAAATCTAGTACTATATATAGGTATACATTATATTTTTTGAATCCAGGTAAATAGTTAGGCAACAAAGCAATTTTAAACTACGTATATTATAATTATTCATTAGACATCAACAGATGGGATTAGGATAATGAGATGAGAAGGGTATAATGAATATGCTTTATTAATCGTTTTGCTCTTAAAAGTTTTTCAAACCTACATGAACGCGGGAAGTAATGGTTCGATAAGATTCTTTATCTCCTTTTGGTTATAAAATTGAGATCAGACAATCCGTTTTTCAACAGAGAACAATCTCATTACTCGTCAAAGTAGAGCATTATGAGTAGGCAGCGCTTACAACACAAGAGACGGATATTAAGCCTTTATTTTGTTCATTACATGGATAGACATCTCTATGATACCTTATCGTACCTTAAAATAGACACTAAAGTTTAATTTACGAAAACAGTTTCATGCATCGTGTATGCATAGAAGCAGCTTTGAAATTTAGTTCTCTTTAGAGAACAATGTCGCTGAAGTTAGGATCATCAAGAGATGATTACAAAGCTTCTGCATACTAGTTTTAGTACATGTACATACTATGAAATTAGATACATACGATATTAGATATTAGATGTATATTCGTAATAGGTATTTGAAATTATTATACTATACAAAATAGGTGGTTTTGGGCAGTGTACTGGAGTAAAATACGTTTTTTTCAACATCTAATAGTAATAGTTTTTATTACTGATAATAATGTTAGTTTTGTGCAATAAGTAAATATAGTGCATTTTAATATATTAAATTATAAAAACGATATTAATGTTAAAAAAATGTAGCAACGTATCTTTAAAACCTCTGATACCATTCTGAAATTCGGTTCGTATAAAAGATAGCGTAAACATAACAAATCAAATGATGCGTACAAAAATGACAGTTCAATTGAAAACCTCATCCTTTTTCAATTCGTTTGGAAAAAACATATTTCTAATGTATGTTATATAATTTAATATGTATAATAATGTATATAGTAGTTTATAAATGTTCTGAAATAGTATAATACACTCTCCTGCATGCTGGCAAACAGAATGCAGCAGGAAGTCAAATCAGTTAGAATTTTATGAAGAATTCACTAGGAATATACCACAATGATTTCCAAAGGTAACCGCGCGGTGTTCGACCTGACGTGGTAATTATTAACATCGGGACCGCCAGTCATCAGTACTAATAATTCGCTCACCCCTATATGTATTGTATGTATGGTGCACCATAGCATGATGTATTGTATTGTATAATTAATAGTACCTATTCGCATGTATCGTTCACTTCCGTACAATCGTTATGTCGAACAGATATAACAAATCATTTATTATAAATATTGTGTTTGTTAGAAATTTTATCTTTATTGAATTTACTGTGGACGCAATCACGCGAGTCATGTCATAATAAAACTGGCACAAACGTATGGCGTATGTTTTCCTGCGAGTTACTTGTTAAATAGAAAACTGTTGAATGAACATCCGGTTAGATAGCAGGAGTCACGATAATATATACCTTTATTATAACGCATATTACAGTAATATTAAATACTAGCTGTGCCCGCGGTCATCCACGTTAAATTTCAATAAAAAATGTAGCCTATATGTTATTCTGATGCGTAAGCTATATTACTGCAAAGTTTCATGAAAATTAGGATGTTTGTTATTCTTTCACGCAAAAACTACTTAACAGCAGTAGTTTTTGCGTGAATGAATATAAAACATCCATCCATACTCACAAACTTTCGCGTTTATAATAGTAAATAAATAATAAGATATTATATAAATATTAAATATAACAAAACTCATTATATTTGTGTATGATATTTTAGCCATCATACGCAAGTTAATTTCTTAGCCTTACTTTTTGTAACGTTATGTTAGAGAAAACTGAATAATAAATATTGCTCATATTTGAAACATCTAGAGTAAAAAATCTAAAATAAATACAGTCAATAAAAATATTTCAAGAAAAGATAAAATAATATTCATTTAACATTTTTGAGATATAATAAAAAATCTTTTACAAGTAGACGTTATTATGATCTGAATGTAAGAATTATATCTGAATTATAATTATAAATAGTGATCACCAAATAAATTTTAATCAACTTAACGACCGGCGTCTGTTCTTTAGTATAAGTATTGTGTAAATATATATAATATAAATCTCTTCAAATAATATGTTTGTTTGAATCCAACGTTGTAAAAGACCCAATGCGTACTTTCTAGATATTTCTTATTTTTAGAAAATACTAGTCGGACCACCCCGTGCTGCCTGTATGGAATGGTCTATATTACTCGCTGAAAATATAGCTACCTATAGACGTAAGACATTTTAAATAGAACAAATCATTTTGAGTCTATCCATAACAAACAAACATATTAATTGCCAAATCTTTTCTTATTATAATCTTGGTTGGTAGGTTATTAAAATATGAAAACCAATATTTTCTCATGTTTCAAATGGTTGAATACAATCCATTAATTAAAAATGCAATACCATTTAATAAGATAGTGGAACATGTGGGAATCAACCTTAATTTAATTTTCAATTTGCTTTCAATATAAATGGAATAAGTTAAATCATGAGTAGGTTTGAATCTCAGAGGTATTTTAAGAATAAGTCAAAATGATTTGCGTTATTTTGAGTGGCTGAAGTGTATTTTACTGTATTCCACTGGCTTTCCCGTCACGTTGAAAACCAATAAAGTACTTAGAAAATACAGAAATGCTAGCTCGGAGCTCGGCTTGGTGTATTTCTTTGAATGTATTGAGGGATTTACTCCACATCACATTATTTTAATAAAAGGAATATAAAATGGTATAAAATATACGACTCTGTATATTTCTACAACCCTATAGATAATTTTTACTCATTCCTTTTTATAATCTTATTAATATTATAAGTGCGAACGTTTGTAAGTATTTGTTACTCTTTCACGCTTAAAACTACTTAACGGATTTTTACGAAAGTTTACTTTGCTTATCAGAATAACACATAGACTATATTTTATATTGAAATATAGCGCGGGTGAAACCGCGGGCACAGCTAGTTATTATATAAATTTATAAATGATTTTGTTTGTTTCTCAGTCTTTTTGTTTATGATGATATAATGGTACACAACCACGCATTAAGAAAATGGCATATATGAAAATAGTATTCTGAATAACAGACATAGACTAATTCATTTACGGCTAACACAAATACCAAGCTTACACAACTATACATAGGTTTGAACAGTTACATCTTTACATAAAAGAAGTTATTATATTTTGGCATTTCAATAGGTCTACCAATAGTCACAAAATTTAACATGTAATAAGTTTTTATCGAACTGCAATAGCATACAAGGTTTTATAATATAGCATATAAATGAGCCTTGGA